ATTTTTATGTCCGCGGATTGATGTGGTATTTTAGGGTAGTGATGCGTATGCGTTTATATTGTCGACGCAACTGCAGGTTAAATTGAAGACAAGTAAATTATAATGTAGCAAGACATTTTAAATATGGCCATATCGATCATGGATTGATTACTTTGCACAGCAGAAAAATCATTACATATTATCCGTCGAAAAAGCCGCGGGGATTTCGAGGCGATAAATATGTATTTTTGATTTACTCATATACTTTATATGTATTTAATTGTACTCTACGAGATTTTTATTACAGATCTTGAGATTTTTCTAACGTCGATGACGAATTCGCAAGATCACAAAAAAGTATCGAAACTAAATACACTCAGGCATGTTTATCCCATATTTCTATACGTCAACAGATTGAGCGGTATTTTAGACTAGTAATCTTAATATTTTGACGCAAGAAGACGCAGCCGCGAGTTACGTTGGACCCAATTATATCAATATAGAAGGAAATTTTATAGATTCTCGTAGCTGTCATGAATTGATTATTTTACGCGACTAAAAAGTCGGTATACGCTAAAAAGTCGCCTATTTTTACGAGCGTGTAATCACGGCGACTGTTTCAGAAGGGAAAGGAAATTTCCGATTCCGACTATTCAAATCAGGTAGTTGATTATGCAAACCAAACACATAAAAATGTTTGGCACGCGAAGGTGCTCATTATTCATAAAATGGCACGCGGAGTTCACAAGGTTGCCGACCCCTGATCTAGATTGACCTCAAAAAATATATCTAAATATGAAGTTACTAAATTTAATGAAAATAAACAAAACATACTCATTATTATTATTAAAAGAAGTGAGCTATGCTCAAATGTATGGACACGTTGCGCCTTATAATGGCAAATTTTGATGGCGTCATAGCACACAAAAAATGACAAATAAAAGTGATATCCTTCTAGCGAAAAATATACACTTTACTTACTGAAAATTTCAAAGCAATTGGTCCAATATTCGAAGAGAAAAGCGACTTTATAATGGTGACGAAAAATAACAACAAGAACAACAACAAAATATTGAAACGATCGTTATGTCCACTAAACGTGTCCAACAAGAGAGTACAAATAGTTCATTATATTACATCGTTCAAGGTTTCGAGGATCAGTTGATGTAGTTGCTTCAGAGGGATTTTTATATGTTTCTGCTGTATATATTTTTTCGAAACTGAAACAGGTTCCTTATATGACGTGCAGCATTGTTTATTTGGAAATTGATTAAATTTAATGATGAATAATATTGCATTCAGTGAATCTGTCTTCCTGCTGTTTCTTATTTGTTTTTTTCACAGTTTATTGCAGCCGAGAAGACCATCTGAAACGATTGATAAACAGTTTTTCTGCATGATCGGAATTAAATTTACCAGATTGGTGTGAATGTCTCAGTTACATTATATTTTCAATTTGTTTTTCCCGCAGCAGGCAAAGACTGCAGCAACGCTGGAGACAGGGACTGTACACTAAAAACCAATTTTGCAATCAAACGTTTAAATGTCAAGGCAAAGGTAAATTTTAATATAATGGAACAAAACTTTTAATTTATGCAAATACCATTGGCCCCCAGTCGGTCCAAAAAATCCAAAAGTCATTTAGAGCAGTGCTTCCCAAACAGTGGGTCGCGAAGCTAACTATGGTGGGTCGCGAAGTATTTCCGAATGTTACAAACGCCCCTAAATGTTGGAAACTGTACTAGGCCGATTAGTAATTTGTTGAATTCGTGTAGAGTGTAGACGGTAGCAAAGACCCCGGTCTATAATATTAGTAATCTTATGTCCAATGAGTCGCATTTTAAATACTGGCTAAACAGGTTAACATACTTTATTTTAACACCCTAACTGTGTTTGTTTCTTGTAAGCCACAAAATGGATGATTTAGAAAAGGGTAACGAAATAAAAGGAAAAAGGAAGAGCTCGAAAAGTTGTAGTGAGAAAATATGACTCTGATTACATCAAATGTGGTTTCATTAAGGCAGAAAATGAGTTCGAGACGAAAATGTGTTGATTGTTAATATTACGTTGCGTGTGAGCTTGTCCCCTATCAAGCCTCAATTTAATCATATCATATCCAATATGTAAGCTCACGTTTTGCATTAACCATTAATAGTAAATTGCGTATGGATACATTGTTTAACATCTCATTGTGGGTCGCACAAAAATGGCAATACTAGTGGATGGCTGATTTAGAGTCCATAAAAGCATGCAGATCATTTTTATGCAACATAATTTATTAATAAACTCGACCAACAACAAGTTTATTGTTTTCTCTCAAATTTTCTTATGTGTTCAGGAGGCATCTTTCAAACTCAAGCCCGGAATCGGCCTATGTTTTTCAAATTCAATTCCCAACCCGAACTCGAACTAACAATTAAAATCTATCCCCATAAATCATTCATGTGTGACGATTAGTGTCTCAAGCTGTCATGATATAAAATGTATCCTATCATATAACAACAAAAGCATAAAAAAAAAAATGAGGTTACTAAACATTATCTTTCCCTTTAAATAAAAGATACGAATCAGATATAACTGAAACCATCAATCAAATATTCAACTGTATGACCGTGAGCAAGCAACCTTTGACTGCTGCGTAAAATTGGAAATCTAATGTAACTGAGACCTTCATAACAATCTGGTAAATTAAATTTCGGGTATGCAGAAAAATGAATATCAATAGTTTCACTTACATCTGAATATAAATTTAGTCTAGCTTCAATTTAAATGAGAGAATATTGTTTAGTAACTTGATATGTTCATACAAATGTAAACCTAGTTAGGCAGTTGACTTTATGAACCCGTTCATTTGAATGAAAGTAATCTTCATGTATCCATGGATTCATGTTGAACTTTTGTGGTTTTACTAGATAGAAATAGTTTTCAGCTAACCTTCTCTGTGTGTGTAATCAAGTAACATGGACATTACAGAAGCCGACAGCAGAATAGAGAGAAAAAATTTCTGCATTGTGATTTAGAACTAGCGTTCAGATTAAGATCAGATGAAATACAAAGTTAGTGCTCAACACGGGCACGAAATTGTAGGGTAAGCAATCTGTCACAGTAGCCTACCAGTACGGCCACAAGAAGCGCAACTTTTGATTTGATGACGTCATCGCGCACAAAAAACTAATCCCATGAAGACCACAGCAATTTTCGAAATAAATTAAAGTAATAGCCTTCTAGCGAAAAATACAATCTTTAACTACTGACAATTTCAAAGCAATTGGTCCGGCAGTTAATGAGAAAATCGATTTTTTTTTCACAACAAGAAAAAGAAGGAGTAAAGAAATACCAACATATTATTATTAACAACAACAAAATGACAAAAAGATCCATATGTCCAACTCGTGTTCAATTAAAAATTAATGAAAAAGGACATTAGTGTTCGTCGCATGATGTATGTTAAATGTTCCAATAGACATCTAGGCTTATGAAGTTTATAACGATGCAACTTCCTGCTCTCTATTGAACACTTTGTGTTTAGTTAGATTGAGCTTTCAACAAGCAGATACTGAAGCGTGAGATATATTTTCCGTGACTCTGCCTAGAATAGGGCTCTAAACAAGCAGTCACTGATGCATGAGCATCTATTTTTCAAACTTTAACCAAGAACATGGCTCTTAACAATCAGTCACTTCACTGATACGTATGTATCTGTACTTTTCCTTATTTTGCTTAGAACAAGCCTTTAATTAAGCACTAAACCGTACGATGCTACCTTTCACATATTCTCTTAACACAAGGGTATGAAAACGAAGCTACTGATACAGCAATCCACTTTTCACAACTTAACTCTGAACAGATCTCTGCGCAAGCAGTTACTAATACGTACTAATATACTCATCAGCATTTGGCTCAGAACAAGATTCTAGTCTAATTTTCACTCTTTCACCACAAACAAGTCTGTGAAGAAGCAGCCACGTTCTCTCCAAACTGGTCGTTGAGCAATCGCCCACTGATTCATAGTGATTTACTTTTTTAACTTTCGATCAGAACGAAATTATGTATGATTTCCCCCATGTACAATTCCAATGTCGTTTTACTTTTGCGGTTTTCTGAATTATGGGACCAAAAAACGCATCTGGATATATTTCATATGAAATTCCCTCACTCGGTGAATCATACCCCTCTACGCCAGGGCTCTTCGAGCTGGGGGTCCCGACCCCCCCGGTGGCTTGCGAAAGGGCGCAAAGGGGGTCGCGGTAAAATCTTCAATGTTAATACAAAATATCGATCAAATTCGAAAGACTCGGAACCAGTACTGAGACCTACCGAAATTTTGTAGTGAAGCCATTTTTTTGCAATGACATTTTCCCTTCCTAGTCAGTTATTGATAAAATAAGTACTTATTGTGTGCAAACTGTCTGAGTGATGAATTCCGTGTTTTCAGTAATTCATGCTTCTGGAGGACCTTTCACAATAAAAAAAAATCATATATAATTGAATATATTTTTTGTAGGCTATTCCCTTTCTAGTCAGTTATTGATGAAATAAGTTCTTATTGTCTGCGAACTGTCTGAGTGATGAATTCCGTGTTTTCAGTAATTCACGCGTTTGGAGGACATTTCACAATAAAAAAATCAATAAACAATTGTATATATTTTGAGTAGGCTATTCGAGATTCAATTCAAAAATGATATTTGATTCGATTCCTAAATCTTTAGGTATTCGAAAATGCCTAGGTATGGTAATTATTTAGCTACTACATTTGTAAGATGTAAACATATACGGTTTTTGGACTTTTTATGTCATCGAAGCAATAACATTGCCACACGTTCAATGGATGTAAAAACAGAATGCAAAACGGTATTAGTCATCACTGTTTCCATTTGATGTCACTGCATTCTATACCAATAACGCGGCTAGTTACCCTGACATGCAACGATTGATTTTTTTCGAGAACCGGTGCCGATACTCGGTAACTGACTTTTCATTCGCGCATTTCAATTCGATCCCTCGGGCATAATATTGCTTGTTGTACTAGATAAGAAAGTTTGATTAGGCACAAATTAATATTAGTACCGTATATGTATTTCGAGGCTGTGCAGACGTACTATCGTGGCATCTACAATTTTCAGTCCAGAAACCGTTTTTAACATCGTATATGAGACCGGAATATTATTCTGTATAGTCTTCAGAATCTGCTTTGTTGGTGCTATGAATATAAGAAGTGTATTCTACAAACTTGAGCATGTAAAATTACGTACTGTATTTTTCGTATTCGTTGCTTCGTTCACCGGACTTATTATTTCTTGGACGACTTTTGTGACTAACAATTATCACGATAGTCACGACTTCTTAGCGTTAACTCGCTTACGTCGATTATTGAGTGGGCCTTCTCCCAGAAATGTTGTTATTATCGTTTCAAATCGCCGTTCGGGAACAACGTTTTTAGGGAAAATATTTAGTCAAAAACAGGAAAGTTTTTATTTGTCGAACCGCTTCTTCCCTATACAACGGAATGTAATACGCTGAAAGATGAACGAGTTACCACACTGACAAAATTCCTGGACTGCAATTTTTCTTCTGTCTGATGAAGATTATGAAAAAGCTTTAAAAATAACTGATATTCAGACAAATATTCAAAATGTATGCAACATACTACTTGCTTTGCGGATAAAAATGGCGCATTGCTAGATGACTATTCTCAACTCTGTGGCAATAAACAAAATACATTGGGTGATGAATATTTTGACCCGGAGTCCGAAGAATGCGGTTATCCACTTAAACCACATCTCCTTTCTGAATTGTGCAATTCAGCGAGTATTGTAGCTTACAAAATTGTTCGTGTATGCTCGTTAGAAATGCTGGAGCCGTTATACAGACATCTCACTATGAGAGGACACCGAGTATTTGTTATTCATCTTCTTCGAGACCCGAGGTATAATAGTAGAATGAGCTATAGAAGTATAATATTAGAAACAACTGTATCACAATAGTTTTCAGTCCTTCAACTATGTAGGTAGAAATGAAGATTTTAGTTCAAAATATCGGCCTTTTTTAAAAAAAGATATCGTTCTACTAAACAAACCCTATACAATTAGCCAACTTGATGCACTGAACTATATAATTTGGAACAACGGTCTACACTCACCATATCCTCAATTATGTATTTCAGGGCCGTTTTGGCGTCCAGATTACAACTCGGATTAGATGGATTAAATAAGACCACGTTCCTAAAAGAAACTAGATCTTTATGTGAAAGATACAGAACAAATATTAATTATGCAAATCGAATGAATATTTCTGAAAAAACAAGAAATAGGTAGGTCTTATTTCAATTAATAACAAATTAGGTAGCACTGCATTGAATTCCATAATTGTTCATTATGTCTTCTATTCATAGCATGACGACGCCTTGGCACTCGCGAATTTTAGCGCCCTCATACAGATTGCACCCGCGGACATCTGCACCAGCGTACAACGTTTGCACCCAAAAATTGTTATATAACATAGGTTACTGTCTCCAAGTTTTTACAGTCATATTTAAGGTAATAATCCGACCCCGTATCGACCTTTGTTACGGTCACTTCCTTACAACGGAATAACGCGAACGTACTGCGATCATGTCATGAATCGTACACCCCCTTGACCTACTCCCTCTATCGCGCTGTTTGATTAGTTCACGCAGGCAATTACACCGTATGAAAACTGGCTACAAGCTAAGTAACTGCACTGGGTGAAACGTGCGCCGACAAGGAATAGTAATAAAGTAAATAAGAAAAAGTGGGAGAACGGGAAACTCGGAGAAGCAAGATGTATAATTCAGGCCTGCCCAACCTTTTTCGTCTCGCGGGCCCCTTTCACGTGACGAAATCGGTCGCGGGCCGCAAACGTTTGTACCAAACATTAATACCAGATAAGTCCTGAATTTGGTGTAGGGTAATTACATAATACATAAAAGGCGAGTTTATTAACATGAAATCAATCAAATGAATATTTGCTTTACTGGTTACTGGGTAGGGCTGGCAAATTATTCGAATATTAGAATAGGCGGTTTTACTATTAAAATATCTGGTAAACGGGGCGTGGACATAACCACAATCGGGCGACCGAATCAAAGAATCAATCATTACACAACACACTTGCGGTTTTTTGGCGACCACGCAAGAAACACACACATCACGTCAAAGTTGAGTGTTATATTTGCGTTATAGTGTTTTTATTCATTTATTTTCAGTAGCTACGATACTGCTTTAATGTTTAAATGAGCATAATGTGCGTCAATGTCGTGGCAATATCAAGTTTTAGTGGGCCGTATCGTAAAATTTTAAACACCAATACAAGTATTTAATGAAGTAACATAACGAAGATTTCTGAACGAATAGTCGATAAATACTGATTTGTGACTAATTAGTAGCATTGCCATTACGTCAATTTCATCAGAATTATCGACATTTCCAAAATCTTATTTAACGCGAACATAACATGAATAAAAATACAAACATAAAAAGACAACGAGTCCGGGGACCAGTACCCAAGATATTGGTTACTTTTTATTTCACGTTGGCGATAAAAACGATCAGAGCCGACACGAAAGAAAGCAATCAGAATGAAATTAATTTGCAAACTTAGGCTCCAAGTTCATTCCTATATTTGCGCTCAGCGTTTGTCCCCAATTATCGCACAATATCTTTACAGTTCGTCGAACAGAGTGCACAGTTTTGCGATAAATAAAAAAAAATGACCTTTATGTCCACCAGGGTGCAAGACTTGACACATACGGAATAAGAAAAACTGACATTTGAACGCAGATAGATGGCAGGAATAATTACACGAAAGATACTATTGTATAGGAAAATGTATGTAAAAATTTAAAAAGTCTGCTTACAAACTTTATAGGGCGGGCCGCGAAAAACACTCCGGCGGGCCGCGGGTTGGGCAGCCTTGATGTATATCAACCAAGTCTTTTACGACACGGGGGCTTAGTTTGTATTGTTGCGTCATAATGGGATCCACTGCTATTATATATGTTTTCAACGTTTCCAGTTATTGCTTTAAATAACATTTTTCTATGAAAACTCGCTATTTTGACTTGCTTGTTGAGGACACGCCGAAATCTTGCGTGTTTATCAAGTTGATAATTGATACAAATACTCAAGGTGAGCACAGGTACAAATATCTGTGTGTGCAAATGTTCATGGGGGCAAATGTCCGTTGGTGCCGAAAGCAATTTAAGGACGGACTTAGCAATAATATATTTCATCTCTAATTACTTTTCAAATTTTAAAAATTAGGGTTCGAAAATTTTGAATTTTGTTATATTTTTAATCAGGTTCAAAAGCCTACATGTTTGAAAGCCTAAAAATTCAAATCGGTCAAATATATGAATTTGGCTAAATTTGAAAAATTACTATTTTAATTTATTTCAAAAAATATTAAAATAGCCTTCAAATTAATTAAACTCTTTTTACCCTCGGAATGCATTTATTTTTTGAAAAATATAAGAAACAAGAGAGCAATGCTCAAATATATGGACACGAAAACTATTTGCAATAATTGCATCACGCTGTTCTATTGGAAAGATTGTAATGCTTCTCCCATACAGCCATACCAGACTTGGAATGGTACCTTACCGGTAACCAGACAAGAGGCAGTGGTTCGCAATATGGTTAAGCCGTTCTATAGGCTTTCCTCTCCATCGGGATAATTATGTAAATCTTATCCTTTTTGTAAAGTCTCTTCCTCTGCATATTTCGGTATTTACTGATTTATGTACACTAACCTGCTGCACATGTTGAAATTTTTGTGAAGTTTCTTCCTCTGCATACGGTACCATACGTATTTATGCAAATGTTGTTTCCAAAAAAATGTAACGAAACAGCGAAAAATTAGAAAGGCATAGCAGCTGTGCAGACATGCTGGCTCATTACAAAAACTTAATTTCAATGCAGGCACACACTCTAAACAAATATAATTAATGCAACTAGTACAGTAATACTGTACCGTACTAGTCTACCGATATCGTACCTGTACAGCTGTACCGGTACCGGTACGTACCGTAACGGACTACGGTACCGGTATTGGTAAGACGGTACGTAAACCTGTAAACGGTACCGGTACGTGCCGTACAGGCCACAGGGACTGTCATAGCTTTCCCAGCTATCGTACCGGTACCGGTATCACTTTCGCTTAACACGGGAACCACAGTCTACAAATACTGAAATATATGGAAAGTGAACATTGATTGATTGAACACCGAGCGAAACAGTATCGGTAGTTTAACTTAACCTCAAAAACCTTTCGAGTTTATTGGAATCGCAAACCGTTGCATTGCTGCATTGCGGGTACCGGTAACCCCAAACATCTCGATTCCCCATAAACAACTCTTAGCGGAGCAAGAATTACGATCGCTTCTCAGTTGATATGCCTTCGCGCAATCGCCACAAGGTGTCACTATTTTTTATTCTGATCACTTCTTTGAACACAAAAAACGAATCTCTCGGAGTCCACAGGAAATTTTAAAATAAATAAAAGTAATAGCCTTCTGGAGAAAAATTTTATCTTCAACCACTGAAAATTTCAAAGCAATTGGTCCAGTATTCGAAGAGAAAAGCGACTTTTTAAAAACGTGTCAAAGAACAAGAACAACAAGAGAGCAATGCTCAAATATATGGACACGCAGAACAATTCAATACAACTTTCTACGACAAAGGGTTGAAGCTATACAAATCCCCAAAGTACGGCACTCAAAAGACGTATTTGCGACCGAACGACCAGTGTGCGACCACGGATTTCAAGCCTTGATCATCGTTTATGCTGCGCCGAGACTATCGCATACGCAGCCATACAGCAATCAAACAGACAAAACACGGTGGTCGCAAATTGGTTGACAATTGTTGGTCTTGTGACAGCGTGAAAACATTGGGCTTCTAATTGCATTTCTGACCGTCATATATTTCAAGAACACGGTTATTTCGAACAAAACTCGTTAAATTATAAACAAAGCACCACATCACAGCAATCAAACAGACGAAAACACGGTGGCCGTAAATTGGTTGACAAAGATATTATCGACGTATCGGAAATGCACACCCCCTATTCCCCCTCCTTCAAATGTAGAAACGCGAAACTTTCAAATATGGTTAAAAGAAACACAACTCTACCCACCTGCCAAGTTTCATCTTTTTATTTCTCATATTTGTATGGATTTTCAAGCTTTTGACAGCTACGAGTTAGTTCAGTGTCACCGCGCTGTGTTACGGTACCAGAACTCCTGTCTTGTGACAGCGTGAATTGAAATTGCAAGATGGTCCGTTGGACACAAAATGGCGTCCGATATCCGCAGAACGTTTAGTGACGTCATAGCAAACAAAAACAAATCTTACAGAGCTAACAGAAATATTTGAAATAAATAAAAGTAATAGCCTTCTGGAGAAAAATTTCATCTTCAACCACTGAAAATTTCAAAGCAATTAGTCCAGTAATCAAAGAGAAAAGCGACTTTTTAAAAACGTGTCAAAGAACAAGAACAACAACATAATATTGAAACGATCGTTATGTCCACTACGTGTCCAACAACAACATAATATTGAAACGATCGTTATGTCCACTTCGTGTCCAATAACAACAACTGTATTAATTTATCTACGCAGCAATGAAACTGAAAGCAGCAAGCTGTAAACTGCAGCAATGAAATTTTTAAATTTTTTGATATTCAGGGATCTTTTTTATCGTGATGAGATGATGATTATATTTATCAGTAATGTTTTTTGTTTGTCAGTTTTAACCCTCCCTCTCAGGACTAGAAAAGGGTGATATGATACCAACGCACACATATAAAACTTCGTATTCCTATCAAGTATTTCGAAAATTCTGTTATGGTAACATAATAAATTCTCATAAAAGGTTGTATGATGTCACTGTGGGAAGGGAGCCTGACAACTAAAATAGCCGAGGGCCTTCTGTCGTCTAAATCTACCCCTGGTGCAAATGGGTGGGTACAAAGATAATCGAACCATGAATCCGGTAGTGGGAAAATCCGGGAATTTAGTCGTTATACAGTTCGGATTCAAAAACATCCTTTCAAACTTGCTGCAGTCGATATTGCATAATTTCAACTCGAGATTGAATAACTTACTCAGTACAAGCAAAGTCTATACAGTTAAATTTTTGTTGTCCAGACTCAGACTATACAATATTTGGACCTCCTGAAGTATGCGCACCAAGATGGCGCACAACCTGAACACAGGTTGTGTACCAGGTTAGGGTTCAGGTTATGCGACATCTTGGTGCGCATAGTTCCGGAGTACCCAATATTTTATATTCAGAGCCATTGTAAACAGAAATATTTTCCAGGTTTATACGAGAAGAACGTTGTCACTGACGGCCGTTATATGAGAATAAGATATGAAGATTTTGTGTCGGACGCGATTGGAGTTGCTTTCAAAATATATGAGTATGTTCTTCCTAATATTTGTCGGTTTGTTCGTGTTTGTAGGCGCGTAATTATACCGAAGTCATACCTCAAGAATTGCCCGATATTTAAAAGCATTGTGAATGCATCTTGGATTGCTACAAAACATTGTCATGGCGCCAGTCCAGATAAACCCGCATTTTGATTCGAATCTTACGCTGAAACTCACATTTGTTGACCCAGACTATTTTCGTGCATGTCCCACACTTGATCACTACGCAGTTTTAATAGCATTGCTCTGTTTTTTCTTTGCATTTCAGTTTTATGGACAGTGATCTTCCACCAGAGGTTGAATCATGGATTCGTAGTTCTCAAGTGCACTCTGGCACTCTGATACAGCAAGCCGCGCAGAGAAAAGACAAGTCACTAAGAGAAAAGGTAAAGAGTTGATGTCCCCTCTAATATAAATAGCTATACTATGATTATTGAACACGTTAGTGAACCTATGGATCGTTTCAATATTATGTTGTTGTTCTTTGACACTTTTTGGACACCCAGTGGAAAATCTAAAAAGTCGCTTTTCTCTTTGATTACTGGCGCAATTGCTTTGAAATTTTTATTGGTTAAAGATGAAATTTTTTTCCAGAAGGCTATTGCTTTTATTTATTTCAAATTTTTCAGTTAGCTCTGTGAGATTTGTTTTTGTTTGCTATGACGTCACCGAACGTTCTGCGGACGCATATGCTGGCACTCCTCTTCATGTTCTTTTTGGACACGTAGTGGACCTATGGATCGTTTCAATATTACGTTGTTGTTCTTTGACACTTTTTGGACACCCAGTGGAAAATCTAAAAAGTCGCTTTTCTCTTTGATTACTGGCGCAATTGCTTTGAAATTTTTAGTGGTTAAAGATGAAATTTTTTTCCAGAAGGCTATTGCTTTTATTTATTTCAAATATTTCAGTTAGCTCTGTGAGATTTGTTTTTGTTTGCTATGACGTCACCGAACGTTCTGCGGACGCATATGCTGGCACTCCTCTTCATGTTCTTTTTGGACACGTAGTGGACCTATGGATCGTTTCAATATTACGTTGTTGTTCTTTGACACTTTTTGGACACCGAGTGGAAAATCTAAAAAGTCGATTTTCTCTTTGATTACTGGACTAATTGCTTTGAAATTTTTAGTGCTTAAAGATGAAATTTTTCTCCAGAAGGCTATTACTTTTATTGGACACGTAGTGGACAAAACGATCGTTTTGTTGTTATGTTGTTCTTGTTGTTCTTTGACACGTTTTGAGGGAAACCGCTTTTTTTGTGATTACTGGACCAATTGCTTTGAAATTTTCAGTGAGTAAAGATTGATGTTTTTGCCAGAAGGGTATTACTTTTATTTATTTCTAAATTTCGCATGAAATCTGATATTTCGTTCAAAATTTCGCTGTATTATTTTATCCATGGGAACACTGGCTGTCCGGTTTGATTTTGTAAATTAATTCTACGCGAAACTCGGAATTTTTTGTGGGTACCGGTAGCGTCAAAGGTAAGTACTGCTTCGCTCTGGTTAACGCGTCCATATAGTTGAGCATAGCTTTCTTGTTTATTTCAAATATTTCTGTTGGCTCTGTGAGACTTGTTTTTGTTTGCTATTTGCTGATTCCCATTGATGGCAGACGTATCGCATGTGAAACCAATACCAATTACCGGTAGTCTAAATTCGAATTATTTGTACCGGTATCGTTAACGTCAATTCCTTCCTATTTTTCGAACTGAAACCGATTTTTTGACAGAGAATATGCGCACGAAATTTCGATAACAATATAGTCAATAAAGACAGCTTTAAATGTAGGAATGTAGGCTTATGTAGTAAAATTGGAAAATGTGAAGTTATAAAATCACAGCGAAGGGGTCGTTGTCTTTCGAGGCGTCCCGATTTGAAGTCACAAGAATATGGTAACCCTAGTTATATTACAGTAGTGACTCGGATCGTTGGTGTTACTACAGTTATGAGTCGGACCATCTTGCAATTTCAATTCACGCTGTCACAAGATAGGAACTTCTAAAGATAGGGCAGTTCCGGTACCGTAACGCAGCGCGGCGACATTGAACTAATTCATAGCCGTCTGGTAAAAGAGGGGCTTGTTTTTTTAATTTTGCTCCAATAATGGAGAAGGGAATGAAACGGATTACTTAGTATTTCAATTCATGTTGGAATTAAATGGAGAAGAGTAGATCATTGTCACGAGACATGTGAAATGTAATACGGTAGATATTTGACTCATACCCCGATATATGTACTGGTAAGTCGCCGCATATGATTTTTGGGGAATTGTTCTGCGTGTCCATATATTTGAGCATTGCTCTCCTGTATTATTGACAATTATGATCAACATTAACCCCACCCCAAAGGTCCATATTTCTAGGATTTTATGAAACTTATTTCACTGGAGCTCCTGTGCTTTCATAAGTCAATGTGTGATGCTTGTTAATAATATTAAAACATATAGGCAAATGAAATATGTCAGAAAAGTAAGATATAACTAGGGAGCCCAGTGGCACTTTTAAATGCGATACCGGGTGGAATATTTATTGATATATTTATCTGAATCCCGTGCCGAATCGCACATGTTTGCGCATCAAGGAAAACATTCTTCCAAAGTTTGTTTTTCACTGTAGCCGTAACGATGCTATCATCTTTGTTAAAAGGCTACACAACGTCTGGGAGAATTGGTCCACCCGTTTGGCACAACAAGAGATCCCAACAAAGTTTTACGGAAATGGAGATGGTTTTTCACATTTCAGTACATTGAAATCGTGCAGCAAGAATGTCGAGACGTAATGAAGGAGCTCAATTATGATCAATTTCACTCGTATAAAGATTTATTAAATTTTTCAATGCCATCTTACCATTGAGATATTTTATTTATCCTCGCACATTTATTGAATATCAAGATGTGCAGCACACGTTTGACATTGCCTAAACTCTTTTCTCAACAATAACATTTTCACTGTTTAATATGCTAAATTAATAAAATACTCGACAACAACGGCCTTTAGCATCAGTTATAACTGAGATTCATTCGTTCAAATCTTGCTTTACCGTAGACCAGCGTTTCCCAACCTCTTTTTGTCGCGGTCTATTTTCTCAACGGCGGAAACCTCTGCGGACTCAAGGTGCGTTTATTCCAACCGTACTCTGTGTGAAGAAGTAATATAACCAAACATAACAGAATTTTAACAAATTTCAAGATTGGAAATTCGCCGTTAGAAAAATTCTACTATTTGCGTTAATTTTCAGAAAGTAGAACTTGATTCAGTACTTATTAAAATTATTAGTAAATCAAAAATACATATATATTCACCGCCTTGCTTTATTATTAATTTAATCATGATTATTTTAATCTGCGGTTGTGTTGACGAAATAAAAGCAATACTACTCAGAAAATATCATGACAATCCGAGGACACAAAAATGCGTGGTAAAGTGCCCAATTATATTTTGTTTGATTCGCATTTTTGTGAATTCGACAAATCTTAGCTGTTCGTACAACACTTACGGCGCTCCAGTACTGTACATACCAATGTGGGGACAGTAAAGCAAAAAATTCTAAGGAAAAAGGCATTAGTACGTATACTGCGGTAGAACCCGAAATTTTGCGATTTGCAATGTCCAAAAAGCGTTTTTGATCGGTGGTGGACCATTATAAAACGTATGGTGTTTTTCGTTTTATTTTTAGTATTTTGAATTATTGCTTTTCAATTTAGAAAATTTGGATTGCCACCATTGACAGCTATCAGAATAAAATTTATTCCTCGTAGTTCGAACTCGCGAGAAACACCACTTAGATATCAATCGACGCGTGTGCCGACTCATGTTTTCGTCGGAAATCCGCAAGTGAGTTGTGAAATCCAACTGATTGAAGGGACGCGCAAGTGACCTGCCGCTTCACCTGTTACAAAATTTTTTAATAGTAAATTGCTTTTCTAACAGTTGAATATTCGAATATATGCTCAGTAACCAGTAATTATTAACTCGAATAATGGTATGTGAATAAACTTGCTTTTTATTCAAACACTCCGCGGACTCATTTGAGTCCGCGGACTCGGGTTGGGAAACACTGCCGTAGACTGTAGGGGGACCAACGGGGCAGTGTGCATCGCATCTGTCGGCTTGTGAAATATTTAAAAGTTATGTATCAGATTCATGTAACACCAGCAGTGTTAATGTTGCTAGTGACATACATTGATAAATATGACGTTTGAATTGTACTTATCATGTAATCTTTGTTTTACTGTTGTACTTTATTGCTATAACTTAACATGGTTTTCTGAAATGGGGGCACCTGTTACTAATGATTTCAAAACAAAACCCTAAAATTTTGAATCTCTTCACTGGATAGCAGTATTCAAACACTTACTCCGACACGGTGGATTTTCATCGTGGCTCTACTTGGACTGGGGCGTTCCTCACGTCAATTTCCCATCCATTTGTTGGCTACTGTCTCCAAATTTTACCCCATGATAAACGTGGGTAAATTGGAAAATGAATTGCGATGTATATACACCAATCAAACTTTTTTGAACATCACATCAACTTGCGCGCTCTATGGGTTCCTCATAGATAACACTCTAGTAACTACCTTTGCGGCGTCTGCAAAATTTCTGGACATCATTTTGACGACGCCTATTTCTTCCGCCGACGCAGAGCGAACATTCAGCACGCTGAAGCGTATTAAAACGTATCTCAGAAACACAATGAAGCAAGATAGATTAAATTCCTTGGCTGTTTTATCCATTCACAGAGACGTTATTTCTGGGATGCATGACTTTAATCAGCGCGTTATTGAGCATTTTGCTTCCAAGAAACCGCGGCGTGTTGCATATATGTTCAAGCATTAGAAGTCTAGCAGCATATATATCTATGAGTGAGCGACGCATGTCCTTATCTTTGCATTAACTTTCCTTTCTTCATAGTAACGTTTTAAACCTTATTTTAGGTTTTGTCTGCTTTCCCGAAGTTTCTGTTAATATGTCATTGTATTTATCTGGGTAAATATTGCCTTTCCTTTTGAAAGAGGTTTCAAAATAAACTATGTCTATATTTATTAATCCCTTGACTTGGACCGGTTTTAAAGACACTTTCTTATCGTTAAAAATTGTCGCTTTTGCCGATTGGTTGTTACCGATGGAATGGTTTTTATACTCATAAAATGATGGGAGAACTTACAGCGCCCATCCTGTCCCCGTAGATGGGGGTGACTTGGTCCCGCAGTAGCTTGCCCCGGTTGTCAAAATGACCACGCGCCGCCACTGGTCCTAAGTAAAGTTTTTTGTATCCTTATAGAATATAGAGCGATATCAAATTATGTAGACACTGGTTTAAATGAACGCATTCGGATACCTACAGTTGGTATTCAAATAATTTCGTCCGGTTACCAGACTATGTCGAGTATGGGGATAGTTAACTATAGTCGTCATTCTTTAAACATCCATGCACTTCTTGGCGACAAACCCAACTTATGACGGAGAAGAAAAAGAGAGTTTTCACGCGCAGAATTGTCCACCTTGGGATTTGAATCTGCCCATAATAATAATAGAGGAAAGCCGATAAGACGGCTTAACCATATGGCTAACCACGCCGCACCAAGTTCGCGATAAATCCATATTTGGGCATTATATGCTGTCAAACTGACAGTGAATTTTACTTACGTAAGCATTTTTAAGAATTTCCCATTCCTAACATGCAGCGGCCTTTAGGCAAAAATTGACCATTAGAATCAGGCTGTTTAAACTTGTTATCAGCGTCCTCGATCTTTAAAGCGTCCTACGATCTTTTTCTTTTTAAACGCCTAAAATGAAAAAAAAATTATAATATCCCATTGCCGTCCGTTTTCTGTATCTCAATTTCATATCTGAAATAGTAACAATTTTCTTACAATACACAGCCACGGCTTGATGATGTTTTAGAAATAATATGGGAAAATGATTCTCGAACAATTAAGGTCAGAATTGGCATTAAGTGTTTAAAAGGGGTATCATGACACGCAATTTGAAAAATATTATTGAAGCGATTATGGATTTGATGAAGATGTTGCCGCCTTCTGTCGTCCTGTCGATTTCGTTTAAATGCCACACAAAACAAAAGAGTGAAAACTCAGTCCAAAAAAAATTCTAAATAATAAATTTAAGGTAATGAATAATTTCAAAAAATATTACATTTATTCAAAATGATAAACTTTTATACAAAAGAATATAGATAATACATGTAATATTTTGTCCAATAACGAAAATTGAAGAAGATGGATTATATAAACATGGGAACAGCCTAAAAATATCAAATTTTATTACGAACTATTTGTTTGAACGTTCAATTTGGCTTGGCCAACATGGGATTGGTGTATAGTGAAAAAATGGAAAACGGTTCTTAAAAAAAAGGTGTATTTAAGAATCGCGCATAATAACAGTCATTGAAACAACTCAAATCTATAGTTTTCCATTTAAAAAGTGATAAAAATAAATGAATAAATACATACTATGTCACTGTTGAGCGTCATAAACAGGTAAGCCCAAAATTTCCTCAGAGAACATGGACGCTGTAATTTGCCCAGGAAGAATACTATCGAGAAAGTCACTTGTTGTTTCATCATCATAAGTTTGGGTAAAATCTGTGCTTCCACCTTCAGCATTTATGCCAAGAAGGGTGGCCAGATGATCAGAAAGTTCTTGTTCTGTCATATGTTCTCCTTTCCGCTGCAGGATATTGTACAAATCTAGTTTTGCGATATTTGATTCTCCTGGCACCGAAACTATGCCCAAAGTATTGAATGCTTTCTGTATTTCATCTGGTGAAAGACCGAATGCAGGTCTGTGGTTGACGTATAATTTAATAAAATCACCAAGATTGATCACTGAGACGTACTGCCCGGTTTCAACATATTCAGAAAATTTAACCTCATTGAGCATGTCTTCTATCTCCTGTTCAGAAGGATAAAATCCTAGGGCACGCATGACAAATGGGATTTGATCCAGTGGTATAACCGTTGACACCTCTCTTGATTCAGTAGTGTCGATGCTTTGGCTACGTAACTGAGCAAAGTAAAAATAATTTTCCAATTCTGCAAAAAGTTCTCCATCTACCCCGCCTTCCAAAAGTCCATAAAATGGTACAAGACCATCACCGCCTAATGCTGCAGCGGCCTCCAGAGCCTTGACTGAAGCAGACCACATATGAACACAAGAGTCTTTCCCTCCTGCTGTGAACAGATATCGACCATCATGAGAGCAAGCTAAGTGAGAAATTCCATTTGGATGTCCGACCAGTGCAACAGACTTATGTGGATTGCCATCAAGAGGCAAAATTTGTAACCCAACCTTATATTTGCTGATATAAGCAAGAAGTCTTGTTTTATTGTTTGGCTCCCGTTTGTCAACAGGAAGCGGAAGTATCTTGCGTATTGATGATCCATATGTTGGAGCAAGTAGAGTTTTTTCTACACATTTTTGTTGTTGTGTTGTATAATTTGAATTTGTATTGATCATTTGCTGTAACTAGAAAACTTTCTTTGTGACATCAGGATACCATGCCAAACAACTGGGAACAGCACTTTGTTCTATACGATCCACTGACAATAACCGTAGATCATCTTTAGAACTATTCGGCAGATCATATTCCACTAATGTTCTATCCTCTCCCAATGTCAGCAATCGAGGTGAGTTGGAATCCAATGCTACTCCGAATGAAAGATCCTGGATGGGCTTGTAATGAGCTCGATATCGTCCTAAATACTTCCACCCATAGTCTGTTTCATATTCAAATACAGTGGTTGCTAAATCTGCATCTGCCGTGGCGAGATACTTAGAATCGTGTGAGAAAGCAATATGAGTGACAGCATCTCTGGCATACCGGAATGGCTTGCCCACAACGTTTGTCAAACTGATAGTGTCAAGAATATGAACTGTACCATTAGTCATTCCAACAGCAACTTGCAAACCTAACATATCAAAAGCAAGGCATTGTATGTTGTTACCTTTTTCAAACACTCTTGACACCATGCACTGTTTTGTATCATAATTCCAAATTTTTAATAATCCTGCGTAACTACCAATACAAATCCATGGTTTGGTAGAAGATGTTGCAATTGCATGGACAGCTGCATCATGTTCACGCAATATATGATGGAATTCACTTCCTTCAGTATTGACAATAAATATTTCAGCATGCTTCGTAGATACAGTGAAATCCCTGACAATAAATGGATTGGCCGGGATGGTGGCATCTTCAGGAAATGTCTTGGTTTCTGCTAAAATTTCAACATTAAATTCTGGATTGTATTTAAATGATATAGATGTTACAGGACCAATTTGCATTCCTTTGTTGTACCAATTGATCAAGTTCAATGTTGAATCATAAAACTTGATAGCACCAGTAACGTCACCAGTGACAATGTATCCATTTGTTTGTGTCACAGTTGTTATTGCTCGGTCTTGCAATCTTACCAATTTCAAAGCGCGTTTGTGTATTGATGAAATTTTATCCTGGCCATATTTCACATTTGGTCGCTCAGGATCCCACACCACTATATTTCCTTGTGAAGTTCCAGTCAATGCTTGCCTTGAATCAACTTGATATATGGTTTGACTATACAACCCAACTGCACGATTGAAAACATCATCTGACAGATAGGGCGCATGGTATTCAAGTTTTCCAGATGCCCAAGAAAAGAATACAACTTGGCTATCACTATTTGTCACAAATTGCTCATTGTCATCTGCACAAAATTGTACGCGAGATTGAACACCAAAAGCACTTTGCAGTTTCACGGAACAAATCGGCTCATTTGAAACAGATGTCCAATCCCAAACACTGACTGTTTGAATTTTTTCAGCACTGACTGTTATAATGTATTTTGCATCGGATGACATTGCAACTGCAACAGTTCCTTGATCTCCAAGAACAGTGAAAATTGATTGAACAGGTATTCCTGTGTATGAGTCCCAGACAATAACAGAGCTATTCTCACCCTTATCTGCAGTGACAAGCCAACGTTTATCGCTACTACAATCAAAACAAGTGATAGCATTCGCATGACCAAGTAAAAGCTTCTGGACATGGTTTTCAAAATCAAGAAGAACAGCCACATGAGATGATGCATACATCACAAGGTTTCTAGATGTATCAGATAAATTAAGACATCCAATATGACGATTAAAACCAAAAGTCCAATTAAGGCTTAATGGTTGAGTTTGCTCTTCTTCCCTGTATGTAACCAAAATATCTTTCGCACTTGCAGTTTCGACAGCAGATTTTACTATCGGCGGAGGGGGAGGAGGTGCAGTTGGTTGTTCTTCCAATTTACTGGGTGATTCCTCTGTTGGTGGTCCGGCCGAAGGTTCCAATAAACCTTCACTTTTAGTGATGGGTTGTTCAGCGGCCTCAATTGTTTCCTTACTTTCAACAGGTTCATTATCCCCACCTTCATCCATTTGAGGGCTCCTATTTACTTCCTCTTCTTGAGAAGGTATGTTTTCCTCCTTTTCTTCTGCTTGTTTTTCTTCCTGTTGCTCAGAGACTTGCACCTCATCGCCATCTGTATCATTTTTATCCTGTGAATCTTCTTTTTTTATGATATCTTGCCCCGGCAGTTCTTGTATTTCTGAAACTTCTTCTGCAGGTTTTTCTTCATCCTTCGTTTCTTCGGTTATCTTCTCTACATCCCTGTCTTCAGTTTTATTCTCTTCTATTTTATCTGTTACCTCCTTATCAATTGCTACTTCCTCCTTTTTAGTTTCAACTTCTTCTGGTTTATTAATTTCCTCTGGTGGATTATCCCTGTCCTTTGGTGCCACAGTTTCATTTTCACTGGAGTCTTTGGGCCCTGTTTCGGCCTCTACCACACCTTCTTGAGGCGGTTGATTTGTTGAAGGGTTTTCCTCTGTTTCAGGATTATCTTCTTTTTGTCCAGAGTCAGACAGGTGAAGAGCATTTTCCTCTGTCTGAGGATTCTCTATCTTTTCTGCGTCCGACATGTGAGAATTTAGAATTATTCAAAATTCTGTGAAATCTTAGAAATTGTACTAGATTATTACAATTGGGTATATGGATATATTATATATTAGCAAAAAGAATCGGTCGATCAGGGGATCAAAATAAAAATAACTCATGCAAACAGAGCAGAGTTGAAGAAGAAGAGTTGATCTTTTGCCTTCATTCTCCAGGCCTACGTGTTCACAAACTTTGAAAGGCATAATTTACATATTAACGATCACAAAATTGAGTTTTATTTGAAGGCAGCAATTTTTTTTCGTGTAAGTGCGCTGTGAGTTTTTTCCCAGATAATTTGTTGCCACAAGAACAAAAAGCTCAGAAACCACTGCTCTAGGTATTGGTTGGGTACAAGCAGGGGTGAGATTCGGTTTGCACCGGTTCTATAGAACGGTCTCACGGAATTTTATGAGATCAGCAAACCAATTAGCTTTACTGGTTACTCTCAATGTTCTGTTTGTAACAGAACCGACTGAAAAATATGACTTTTGTAATGGAACCGGCTGACAAAAAATTTGAATCCCACCACTGAGTACAAGTCCCTAAATCCTAGGTATTGGGTCAAGTCAGAGTCCCAGGTATTTTTCAAAGTTTGGGTCAGAAGTCAGGCCATTGCTGTTTCGAGTTCCCATCAAAGTACATTTCATAAACAGAGTTGAAATGAATAAATATGATTCAAATTAATACGGGAGCTCGAGCAACTTCAAAAAGATGATTTGAGTGAATGACTCAAGTCTTCCCAACACTGCTTCATAGAACATTTCTCTTCTGTTCTTAGGATAAAAAACAACAACAAAAAGATATAATATCAAAGCGGACAAAACCCAATTAATTGTTTCAAGAGTCATTTTACATGAATGTTAAAGCTTGTGCACAATTGCAAATGTAGTAAGTTGATAAATAAATCTATTTTTATGTTTTTTTGTCTGGTCAAAGCTAGACTAGGTTAACATGGAGACATGCCTTTTCAGTAAAATTGTGAAGGTCATGAACCGTTATTATCTAACTTTTGGACGGAATTTTACACTTCTCCTGATTAGCAGATACTAGAATGAGATAACCTCAACAAGTTCACTTGAATATAAATAATACATTCCACAAAGAATCGCTGGAATCAGTGAGCTTTGCTATAACATTGAGCTAACAGACTCTCAACTGGACGGACCTGTTACTGCCATGGGGTAACCATGGTGATATTAGTCCGTTCTTTAGTGACACCGTGTGATCAAATGCACGACCGATTTCTAGTCATTTGTAAAAAATCCACACCCCGTGACATCCATCATACCATGGGACATCTCTTTTTGCTCTAATCATTGCTTTTATTTGCATCTTACAGATTTAATAATTCTATGTACATGCATATTAAAAAGCTAATGGTATACAATTATCAGATGTACTGTTGCGTCGGGTTGTGGGGTCGGAAACTCCTAAAAAATAACCAACGAAAGCAACGAAAAAAACGCGGCGATCCGTAACATTTTACCAGTTTTCTTATATTATTTCGCCATTTTCTAGTTAACTAGAATGAACCCTCTTCCTAAAAAGTTTTCTTCAAATAAACAATAAAATTCGAATAAACATAGTGTTATTCTTCAAAAGAAAATAAATCTAAATATGTCTAAATTTCGGGGAAACACGGTAACAAGTGCTGTACAGTGTACACAAAACTGCCATGCGTAAAAAAGCCACAAGAAAAAAAGATCCTAAAATAGAAATTTTCACAGATTACAATTTAAATTCAATTTTTTTTTAAGGTTCACGTATTCGAGTCGCCACCGATCAGTATAATTAATCAAAGCTTCTTAAATCTTTTCACGACCCACTAAGATTCCTTTTGCGACCCACCAATGGGTCGCGACCCATAGTTTGGGCAGAGCCATTATAGGCTCTGGTTTGGGAACCGCTGCAATAGACGGTTGGTCAATATTCAGGCGTCTAACAAACAAAATAGTGAACTGCGTAGCGGGGGTGTGTGCGATGTTTGAGACGGTATGTAAACAAACAAATGAACAAATTGTTTCTAGATGAAACCAATGACATTAAACAACATGATAGGCAACTCTGACGTCACTCCATAAGACTACATGCGAAAGATTGTATTTCATTATACGCTCCAATGCACATATTTCTCGTCGCCTTTCGCGACCGTTTTCCGCTCGCTTTTCCTACCCGGCGTCTTCTTTACGCGTAGTGCCTGCCTTTTTGCGCCTGTAACGAAAGAAAATAATCTCTATATCTAAGAAGTTTTGCTCACTTGGAAAGCTGGAATGGCAGACAAGCTGTAAAGAGTAATTCTGGACATCATAGACGTTTTTTTTTTATCAGAGAAGATTACAAACGCGATAGCGTAAAGATTTTGTGGAACATTTTGCAGATAATGACAAAGTTCAAAGTTAGTAATTTTAATGTTTGCGCTTAAACATTGAAATTTCATTTAAAGAGAGTGTCATACAAAACAGCAAAACTGTTTTTACTTCTCTTAACGGTGCTGTGATACAATTCCATAACACTAGTTTGCACCTATCGAACTTGCTTTAGTAGGTTAATTTATTAGACATAATTACATATTTAGTTAACCGTAGGTAACATTGCTGGTACATAATGCCTCGTAGATATGTTTGTGTCTAAATGTAGGAATTTAGTTCATAGTCCACTAATTAATATCTTCTATGCGGGAGGTTGTAGGGCTGATTCAACTTGCAGCCTTACCGATCATCTGACGATGCTCATTTAGTTTGGCTCGAGTAAGTCTTCTTGAAAGACTTGTATGAATGGAATCTACCTATATGTTTTGCCTTCCTCCGATTTTAGAAGACAAATTTATTCTGAGGGATTTGGCATATAATTCTCATTGAATGTTGGCTGTTTATGATTCCTATTAATTGTGAATTCTGATTATAACAAAGAGTTTTACGGGCACCTTTTTCTTGTCAATACTCCAAGCTGAGGTAATAAACAAGACAATACTGTACATTTATGTCTTCTGGAAGCAAAATATGCACACTAATTAAAAGTTTGACCGTAAATATATACTACTACGGTTTGACACATTGAGATAATACATCATGACAGAAAATACAAGTTAAAGATATGTATGACCATCACATGGTAATTAAAATTAAAAAAAAATTAATAGGGGCTGTGGAGTATGAAAAGTTCAAGACAAAGAAAAGAACAAAAGTTCATAGCTCACGAACTCTCAATTTTGCCTCCATTGCTTTGTGAAGGCCAATATATTCCGAGTGGCTGAATTGGTTTACCTTTATGATAGCAACGATTTTGTATTTATGTAGCGAGATTTTTTTCAATTTAATTGAAGTGATATTATTTCCCAAAGCAATGCTTGAATTGTCTAGAATAGATCAGTGGTGTCAAACGCATGGGTTTTCGAGAGCCGCATTGCATTTTGGAAATTGTAAAAAGGGCCGAAAACACTTTTTGATAATGTATACTTGAAAGATATGTTTTTCAGATAGTTTTAGTTTGTGACATATATTGTGATGCAACTAAACAGTTGAATAAGTTTTATTATTTTCTTTAATTTCAAATGCAATTACATATTAATATTTGCATTCCACTATTATTGCAAGTTACTGTATTTATTACAAAAAATCATAAAATTCTTTATACAACCATCAAAATCATTTTTGAACAAGCTTTGGATAAGGAAAGAATAATACATACACTAAAAATGACTTAATCTAAATATATGGACTTAAAATTAACAAAAATACTACAGTATAAACTCAATGTTTTTTTAATTACATTTGTCCTGACGTTTGGCATCTCTTTGTGTCACCAGCATACTAAGGCCAGGCTGAAATGATTTTATGGTACCAACTCTAACTAACGAGGTCACATGATCATGGGTTAATCTGGAACTTTGCGAATGTTTAATTAATTCCAGTAATGCAAAAAAGTTACTTTTATCATTTCATGAATAGATCAGTAGAAAAACAAATGACAGATATTTTCGACAAGACATTTCGCGCCACATTGCATAGCATAGGATTGCTTGAATTATTATTGATATTGATTTTTAGTAACTAAGTCGTTGTATATTTATATTAATATACAAACACATGGAAATTTTCGGTTCGAAATTGGTCTTCGAAGTTGTCATATTGACTGCTGAGCTTATTGTGTTTTTTGATTGTATTGATGGAAATATGACAAATTAAACAATGTGCTTCAAAATTTTGTGAAATGCAGAAATATTGCAACTCCCATTTTCTTCGAAAATGCCACCTTCTTCATGTACTTTGCGTTTAATTTATTCACTCAAGTGTTTTATTCAAGTATTCTTTTGCTAGCTTGATGTGTATTCTTAATTGGGTCAAAATGTGAACAAAAAAAAATAATTTTCCACAACTACTTTCAGTAAATTGCTTTCTGTGTGAATATTCAATTTCACTTTAAAAAGGTTGAAAAATCTATTACACTTAGATAAAAAAAAAACTCCAAAATACTATTACAATTATTGTTAAGCGTTCGAGGGCCTCACTGGAAGTTCTCTGAGGCCGCGAGTTTGATATCCCTGGTCTAGATTGAAGTTGTCCAAAATATATAACAGTATTTTATCATGAATCATGATTATACCCTTTCCTGAATTTCTTCTTTAGTACTACCAAAAGTTGATGAATCAAATATAACACAGGTGTAGTGAGTGACCCATAATCCTCATTTTCCGAAGCTGTTTTGAGTATGTCTGGCATGTTTTGTGCCTTTTTACAAAGAAGACCGCTTATGCAATCTTACGCTTCGGAATTTTTAGTTATTTTCCTCAAGCCCTGCCGGATGTAGGGGCCATACACAACTCTACCGGAGGTTCAAATGTCTTTGCATGCCTCCATAGGTTGTTCTTCTATTGCAAACATTTATGGAGTATTCGGATTGTATTTCTTGGAATCACACTGTCACTGATATGTCGCCAGACTTCTGAAATATCCCCTTCTGCTACAGTTGTCCTGTGAATAAATATTAGGAAATTGAGGTTGGACGAATAGTTAAAAGTTTTGCTTTATGTCGGCCTAATTTCTTGATTGATATACTTACTATTTTTGCTATTGCCTCTTGTGCTGTAGGAGTCCCACAATGCTTAGACAAGTTTTTCAAAAACTTTCACATCTGAAGAAAGAGAAGAGATTCAATAATTTTCGTTAAGAATAAATAAAGCAGTCTATATGATTTAGATTGGAAAAGCTAATAAATCCAATATCTCATGTTTTATGTAAAAAATGTTTTACTGAATTTCGTATATAAACCAACTAATAAAGGGGTTTAGTCAGAAAATTACAAGCATCGGTGGCTCCAAATACTTGAGAGATCAGACTATACAATATAGACCGGTATGAGTGAACTGTTAGGTGAACTTGTTAACCCTTTGATTCAATACGCAAATAAAAGTGAATGAGCAATAGTATGTTACAGCAATGAGTATATATCCTCACTGATTAAAAAAAATCGAAATGGAGGTGTATGAACTATTTGAAACCATAATGGGTAAGTAAATAAGCAATTTCGGCAAATGGGCAATTACTTACCGTACTGATTAAATAACTTCGTAGTATTTGACAAAAGCTGGCTTTCCCACATGTACTTAACAGCGCGATGCCCGAGTGTGATATACAACAATAGTATTTACCTTACTTTTTTCCGATTTCTTTTCACCTTCAATTTTCCAATATATCATTAAAATCGACAACAACTGTCAAAGCAGGCACGAACACCATTCGTGCTATGCCTTGAAAGCAGCACACATTCGCTCGTTTTCGTCTCGTCAAGTATGTGCATTGGAGCGTGCTATCGGATACGATCTTCGACCAAAAATGCCGGAGTTGCGCATCATGTTGTTTAATGTCATTGATGAAACCTATGCTGGCATTTCGTGCTTAAAAATATAAAAAAACAAGCTATCGAGTGATCGCCATAAAATCGACTATATATCACGTTTACACAATGATGAAAACATCAATTGTCAGTTTTAAAAGGTTTACAGAAATGAACTATTCAGATTATACAAAAAACGCGAACTCAATAGTCGTAGAATCTAGAGTAGACGCCTCTATAGCAACTTCATGGTGCAAAATAATTTTTTTTAAAAAGTAAATATTTACTCTGTTGAATTCATATTTCTCATAATCCAATGATTTGTTGAAGGTATTCTTGTCTTACTAGAAGAAAAAAATTATTAGAAACCCCCCCGTTCGCCATTCCAAAAAAATTACGTGTTGATTCGTGTTACGTTTTTACTTTTTTTAAAGAATGCAAAAGCAAACCAATCCTTCCTTTATGCATTTGAGTTCTTCTGAATATCCCAGTCGCAACCATGAGTTCGAAATGGACACTGATACAATTTGATACAAGTCATAAAGGGCTGGAAGATACTGCAACAACTACGCTTGCCTGCTCCACATGTTGATTTCATAGCCAAATTTATCGTGCATTCATCAAAAATGTAACAAAACAGCAAAAGATACCGGAGCAGCATACCGGAGCCATGTCGCTAAGTACAATCTTCAGTTTCTGGATGTATGATGTATGTAGGGCCTACCGATACCATTCCAGATTAGTTGGCACGTCCTTCACGCAATGCGTCAGACTATAAATATGAATGAATAACAGTTCGAAATTGAATGTTGAGATCCCTTGATTCAGCCTACCTTGGCTAAGGACGAAAACGGCCCTAAGTGTAATCAATTTGGTGTACAACGCCGAAGCTTTCAAACCAGAGAGATAATACAAATATAACGGGGGGAAATGGTTCATTTGACTTTTTTTCAATTTTATTGAATTTCAGTCTTGTGTTTTTGTGTTGTGTATTGTGATATTTTTCTGTACATGACAGTCCAAAATAAATTATATTGTTCCACTGAAGAGGTGCTGTGCGAGGATGCGTAAAAATGAAGGAATTCGAAGTGGCAGCCGATTTAATTTGATCCAAAAAACTACCTAAGGAGAAGCGCCGCACTCTTACACAATTTTAGTGACGTGCGAAGTACGCAAATCGCGCAGTCGGTTTCTGCAAGACAACCATCCGGTGGCGCGGCAAAAGCTTGAATGTATACAAACGTATGTAAATCTGTCCATGGCCAGACTGCTGTTTGTTAGAATGCAAGGCCTTACGGTACTCTGGGGAAGGTTTGTGTTAGATACAGTAGGTTGACTACCCGTAAGTTCACGAGTTAGATTTGTAAACCGTTCGAGAACCCCTGATCTAAAGATGTCAGGCTGTAAAGAGTGTTCATGGGTACCTACTGGTAGTTCAATATTAAAATTAGTTTTGTTCTCTTCCCGGGGATTATTGGGAAATTGGTACCGGTAGTTCAAGACACTCTTTCATCAATACGGTAATTCCGCTATTACAATGCTGCAATGGGAGCTAAGGCTTTATTGGTCTGGTATAGGCTAGTTTCAGAGTTTAGTAGGCATACCACATGCACTTTTAGTTGGCCTGGCTTAAAAATTTTGCAGTATGTTATTTCTAACCCCCACCTGACTACGTCACCGAAAAATTATGTCATTGCGAGTTGCGACGTAACAGTGGCGCAATAAGACCCACCAAAGTATGCGGATGGTCGTCCAAAATGCGCAGACGATCACCCGAAATGGAGCAAGCTATTTCTCTTGTTTTCTTGTCGCAACGATCACAATATGAGAGCGATAGCCGGCGTGATGGTGACGTAATTTTCGGATGGCATAGTCAGGTGGGGGTTAGGAATAACATATGCAAAATTCGTTATGCTATGCCCGCTGGAACTACTTGTGGTACTAAACTATACTAGACCCGGCTTCTTGATAACCGATATCATCATTCACAGTCATCTGGCTGTCTGGTCATGTTGATGGTCTAATTTAGGGTGGTCCAAACCCAGGCCCGCGGGTAGAGGTGGGCAAAATCGAATATTTTTTTCGAATCGAATAGTTCGAATATTTTTTACGAATGCGGAATAGTCGAATAACGAATATTTCTTTAAAATACAACGGGGGTCCGTCATACTCCCTTCGAAAATTAGAAGAAACTTTGAAAAGTCGGCAACAAAGCGTTTTTTATTTACTGGTTAATTCATTAAAATCGCTAATTGTTTTTGTCGCCGCGATCCTAAAGTTCGTAATCTGTATTCACGCCCGATTCATTTTTTGAAAGTATTAATTCTTGCGGGTCGGCGGACATCGAAGTTTTATTAGGTATACCCGTGCGTTGCCGTTGGAAAGTTTTTAAAACTGTAAAAGTCACCAATAACGCGTGCGATAGCATTTTGCTATAATCGCCGATTGTTATTATCAGTGTGACGTGGTATTTAGGCCGTAAACAACTTTATGTTGGTTTTATTCTCTCCAAATCAAAAATTTGCCACAACGTTGTGCGACGTTAACGATGATAATTATTTTATTTTTGTACACACACGGAATTGCGAATCCGGCGATAGTTTAATTAATATACGTTCATCGGCGGCGAGTTTCTGAGGACAACGCGAATTTTTTGATTGAAAAGCGGCAATATAATATACTGAAAATAAAACTTTAAACAATATGAGTTTTATTGAGGCCTGCGACAGTTTAAAAACGCCTTTTTGGACATTGAAAATCGCAAAATTTCGTGTGCCTCTCGCACACATTATGTTTGGTGGGCGTTTAGAAAACATATCGTCACTAAAATCAAAGCACTGTTAATTGTGGGGATTGGCCTTATTATCCATTACCCAAAACGCGCGGGAGATCATCCGAAATCCAGCAAGCTATTTTTCTTGTTTTCTCACCGTTACGATACTGATGAGAGAGACATCGCTGGCGTTAGTGACATTATACAGTTTAATTTTCAGTTCAACTTAAAGGAATTCGAGTTGTTTAAAAATAATTCAACTAAATTGTTGTAATTAGAAAAGTTCAGCTGTGTACTATTTATATTGTTTGGAAAATACATTTAGTAATGGTATAATTCCAATTTTGTTCAAAATTCTATTTACATTTGCCAATGAATGCAAGTCGTTACTATGGTACCATGACAGTATAATGCTACATATGAAACATTCAAAATATGCTTTGCATTTACAGAATTAATAATTGTGGTTTGCGTTTGTTATTTATATCATTAAGGGTATGCCTTATTTTTAGAAAGTTTGTACAGTGTTGATTGCTTTTTTATATTTGGAATAAAAGTATTTGTCTTGTGGGATTTATAAAAAATATAAGACAATATGCCAGGTACTGTTGGCAGAAGAACATTGGTTAAAGTTGAAGTTGGTGATGCAGAAAAAAGAAGAATTCCATCAAAGCATTATGTGAGTATTAGATATCTCTGTCTTGTACAACGAAAAAAATAAGTGTGAGTGAGTGAGTAATGGTTGAGTAGGGCCATATTGAGTGAGTAATGGTAATTTTTTTACAGAAAAACCCTTTTTTAATTACCGGTAATTCCTAACCATAAAGCCTAAAAATCTATTCCACGAAAGTTTATATTTATTTCATTTCTGTATCTTTATAATAACCACATAAAATGAAATCATTGAATTGGTGATTCTTCATTTCAAAATGTTCTGAGCAAAGTCATCTGCACTCACATAGAATTAGGGTTTGTGTTCAAATTTCATTTGTTACAAGCGAGAAAGTAAGAGGAGTAAGAGCTTATATATACAGCACATTTTTTTCATGGCTCTTAGCATTTTATGATACATCATGCAACACATGCTTATTTTTGATGTGAGAATTTAGAAGTGTTTTTTTGAGACATAATGTGGTTGTTCTACACATATTGAGATTGAGAATTTATTCCTACCATACGATTTTCTTGCTGGATTTATCATTTAATTGATTTTTGATGGTGGTTTTTTGACATTGAATTTCCTTATAGCCTACATATTGGATATGAAAGGTGCTAAAGTTTATTTGCATTTGGTGCCAGATTTTCAAATCGTTCTAACATATGGCTATCTTCTCACGAATTTAGAATTCGTATCTATGAGAAATTGTTTGTATAAATTTAGAATTCCCACTCCATATGGTAGCATTTACGATTAAAACATGTTCCTATATACTAGAAGTCTGGTTCAAAATCAAATTTGAATAATCTAAATACCGTAGATCTTAATTTGGTAAATTTTTCTGTACTAGTCATATCATGACAAATGCCAAATTTAAACTGCAAATATGAGGAATTTACAGAAAAAATATTTTAGTTTATTTGAACTATTGAAATACTCAATTTTCAATTAGATTCCAATTTTGCTTGAAGCATATGCTTAGAACGTTCACAGTTATCAACTAGTATTTTATTTGTTGATAAGTTGGATATAATTCTGTTGACTTCAACAACAATAAGTATTTAAACCACTGTATTTTTTTTTGTGGTTGTCCTATGATTTCCCTGTCAGAAAATATTTCATATCCCTGTAAATTCATGGACTGTCAATTGAGCATACTTGCTATGTTTGGACCAACTATGAGTCATACTTTAAAACAAATTGAATTTGTCAATAATCTTGAAGTTACAAAAAGACCAAGGCTGGTATTCTTGTATTGAACAGGATTATTGCACCATGCTTATCTATTATTCATAACAATATTTGCATAATAAACTTGGACATAGTTTGCAGTGTTCGAAGCTAACCAATATGTGAAATAAGTCTAAAGCTTGATGCAAATTAGTCTTACTGAACTAAGATATTTTTTATAGTTTTCATGTACATATACTTCATCAAATTTAGCTTCAAGTGAGATATGTTTCAGCTGTGGCAAACCTAACAAATTGCAATTGAGATAAATTCAATTTTAATGTGGATTGTAACATATGGTGAATATGACTCAATTCTTAACTCAATTTTGTGTTGTCATTGAACTTTCTTTTAAGCTTATTCTATGAATTTTTTTACAGTCATATGTCATCAAAGTATGGTGGGATGATGATAGTGAAACTGTCGTTTACAGGCGATATAGCAAGTTTTTTGAATTCCAGGTTAGATTGAATATTTGATCATAGAACAGTATGAATTTTATTTTTAAATGAAAGTATGGGAGAATGTACTATAGTACTTTTTTAAAATGATATTAATGTATTTTAGTGACTGATATTAGTTGAAAAGTTAGCGCAACCTAAACAATGACTGTTATTTTCTGTAACACCATGTATTCTAAATTTATGAATTTGTGAGTTATTTGTCTAATTTAAATATTCATCTTTTCCATTTAACAGATTATACTTTTGGAAACTTTTCCATATGAAGGAGGATTAAAAGAACCATCAGCAAGAATAATTCCATTCCTACCTGGAAAAATATTATTCAGAAGAAGCCACGTTCGTGATGTTGCAATGAAAAGATTAAAACCAATTGATGAATACTGCAAGGTGAATTACGTTTGAATTATATAGTATAATAAGCGGTAAAGCGCGCATCTCCCTCTGTTGATGTATGATTTTGCTTGTTGGAGTATTGCAATATTGTGTTTTGTACTGTTTTTTTTAATATTTTTTTTCATGTTTTTCTAGCAATTTGCTATATTTAGAGGCACTTGCTTGTTGCACTTCTAGCACCATTGATGCAAAACTGCCATGGGATTTAAAAAATCTTAATTAAATTTCACAGTTGGTATAATCTCTCGGGTATGCACTTACATACCATAATATTAATTAGTTACAGCATAAAAGTTGATAACAGGTGTTGCAATTCTTGTCATCCTTTTTGTTTATCCTTGTCTACTTCATTTTTTGCTTTGAAAAATAGTAAGAGGTATGCTCTCAACAATTTTGATTTTTATTATATTATATTGACTTGACGAAAAATTAAGATGCCAATTGCCATACTATGAAAAATAATTTTTCTCCCTAAATTTCCATATCATTTCGTTCATTTGTATGTATCAGCTCGTATCATCGTGTTTTTAATATTTAATCTTGCATTTCTTATAACTTAGGTCATTAAACAACTTGGATATCCGATATGACATAAGATGGCAAACATCCTCATACCGGTTTTTCAACATAACTAAATAAACAAAATATTATTTTACAAGATTGTATGACTCATAACCGGCTCCTTTAACTAGGCCTATGAATTATTATAGCACAACATTGTTTATATATGGGGGTGTGTGGCAGTGCCACATTTGGAGCGTAATCTCTCTGATTTCTGTGTTTACTGAGTGATTTATTACTGCTATTTCCACCATTAGTTTACTGTTGACGTCTATTTTTATAATAATTATTGAGATGGATGACATATTCAAAATTTTTACCAAAAATACACAGTATTATTAAAATATTTAGGTTTGGTCAATTTCGGGACATTCAAGGTATTTTATAAAAGGGTGTCATCATATTTGATAAAATTTATGTTAGCACAGATATCATATTTATGAATGTATAATATATTAGGCTGAATTATTTAGGCTAGAGACTTTCTATTAATTTGCCTGATATATTAATCACTATTTAGTGATTAACATAGCTTTTCAATCCAACTGTTTATAATATAGTTTCAAAGCATCAGTTAAATTCCGAGTGTGAATCAAAAACATTCCTATTTGGTAGCAGCGATGTTCTTTGCGTTCATCTTCATTATAATAATAAAAGTTGCCCTGGGGGGTCCTCTGAATGTCCAGTGTTCAATTTATTAATAATACCAGGAATCATACAAAAAAACGCTGCACCTTTATTGCTGAGAATTTTTTGTTTCAAAATGATGATTATCGGTTTACGCTTTAATGATGCACAAGGGAACAGTTCATTGCTTTGTGTTACATTAACACCAGTTCATTTAGCAAAAATGCATTTCAATGCCATGTGGAAAATTTTGTCTAGACATAAGAGTTTGCTAATTACGACAATGGCTTTTGGTCAAGAGATTTTAATGCAAATCATACTTCATTTTTGTGAACTTAACGCGTTAGATTTTGATGTCTTTAAACTCTGATATCCTCAATAATTTTACTCTTGAACATTTTCATTCATGGTGGCGCATGGTGCCAGTATATGAAACAAAAGGCTCATTTATCTAACATTTATGGTATATATCTTAGTATAATTATTAAGAATTTTGATTTATTTATACTCTTACCAGGCTTTGATCAAACTTCCATCTCATATTTCAAAATGTAACCATGTGCTTGACTTCTTTGAAACTAGACAAGAAGATTTGAACCCAAGCAGAGAGTAAGTATCAATAACATCTTTTTTTAATAAAAATATATGCACAATCACTCTTTTATATTTGATGTAAACCGCTCACAGGAATACTTAATATTGTTTATGTATAAAACAATAATAATTTCAGATTCTGAAATTTTAATTCATAATTTTGAAAATGAACTTTTTTTGCAACAAAATAGTGACCATTTCCAAACAATACTCCAACGAATGGAGATTAATTTCTGAGCCAGTGATTTCAATTTCCACTTGTATTCTAAATCACACATTTTTAGTATCCTTGTTGGATTCTATTTCACCCCTAAGTGATATACAAACTTGGAATTTGCCCTGCTTTTTAGGCTGTAAGCTTTATGGCAACATAAACTAGACTTTTTCTTTAAAATATTTGAGCACTGAATAGAGAAGGCAATTCAAATGGACAATCATTCATTTTCGGATCATTTTTGTAGTATTGATACAGTAATTTTTTAAGACTAAAGGATGGATAATTTTTACAATGTTCATCACAAATCTTTGTGCAATTGCTCAACAGTTGTTGCTGTCTATATTGGTGAAGTCATATTATAGAGGGTAATGAGCCACATAACTTCTCTGCATGTAGAATTGCTATATTCCCATGAGAAAATACCTGTTTGATGTTGTCACTTAGTGTTGACACTTTGGCAGTGACTCGACCGAAGGGAAGGAAATAGTACTCCTTTTATGTTCTAATTATGATCACATTTGACTCTGAATTAATGTGCAAATATGATTAGTTTGATGTATATTTATATTGCTTATTCACCATTTAATTTTTTCTTACCATCAATCTTTTTTCCCTTTTTTATTACTTGGGAAATCAAGATATATATAGCAAAATCAAATTTATTACATCTAAAATTGGATGTAATTCAAATTTTTGTTCTCCATGATTATTTATTTAACTGACACAGTAAAAGTATAAGATTTTTAGTATGCCTGCTATCTTGTTATGGCACCTCCACTCATTTTCTGATTTTTTTTAAATCTGTTTATCTTAATTTAGGTTATTCCTCCATTTTCTAACATATCCTAAAAGTACATAAGGTGGACAGGATATGTTTCTTTGATGAATAAAAAACGTTATTTACTTTAAAAAAATTACAAATGGTTACTCTATAATGCCCACCATATCCGAATCATTTATATATTTTACATACCGGTACCTAATATTAAATACGGATACGCTATTTCAAGTTTTCATTGGGAACCAAAATTGTTCTTTTTTCTGATTATATCTGATCATGTATTTATCATAATCGTTGTTTATTTTATAATTATAGTTGAACAGTGTTAAGTGTCATTTTGATTATTTGGATATTAAAATTATTTGCCAGATATACAAGATTTGAATTGAATACTTTGTAAATCAATGTTTTTAACTTTTCAGAGAGGGTTCAAGAAGACGAAAAAGAGATGACCAAGGTACGTCATTTGATTTTTTAGCTTTTGATTGAATTTGTCATTCTGACATAAATATGATAAAATAAAAAAATTGTTGGTAGAGACCTTATGAATTTATTTTTCTATGAAAAAACAATTGCTTCTGACTTATTTTCACTAACATGCTAACAAAGGTAACAGGACAATAAAATTCAAAATAACTTTTTATTTACCTTTAGTTTTCATTATTTAATTTAAAATCTGTTATTAACATATTACCTACTAACTTTACATTTATCTAACATGATCTCTGTGTAGTTTCATTCTGAGACTTTTATATAGCTAATACTTGTCTTGCAATTCAGTAATTTTTGCTTAGTTGCACAATTAATACCTTCAATTATAATAAAAGTGTATTTCCCTGGCTGTACATACTTCAAATATTTAACATTCTAAAATTCTTATTGCTTTCTTTCAACTAGGGGTGTGTGAAATTGAAATTTTTGATTTTATTAATCATTGTTATAATGTAAAAATGAAGTAAATCGGGTTCCCTCTTTGTTTATGACAAATTTTCACTTTGAATTGTGTCTAATTAATGACAAAGAAAATAACATTCTTGCAAGGGATCTTTCATTCTTCGCATTTTGCTAAAATTGATTCAATTTGATGGATCGTGTTGAGGTTTGATGTAATATGGTGGGTATTTGGGCCTTTCTCTATACTAAATACTTAATTTTTTTTTTTTTCCAATGCCTATCCTAAATATTACTGATCTTTGACCATTGACCAGTAACACCTGATTCATACGTTTAATGGTGACAATGAATGAATGTGACGAAATACAATGCCACAGACTAATCGTCACACAAATTTTCATTTGCCCACGGCACGAGTCATTCGTGTCTGGTTTGAATAATTTAATCTCAGTTTTAATCTACAATCTCCTATTAATCCTAAAAAGGGAATCGTTCACTTTCTCTCTCACGATCGTTACGAGGCATACGGAGAAGCCAGTCGCTTAATAAGGGTGAGTCACAGAAAAGCACCTTGCCTATGATGTCATTGCCCTTGCTGTTGTGGGATTTCATGTTGCACTCTTTTCTTGTTGTGATTAATCTTTCACTACTTTATCCACAAGTTGTTCTTTATCATCAAACATTTAATGCTAAATTATCTTCATATCTGAGAATGTGGGAAATGTCACTTTGAATGTGAAACTTAATTGTGTGTCCAAAATATTATTGTCTTGCAAGTGAAAATTGGATAACATTTTGCTTGGACTGACCAAAGCTGACCTTTATTAATAATTAGAAAATGTAAACACATGGTACATTATAAGTAATATAAATACTCTTTTACTACTACCATTAGACTTTTATTTTCTTTCTCAAATAAATAAAACACTTTTTCACAATTTGCATTCTTGTTTTTATCTTAATTGCCCTGTTGCAAAGGGACTGTCAGCATGAGTCACGCTTTACAGTTGCTATTGTGGTCGCATTTTTGTGGTCTCTTTTTTGCTTTATACCAACTTGTGTCTGAGGAATTCTGTCAAAACCATATCTAAACATGCCATTGTTCATTCATGCTTGTTAAAACTCTTATTCCGACTATAGTAAACAAACCATTTATCTTCTAACTTCCTAATAACATTTTGTTATGAGTGTTAAATCTATATTGCACCTGTCGGAAGAATTATATATATTTGAGTAGCATATTTGAATAGTTTGGGATCCTGTTTAGAATTGTCATTGCAATTGATTTTGATTTTAATTAATCTAAATCATTTATTTCAGCAAAATAGTGTTATAATATAATTTATTCTGAGTAAAAATTTATGTATATATTATATACAAAAAATTTTGTTTATAAAAAAATTATGTATATTTTATAAAAATACAAAAATTTTTGCTCAGTAGAATAAATTTTAGAACAATGCCTTAGTATTAATTATTTGTATATCCACTCTGATCTATATCTGATAATGGTGGATGTGGCAACTTCAGTGAAGAATTCATCAATTCCATGAATCACAAATTCTTGCATCAAATAGATATTTGGTATATTGTTCACGCCACGTTGCTGTACGAATATCTTAAGAGTTACGCATCAGAGCAATTTGCATGGTTCTGTGCACATAACCTTGTGTTGGAATGAGAACATACCTAACAATATCACAGCAATTGAGTTGTCTTCTTAAATTACTAACATCGCTGTTGTACCATTGCAATATTTTACGACCCATACATGCCAGTCAATATGAAAAATGGATAAATATCAAAATTAAGATGGGTTGATTCAAACTTGAAATTTTGTAATTAATATATTGTATAGGCCAATTCAATTAGTTTGAATTTGGCAATGCAGGGAAGTTAAAATAAAGTGCTTTGATTTGTTTTCTATTTTTAGATCTTTTATACAGGGTGTCCAAAAAGTTTCGCCCGATTCCATAGCATTACCAATCGCAAATTTGAATAAATTTGGTTGTATGATAAATGGGGACTACAACATTCAACATCTATAACATCCAATTAGAAACAGGTTGACTATAAATCTTTTTTCTAATTAAAAAAAAAAAAAAATTTGATTATAAAGACTTTATAATCGGGCGAAACTTTTTGGACACCCTGTATAATAAATTGATGTTGCTCTAGCTTATGCTGCTAGATTTCAATTCTAGAAATTGATGCTTTTTCCATTCAACTATTCTAAATTATTCCGAAAATCAGAAATTCAAAGTATTGAATGTTTTCAAATATTTCATATCTTTTCGACATCCCTGTATATACAATATCAATTTGGTTATTGGCAAACTCAAGACACAGAGTCTGCCAACATATATTCGTGTTTGTTATTTGATTGCAAGTTCTTTATAATTCCTTGATTTCACCGAAAACTAGCATTTAGTTAATCACTGTACAATCTACCTATTTTAGTTTATCCTATCTCTTGGTGAAATGTGTATATTTTGATTTGCAATTAACTGCGTCCCTGAGGATCATTTACTACTTTCTGTGCAGACTGATCTTTCAATGTCTCACAATATTTAACCTTGACGTCATTACAACAGTTCAACATTGATTAGTCGGTTCTAGTTCCTATCTTTATTCAGACAAAAGATTTTCTAATTAATCAAGATTTTTTTTTTCACGGAAGATTTTTATCCAATAATGCTGATGAGAATATTTATATATTTGCAATCACAACCTGTACCTAGTGCTAGTAGTCTTGTTCATATTTAACAGTTTTGGTCTCTAGTATTCATCACTCTAATTTATTTCATCGAATTTTTACAAGGAGTTAGCATTCTGTAAAATTTGTCTCTGATTATTGTTTTACCATATTACCAATGCTTATTAAGTAAACAAATGAACATTTTTTTTATCAAAATCAAAAATCTTTTATATTCCTAATAAAGCCTATTTCAACATCCATGGTACCCCTTTGATAATGCAATGTTTTGCATTTCTTGGAATTTCCTTTATCTTTAGATCCGGTTACTTAATCAATTGTTCATCAATAGACTAGGATAGCCTTGCGGATTGAGATTAAATTGCCATTTTTTATAATGGTACTTTCGCAATCACAATCCATCTTTGTAATGCATTCTGGTGACCATTCAACACGATCAATGCGGCAATCCAGGCAGACGAAAAACAACCCAACTCATTCAATTTTAATGATCGTCTGGGAAGTGGTGACGTTTGCATATACAAACTTTGTCTTGACTTGAGGCAATGTGAATAATAGTTTAAGAGATATTCAGGGCTAATCACATTTCTGCTATGTTAAATAGGCATTGTAACATTAGATCATCAGAGTTAAAAAATTAAATGACCTCATTTCCAGCAAGTTTGTAATTAATATTGACTGCTGTGTCAAATGATAATAAATAACTGTAACCATCTTTATTAGTAACATTCAGCATACTTTATATCAATAATTATTGATATTCGGTAAAATCAGGAAGCTATAGTCTTGTTTATTTATTGTATTATGTTAAATTGTAAAATCAAAAAACTTGCGTAATTACACTCAATAGAAACATAAACACAGATCTGACGTTTCTCTGCTTACTAATCATACCAAAATTGCATTATTTTAGCTCATTATTATTGCTGCTGCACTTATTTTATAATATTTTACGACTATTTACACCAATTATCCAATATACTACTGGCTTAAATCTTTTAAAATAGAAACTAGGTATAATGATCAAAAGATATAATTAAAGTTTCATAGTGTTTAAATTGATCTGAAGCATTTTTTTAAACTCATGTTCGGAGTCAACAGTAGCTTCGGTATAAGTTCATGGCTCTGTCTATAAGCATAGTCATATACAATAATAAACATAACACACGGACTAGGAAAACAGTATTGAAAGTCAAATTGCATGCTGTGAATAATCATATCACATGCTAATAACGCAGTTTAACAAGTTCATAACGTTGTAGGAAAATGAGCTTCAAATAGATAGAAATAAAAATGATGTATTTTAATACCATATTGTGTAATTTTATTGAAATTAGCGCTGTGACGTTATTTTGAACAGACTGCCGGTTTTTATCTATTTATTCCTATTATATTTTTTACAGTACTCCATAATGCAAAAACTATATCGTTCTTAATTTTTTTTAATTGATCTAATCTATTAATAAATTGTGATGTATTTGTATGATGGCAAGTTATGTCATACGTCTATAACATGTGTTTGTCTGTCCATGTCTGATACCTACAAATATCACTGAGATGTTTGTTAAATTTAGCTGATTTTATGCCATATCAAATGTCAGTTCAAAAAATATAATGTCAGAATGTAATTTATATATATTGTTTGTCAAATTTTGAGCTCACTCCATAATGACTAAATATTCAAAATTCGGTAAGTAATGGAGACATATTTCGAACTAAATAAAATTACTTAGTTCTGATTTTATGGGCGTAGAATGGACACCAAATATTCTTTCAAATAACAACATTAGAATTACCACGTCTATTCATCTGGGAAAGTTTAATTGTTCAGCTTTTCCCAAACTCAACCGAGACATGGAATAAATTGAAAAGCATGGTTTTTTATATTATTAATGATAAGCCATTTTTCAACATTTTTGGCGATAATATTAAATACAAAAATCCCGAACTCTATTTCATACTGCACTATGTAGAAATGAGTCACTTTAACTCTCTGAGCATCTTTTTAAACAAGTGATTGTAATATTGTCAGCAATTTTCAACTTCATTGTTTGTAAAACACTCACATTGCTGTTCATATTATATATTTACACTATGTTTTTTTTTCATTTTGTTGTAATCATTTGCATGAAGAAAAGTTTTAAACTCACACATTAATTTTTGATATGTCATGTTTGATATTTACTCAATTAATTGTGAAATAACAGGGTTGTGGTTTTATTACTAAGTTTGATAGGCTATAGTCACAGATTCAGTCCTTGGTCAACTCTCTTTGGTGAATCAGATCCAGCTCAAGTTGTATTTGTTCTTTTTCTAAGTCTAATATAGCATTTGAATAGGTATGGTGTTATAATGATATCAGTTGCTATGCTTACATTGTAGGCACAGTCCCACTGTTCACCAACTATATAATCTTATGTAACTTAGCCTATGTGTAAGAAATTGTATAACCCATGATAAACTAAGAGGGTTCTGGTGCTACACAACTTATGAATTCCTTCTATGTTTATGGGGATGAGTGAAAACCCTATTAAAAAGGTCTGAAAGATTTTGTTCATGCCTGATGATATTTTGTTGAACAGAAATTGGTGAAATTTCGGGACCATTACTCTTGGAACAATATGTAGCGATTGCAGATTACAACAGCACTCAACAAAAAGAATTGACGATGACAATTGGCCAGAAAGTGGAAGTAATAGAGAAGAATGAAAATGGTGGGTTGTATTATTTTTATGTATTCTACTAGCTGTTCATTCATATACATATACATATACATGTCTGCCGTGACTGGAAAAATTTAAAAAAACCTTACTGCAAATAAAACTTCAGACAACTAAGAAAGTTGTTCATATATGAATAATTTGACATTCGTGAACGGTATCCCATTATTAATTTCAGTTTTGAATGTTCTAAATAGATTTATTTTTGCCATCAGTCATGATATGTGAAGAAATTTAAAATATGTGTAAATCACATTTTATCATAATTAATTTCCTTCTTAAAATGACAGGTTTTACAGAAAGAAAATCAATAATGATGGTTTTTCGAATTATATAAAAGTACACAGATACCAGTCTTGAATTTTGTTAGTTTTTGTGTGTGTCTAAATTCACTCGATGGCCTAGCAGTGAAAGCATTGGACTATGCTCGATGCTAACTATCACAGATTCCACATCTCCGGTTCAACTTCTATTCCCCTCCCCACCCGGGGTGTATTAAATTATTGGAACTGCCCGAACTGGAAAAATTCCGATCTTTCAAATACAATTAATAGTAGCTCCTTACATGTCGTTAGATATTAGTGAAAGCGAAAGAGGCTGTCAAGAGCGAATAAGTGTCATATAAGATTGGACATTCCACTTTAATGCATGTTTTAGACTTTATATACCAGTACATGATTGATTACATTGAATTACCTGAACCCTAGGAAACTACTTGGACTTGAAAAAAGAATTTTTTCAATTTGTCTTCGAAGTGTTTGTCTACATTTGTGAATTTTTGCAATTGTATACTATTTAGTTGCTCTGAAACCAATTATTTTTCAAATTTTATTTATACAACACTCATTTCACACCTTTGAAGGACTGGAATTTTTCCTTTTCGGTATTACCTACCCAATTTATCACACCCTATGTAAGGTGGTGTAAATGGGATTCATTCAAGTCCGAGATTTGTCGCCTGTGATGCAAATTCAGATAACGTTTAGGCCATCACACCCATGAATACTGAAATATTATTTTTCCCTCTTCAGGTTGGTGGTTTGTGAGTAATGATGAAGGAGAGCGAGGATGGGTTCCTGGGGTTTATCTTGAGAAACCAGATGGAACAGTGGAAGATCTTGTAACAAATCGAGCTGAACCTGGTCAAGGTAGATAAATTATCTTTCAGCATGCTGTTTGAAACATATTTTGATTTGCTATAATGTAACAAAACCATCAGATTTTATTTTACACAATGAGTGGTAGAAGGAATGTTTCTAAATATGAAGCAATGCTATCTTATATTTGAAAAAAAACTACAGTTTTCACACATTCCTGAATTTTAACAAAATAATCAATTGCTATTACTCAAATAATCATAAAATATATCAGTCTTCTGATGTATTAATTACTAAACCATAAATATTTTATGTATTCTGTGGGCCCAGTAGGTAAAGCAACTTAGTAGCGCTGGCATCTTGGGTTCAAGCCCACGCCCTCAAGCTCACCCATAGTGTAATAAGTTGGATAGGCAATGCTGAACCAGAAAGATAATTATTCTCCTAAAATCTTTTTAAAATATATATGTATATTAACAAATTAGTGATAATTGCGTAATTCCCGATCAAATATTTGTTAAAGTAGTGTATATAAAATCAATTATAAGTATTGGTTTATCTTTATAAATTGGTGATCACAGTATATTGATCTTATCATTGAGATAATGAAGAAATATTTCTTCAAATGTGGATTAATTACTTTAATATTGATAGGGATTTTTTGTCAATTCAGTTTTATCGAATGTCGAATTGTTCAAAGCAAAATTTTACTTGATTGCAGAAGCACACAACTGAGGACCCTTTAATGTTTCTTTCATCACGTCATAGTGAAACTATATGCACTGATTATAATGCAATATAGCAAAAATTAAACAACTAATTTTATTATGATTATGATTTGAAACCTGGTTTACATTTTAATGTACTAAAGTTGTTGTTTGTTTATTGATTCAATAATAGCATTACTTGCATTTGAATGCATTGTCATACCACCTAAACATTGATTAAATTTATTTATTTTTTGAAAAAAGTGCAGCTTGACCTGCGGTACTGGGCAGTATCAATTCTTATAAGAGATTACAGATTTAATATTTTTCTGCCAATTTTAGGATTCTAATCAACAGCCTTGAGATTTGTTCGAATCCCGCTTTGTGCCGGTAACTTTTCAATGACTTCCTTGATTATCAAAATCACCGGTAACTCGTGTGACTAGGTTACGTAATGGTATTGTGATATGTGCTTGTATGTAATTTTTCAATACATAACTCTATATCACTAAAAGTACCAACTCTCAAAATGACTGGAAGTGCTTTCTTTTTAATAGAAAACAGTGTGTGTTTTCTTGATCTTTATTATAAAATTAAATATAAGTTTGTTGGTCACCACCCCAGTTTATTCTCTATGAGACCAACATTATTTAAGACTCAATAATTCATTTTTAGGTATTTCGCTTACAGTTTAATGTTTGGTTTTGGAATTTACAATGGTGTGCAGCCAAACTTTCAATTTTGAGAAGGATATTGAAAAACCATACATTTAAGGACTTCGCATTTGCAATAAATGATTTGCGTCGATATCACGCCTAGAAATAAACATTATTTGAAAGTTTACATCCACACCTCATGGTATTTCCTATTGTCCGTGACCTACTTGACCTGATGATAGACTCCTTTTTCCCAAATAATAACTCAAAGCAATCAATCTGTGGTGTCATTAGGTTGTTGGCACAGTCTATGATGTCATAGTAATGGCACGAGAGGAAGCAAAAGCAATAATATGATGAATAGACAAATCAATGACCTCATCTGATCATGTAACACTTCCGAGATTTCACATAATGATATGTAAAATTACGTCATCTCTCTATCCTCATTCAAAAATCATTAAATATCCAGGCAAAGAACTTTATTTGACTGTCCAGGTTTCCGGAATTTTTCACAAACAATTGTTGTTAGGGTTTTGCGTCATTATGACTGTTTCCATACTCCATTGTTTGATCATAAATGACTGGGCAGGCTTATGTTCATACCAATTGAGGTATGCCTTGTCAGAATCCGACTATTTAAAATTTTAGTAGCTACCTAGTCTTGTACCTGCTTAGACATCAATGGTATGAAAATACTACGTGAAAACTAATGTAATTTAATCATTTTCTTACACATTTTAATTTGAAGATTCACAGCTGATACTACTTTTAAAAAGGACCGGAAATTTTCTGGTGGGGCATTGGCATAGTTGAATCCGACACCCTAACCATTAACCACTAGACCAGAGGTTCTCAACCGGGGGCCACGAAGCAGTTCCAGGGGGGCCGTGACACAAAGCTAATAATTGATCATAAGGCGACTCATTTACAGAATTTCCTTCTAAAATCAAATTCCCTGTTTTGGCGTTCACCGCATTTTATTTCCTAACTAGGTTATTTGCGATCACTGAGTGTATTCACTTTTTTTATGCGTGAATTGTTTGATCATGGGCCGTCTAACCTGCAGACGGGCGGTTTCACTAAACTGCGAGATAACTTTCGCTATCGAATTATAGACGCAATATCCCATATGTAAATCCATAATGCCTAAGATACGAAAATGGAACGACAATTAGATTGGCTTTACAAAAGTAACTCGTAATGACAGAGAATGTGTTCAATGCCTGCATTACTCGTATGTAATGAGCAGTGAATCATTATGTCCACATAAACTCCAAAAGTGAAGTGACAAAAATCATACGCAGGTGAAAGACTTTGTCACAACCTATTTGTGCGAATCTGGTTTTTCTGATCTTGTTAGCATCAAAACTGTCTCAATTTTGACAGTGACATTCGCCTGGCTATATCAATGACGGTCCCTAGAATTAGGAACCTCGTCAGACAATCCAAAGCGCAAGATACCCATTAGTTGTATACTAGAAAGCTTGGTCTTTTCTGTCTGTGGTTTGTTTTTGCATTCCATGAAAGGTCGTAAAAACATACAATCCAACATGTTTAGTTTTTGGAATGACGTACAGGGGGGCCAAAGGGGCAAAAAGGCGCCGGAAGGGGGCCACGAACCATAAAAGGTTGGGAACCACTGCACTAGACATTTGCGTCGACACTCAGTAGATGCATTTCTTTCAGCTCGACCTTTTGTGCTTTTTAAGATATTCAACCATTTTTGTTTTTAAGGTGAACATTATGTGACGACAAATGCTTATGTTGCGGAAAATTCTGATGATATAAGCTTTGGTGCCGGCGTCATCGTTGAAGTTTTACAGAAGAATTTAGAAGGCTGGTGGCTAGTCAGGTATTAACCGTATTATTATGTATTTTTTTATTTTTAAATTAATTGGATATCTTGAATTAACGTCGGATAATGATCACATTTTTGAAGCATTTAAATATATCAGAAGTTTTCAAAAGTTTGCATGTTTCGTTATAGCCAGAGCCGAAGTCCAAATATCAAGCTCCCTTGAGTTGGTAGTTTGGATTTTCAGACTTTTGATAATGGTGATAATCAAAGCCAAAATTTATTACAGAAACTGAAAAAAATTGAATTTACCAAGCATCCTAACTGTCTATTAATTCAAGAAGGCTTTCGCGAGCCAAAGTTTTTACTTATTATCGAACTCTGATTTTCTTGGGAGTTCGAAGCTGTAGTTGGAGTCCAAATTCCCATCGACATAAGTCAAGAATAGAAATTTTCATCAACCTATAGTCAGAATTTGGTTGTAAATTTCCCGACTTCACTAGCCCTGAGGGATTTGCAACATTTAAGCTTGATAAATTAAACTAGTAAAAATAATCTAATCATGTTCTCACTGTAGTCATCAATGTGACATTGAATTTATTAAAAAAATAAAGATAGTAATGAAGAATAATTTTATTCCAGTTACAATGGAAGACAAGGCAATGCTCCAGCGTCTTATCTTGAGAAATCACACAACTGGGTTCCAGAAAATAATAAAGTTGAAATAATTTCTTCTATTCATGACTTGAAACATCGGCACAGTCTGCCAGCAAATAGTTTATCCTCAATTGCATTTCCATCTCAACGTATCGTGAATTTTTCTTCATCAAATTCCAAACCAATTCCAGCAGAAGTTCACTCTATTCCTGAAGAACCAAAATCTCCAGGTAGGGAAGAACATTCTCACGTTTTCTTCCCAACTAAAAATAAATGCCTATTTTTTGAATATGCTCGTTCAGTCTCTGCACAAGACTGTTTCGCAGCGCCCTCAAATATAGCTTATTATAAGGAGCCACTGTTATAGGAGGAGATACTATTTTTACTGGATCTTGCAAGTTTGGCCAATATGATTATGTCAACTCTCTAACTACAACTATTAGATGAATTTGATGTTGCACATTGTTACTATACATGTGAAATCTAGATACTGTGGTAATTTAAAATTTGTTTAGATTTTATATAATTTAAACTGATCTAGTATTTCCATATTTGCTTATTGCAACATTTCGAGAAATAACATGATCACCATTGTTCAAGACTCCCTTACAATTAGTTAATTACTCCAGACCTTAATTATAATTCATATGAAAACACAATAATTTTTCAAATGTGACATGACAAACCGATATCAATACAGATATTACTAATTTGTTTATTTATTTTAGTTTCACCATCCTACTTCAGAGAAAAAACAGTTCAACCTCCTCCCAAAAAATCATCCGTGAAACGAACGAACAAAAGACGCCCAATGGCTCCTCCTCCATTACCACCAAGTGCTGCTGCAGAGCCGACGTATGAATACACAACAGTTGCTTCATTTGACTCAAATATTCCTGATGGTATTAGCTTCAAAGATGATAAAAAAGTTGAAGTAAGTTGTTAGACATTTTGCTTTGCTGATGATAACCATTAAAACAGTGAATACTTGCATTTTTATGCTGAATGCAGGGATGGCTGAAACCAAATAATCTACTGTTCCGAATAATGTTAAAATGATATTTCCAAATATGGAATTTTGACTATATTCTGAATTTAAAATATTGGATAGTTGTGCTAATGATTTGGTTTCTGCGAGACTAACTACTTGTCCTTCTTCTATGCTTTTGTGCCAGCGGATTCGTATGCATATAATGCAAGGATGCTGATTCAAGAGTCCTGCTGCACATTAACACAAATATATTTCTGTAACGTTTCATCTGACCAAGGTCAGACTTCTTCAGACATACATAGTTCAACTATAACAGGAAAAGCAGTTAACTTTTAACTGCTTTTCTTGTTATAGTTGAACTATGTATGTCCGAAGAAGTGTCTGACCTTGGTCAGACGAAACGTTACAGAAATATATTTGTGTTAGTGTGCAGAAGTGTCTGACCTTGGTCAGACGAAACGTTACAGAAATATATTTGTGTTAGTGTGCAGCAGGACTCTTGAATCACATTGGATAGTTGGTTTTGAATTAATTCGAATATTCAATTTTAACATCCTCGGCCCAGCGTTACTGAATTGTTGTGCCATATAATGTTTGTAATATTTTTATACTTTTGCTCCGATCGAATCTAACCTGCTCCAACTTTATTTTAGTGAAATTCTGGGTTTTGACAAAACTTATCGATTTGTATATTCACCCTGTTTCATGTGCGTGTAATATGATTATCTCAAGTTTGACGCTGAGCCTGTTTGAATCATGAAAAGTTAATTCAATTTAATTGCTCTTATATTTTATTAATTTTTTTTACAGGTTTTAGAGAAATCACCCGGTGGATGGTGGTATGTCAACATAGACGGTAGTGAAGGATGGGCTCCTGCTTCTTACATTGAGAAAAAAGAGACAAAGCCGAAAACAATCGTTCCTCCATCACGACCTGGCCCTCCCAAGTTACTCAAAAACAATTCCACAAACAGTTTTAGTATCACTGCTGCTGGGAGATCTTCCCCTGTCCATAAAGTTCAATCATCAGACACTGTAAATCATCCAGTTTTAGGAAAAGTCGCTTCAATTCCAATATTACGAAATCAGTCATCTATGTCGCCAGCGAAACGTCCTTTACCACCTTTACCCACATCGGTGAGCTCTTCAAATGTTCAAGATTGTTCAGATACTTATGAAGAAGTTGCAACTCGACCACTCAGTGAAAATATAAAATTTGGTGCGTCCAAATCAATTCCTCCCGCTGTTCCCAAAAGTACCGCAAAACCCAATTTGAATAAAACTGCAATAGAATCACAGAAAGTGGAGACAACCCCAGTTGATTTCAGAAGCGTATTGAAATCGAGCCTCGCCAAGAAGAATGAAATAAAAACAAGATCCGCTCAGTCACCACCTCGTCCCTCTACAAATCCTTCGCCATTATCTAATGTTATGAAACCAAAAATCCAACCAAATAACATAAACCTTCGTCCAAAAACGACAACTTCTACTCAAAAGCCTTCAAATGTTAGAAATTCTGTCACAAGGATGAACTCAAATGAAACGTCTTCGGCTGTCAATAACCTAAAACCTGTTTTTGGAGGCAAAACAGCAGAAGGACCTCCTAGGTTGCCCCCGAAACCAAAACCTGGCCTTAATTCTGTAAAAGCTAAACCAGTGCAGGGAAATGTGCCAACTAACGATGACGCCATAACCGATTTTCGAAGTGTTTTGCGTTCGACACAAAGAAAACAGTCTGCAAGCACAAATGGTGTTGGCAGGTCGAAATCTTTTAACTCTGACAAAGTAATTAGCACGAAAAAGGTAGAACAGGGAAACAAACCCCCTTTTGTTCCTAAAAAGCCAGCAAATATGCCCCTGAAACCTCCTGTACCGACTAAAATGAAGGAATTGGACGAATTTTCAGGCGGAGAGGAGAATAACCCGAAAGCCCCAGGAAAAAGAAATACCACAACCACAAGACCACCATGGAATTCTGGTCCAGGAACAAAGCCGGTTATTCGTAGATTTCAAACTAACAATAATTCTAATGTAGATGAGGTCCAAAAGAAACCTGTATTCACAGTGGGTCATCTTAAAATCGAACTCAAAAATCCGCCTGATTTAACTAAATCTTTACCAAAGCGTGGATCACCTGATGGACAAGTAGACTGTAAGTTTGAAGATACCTCTAAAAGTAACACAATTACTCCTCCAACACGGACTAAAAAAATTTTAAAATCTAAACATAATCCTAAAAATTCTAAATCCGTATCCAAAACAAATTTACAGAAAACAGAATCGAATGATTCATCATCAAATTTCTGTATTGCAATGTCTGATTACACGGGAATTGAGGAATGCGAAATTTCATTCCAATCTGGAGACAGAGCTGAACTCCTTGAAAAGGGTGATAATGACTGGTGGTATATCAAAATGGGAGAAAATGTGGGATGGGCACCATCTACATATTTCAAACTGACATGCGAAGAAGAGTCATCAGAGAAAGACTATGTCGCTGTCGATGGCTCTTCTAATGCCAAGAGCGACCAAGAATCATTTTACAACAAAATCGAACCAGAAAGACCCAGTTTTCCTTCTAAGTTTGTCGCTGTAGCTGATTTTGAAGCAGATAATCATTCCATGGTAAGCCTCCACGCTGGAGATGAAGTTACAATCACCCAAGAAGCTTCTGGTGGATGGTGGTATGCTATATTAAGTAATGGAAATGGAGAAGGTTGGGTTCCATCTAGTTATTTAGATCCTGTGGAATAGAGGATAGCGCTTATGTCTAATGATTTTTTTCTGTTCTCGTGTTTATGCAATGTATTGCACAGTGCCATACTATGTTATTTTTCATCATAAGTTTCCCAAATGTATTTTCTGAAATTTTTGAATTCAGGAGGGTTTATTCAGATTTATTTTCTGTTTCACTCTCTGTAAGTGTTAGATTACTCTACATGTCATTCTTCCCGAATATTAACATTTTATAGACGAAAATCCAGCGTTATATTTTCAGCATTACTAAATTGTATTTTCAACATAAGGGTTATTTATTTTCGTTATTTTTTCAGTATTATTTTTCTTATTTCTGTTACTACCATTTACCTACACACAATTTTTCTTCATGTAAGATTCAACATCTTCTATTAATCAGGGGATGTTCAGTCGAAAAAAAAGCTTTACTTGGTGCATTCTTCTTTGTGTTATTGTATTTAAGACCATCTCTCAAGTGTTGTATTTCTTGAGAAACATTTATGCTTGGTTGCTGGATTGAATGGATCTTAATACCTGTTGTTGGTATTTTTCTTGCTCACCCGATGTACTATACTCTGACCATTAACCAGTGTAATCTAGTGTGAAATGTCTTGTTACATAACAATAGTTTATTCCACATCATGCTATGGTATATTGATGTTAGCCCTGTACTTGTTGTCTCGTATTTTTTTGATTTCAGTTGTTGACAATCAATGATTTAGATGTTGTGAATTTCTCACAACGAAAGATACCAGAACATAGAACTATTATGTGTATTTGACTGTTTGTGTCATATTTTATGTTTATTTTTTAACATTATATTCATACTTTGGTCATTTATTATAGAAGGAACTTAGTCGCCATTATACTGCAATAATTTAATTTCTCCATCATGCTTTTTCTCTATACCATATTACAGCACCACTAGAACAAGTCTCGTTAGCAAGGTTTAGAAGCGTTTTATGTAGGTTTATTAGTTTTATTAACTTTCGGCTGAATGTACAAAATAATCTCATGGTTTGTCATATGCCTCGCATATCACTTGCTCACACATAAGAGTTTTTTGTCATGCCATGGTTTTGTTCAATTGTTGGACATATAATACCGTTCAACTGAAAACACAGATCTCATTTACTGCTGCTTTGTTTAAGTAAAGTATTCATAATAATTTTATATTGTCGTTTGATAATTGTTTCTTCAATCATTTTGCCATTGTTGCAATATTTCAGTGGTATTTTTATGTTTAGTATATTATGTTTTTGTTCTCTGCGTGCTAACACTTGCTAATACTTCATCTGAACTAGGTCATCAAATGAACTGTCATTTTTTAATAAAATTGTTTGTTTGGTTGGAATATCTCATGCTTATTATTTTTCCTTGATCCCAGAATCGAACAATAATAATAAATCACTAATTATCTTCTCAAAGTCTCAATCTTTTTCAAAGTTTGTTGGGTTTTACCTTGTTCACTTAAATTTTAGCGAAATTATGTGGATATTAATATTCTAGGGTTCGGATGATGAAGTAAAAGGAGGATTATTGGTTGCTGTTAACAACCTACTTTGATTAGATGGGTTGCTTTGACCTGTTTTTCAGGGCTGATTTACCTGATCCAAACAGTTATAAAGTATGCAGTACTTTATTATAAAGGAAATCAAGGAATGTCAAAACTTGAGTATGTCATTGACTGATTGAGAAAGTTTATTCATATCGCTTTTTTAAGTTATCATGGGAAGTTGTTTGTAGGAAAGATGATAAAAAAGACAACTCAAACAGCATGTAAAATCTTATAAATTTTTGAATTTCAGTCCTCTAAGAGTCTGAGCAATGTAATTAACTTGGCGTTCACCTTGTGCGAGGCCCTCCTCTGTTTCTTGCGGTTTTGCCAGGTGAGACCGTATGTGTGTAATACAAGGGTGCAGTGGTGACAGTAAAGATTTATGCTATAGGACATAGGTGTTCAACTTTCTATTTGGTTGCGTGGCAACAGTGAGACATTGATATTGAGATCAGGACCATTGGTGCTAAAACTTCATAAAGTGTCATTGCGAATCAAGGACGACAATGAGCGAATAAAAACATTATATTTACGACGTGTGCGAGACTGCGAGGTCCTGAATTATATTTTCAATTGTATTATCATTGAAATGAAATATTGCGCTCGATATTGAATTAATTTCGTTTGTCGATATCAATTTTTATGTAACGGACACGGCGATGTGGCGCATCGTGCTAAGCGTTTATTATATTGGATAAATTTGGGATAAAAATGAATCTTCAATGTGGAACGTATTTTGTTTATCTTTAGCCGTATTTCAATAATTCGATGACAATGCGCTATTTGGAAATATTTGAACCATATCTTCGTAATTCTCATTCCCTATTTACTCCAGGATGGCGCAGAGAGCTAAGCGCTGGGAATACGCTTGCCATATTCTGTTAACCCTGTGGGGGTTCGCAGGTTCGAATCCCGTAGCGTGATGGATAAATATGGACAAAGAATTGCTGAACTCCTCTTCACCGAAGGGTGGTTCCCTTAACCGCTGTTGGACCAGAGCCGTTATATAGTGGATCTGGTTGGACTAACGCTTCCTCTACCATTGAGTCCATGCATCTGAAACAAATAACTTGCTATGGACTGGTAACTGGACGAGATGCCATATGCCGTATAAGCAAGCCATCTTATCAGTTTTCATATTCCTCGAGATAAAAATGATGTCTTATTCTTACATTTCAATTCGGCCCTTGCTCATTTGGAAACCTTTTTTTTGTCGTTATGGACTGGGTTTAGTACGTAAATGCTTGACTTCGCCATGGTTTCTTCGCTAGAGCGACATATTTTTCGAGATCATAACAAGGTTGACTGGTACATTTGTTGTTTTTTAGGTAGTACCGGTACGGTATGTTTTGCTTAGCGTGTGTAAGTTCACTTCAGTGTGCGTATCCATACTGATATTAATGTACCATCAGATCATGAAACAGTAAGAGCAATAGGCGATATTCATGACCGTCATACATAACCTTACCGGTACATAATTATTAGTGATGGTAAATGTTGCATGACATGATGATGTAGCCTACCTGCATGCACGGTTTTTCCGTGTTTTACTGCACCCTATTTCACAGTTCATCTACGATCTACTTGCTAGCATGCTACGCCTTATATGCAAACCTTTTATAAATTGTTAAATCTCTATAAGATTTCTTAAACATTGTAGCTACTATTTTACACTTCCCCAAGTGTGTAGTCAAATACAGTAACATTGAATTTTTGAAAATTTTTGTCTCTTCATGAGATTTTATATAAATTTTATGTACTATTTTAAACTCATTCAAATGTTATATCATAACAACAGTTATATTGAATATAAGTACATTTTGATTACTTTGTCTCCACATATGAACATACAAAATAGATTGTGACATACACTCTCAAAAAACATCTTTGTAATGAATAATAAATAAACAAATCGAAATAGAACACTATAAGAATATCAGGTGTCTCTTCCTAGTTCATGCGATGTTCTAAATGACAAAACATGTTTAGCTTATCGAAAATTTTGTTAATTTTGATTCACATAGGCCACCTGCACAGGGTTTGCATGACTGATAAGTTTTGAAACAAATAAATGATAAACTATCAATTAGAATACATCTTTAATATTGAGGATATCAGCCCTCTATGCACAAAGGTACTTTTTCTCAATAAAATGGCAGGCAGTCTATATCATTGGGGAATTGATTTATCTGAAACAAGGCTTAGCATATAATTTGCAAATAATGTCAAAGAAGTTTCCCAGTTTTCTCATTATCTGAAACAGTTTTACCATTGAAATGAAGCACAGTGTAGAAAACTAGTCCATTTGTAACACATGTTTTTTCTCATTTTCTCGTTCATAGTCATTGAGATTTTATAATCTTCTCGTTTCTGCTATTTTCATCTATTGAATCTAAAATTTTTAATGTAAAAATATTTTAGGACTTTTTGGATATAATTTATTGCAGTGAGTGCATTTATTGAGTGCAGAGTACAACATGTCAGTCAAAGACTCTCCTTCACCTAGTGGTGCTTATCAGCAATCTCCAACCCCTCAACGTAAGTCGAGTATATTTGAGACAGATGAAGAGAAGCCTGTATTATCTGTAGAAGGGGAAGCAAAAATCACAAAAACTGTTGATTTAAATAGTGATGGACTATGTACTAAATTTTCAACTGACAGTTCTAAAATTGCTGTTGGACTTTCTAATGGAGCAACCAAAATATATAAATCTGACGGAATGTCATGTATTTATCAATTGAATGATGAGGAAACGGTGTCAGCTCGCTTGCCAGTTACATCTTTAAGTTTTGTACCGACAGGCAAAGCAAGGAGAGGGGAATTACTGTTAGCCACATATGCGAGTGGTCTTGTCAAGTTCTGGCATGTCTCATCGAACAAAGCTCTGCATACGATCCATGAGCCAAGCCAGGTTTTATCTAGTTCACTTTCACCTGGAGGTGAGCAGTTCATCACTGCTGGCAGTACAGAGCAAGTTAGAATTTATGATGTTGCGACTGCAAAACAAATTCATGTTTGCGAACCAAGTCCAAACGTATTAGTCATGGATGGTCATAGATGCCATATATTTGCTGTTAAACACCATCCAACAATGAAACATATTTTTGTCACTGGTGGTTGGGATGATACAATACAATTCTGGGATGACAGACAAGAAAGATCGATTCGTCATATCTCTGGACCTCATATTTGTGGTGAAGCAGTTGATATTGATCCAAAATTTAATCACATTCTCACAGCATCATGGCGAAAACATGACTCACTTCAAGTTTGGGATTTTGGAACCGGAAGATTGATCAAGACCATTCCTGCTGACTACGGCAATGAATCTTTACTTTATACATGTCAGTGGATGGGAAAAAACCATATAGTTTGTGGTGGAAGTGACGCAAATATGCTCCGGATTATTGACAAAACAACTCTCGCGACATCTGGGCAAGTACTTGGTTTACCACGTGGTGTTTATAGCCTGGACTTTGATCACAACACAAAAAGTTTGTCTCAGCATGGTCATTATTCACCTGATGTTACAACAGTTGCTGCTGTTGTTGGAAAGAGTTTACTCATTGTAACAAATAATCTGAAACCATAGATAAGTGTCAGGTTAATGCTTAATGATCGAGGTTCCATATATTTTATAATAGAGGTGTTTGCCCTTTTTATACTTTCGACATGTCAAATTTTATTCCATGTTCAAAATATCTAACATACATCATACCAGATACTGTAAAATATGTCCTATTTCTATAAATTATATTTGGCAGATTATAGTGATATTGGTAATTATTTATTTCAAAATATAGGTGTTTAAAGCGGAATCAAGTCCATACATCTGAATCAAATAACTGGCTATTCTCATACCTGGTTATGATTCGCCATATAATTAAGCCATCTCATCAGCTTTCTTTTCCTTATGGATAAATATGAAAATCCTACCTACTATTTCTTTAAAAACTACACTTGGTTGTCTGAATTACTCATTTCTAGTATTTTGGTTTCCTATAAACCTATTTGTTGGTCAAAGTTAATGACATTAATAATTTTACACTGTGAATATATTGAAAATGATCTCGGGATGTTGAAAATAGTCAAATCTGAGATTTCCTTTGTGGCAGAAACATCATGGAGTGGATTTTTCATTTCATCATTTGGCTTTTCAACCTCTAATCAATAATATTGTTATTTTTGAACTATCATATCCCATTAGCAAAATGTTGGTAATGTGTAATTTTTTTCAAAGACAGGTTGAGATTACTGTAATTTTTTGAGTAACACTGCTTTATAAATGTGACTCCTCAAGTACTTTAATTTAACTCCACTTGAGTCATAAATTGAAAGTTACTCGAATTAATTCTACCCTGTTGAATTAAAATGTCCTGTACATTAATTTTTGATCAACTCACTTTTATTTTATTGTTTCATTTATTGTAATTTTACCTATAATTTACTTAGAAACATTTTTTCATTACATTACTAGTGACCCGTCCATTTTCAAATATCAATCTAACACTCTATATACTGAATATATTTGTTCGTATTATTAGTGGCATAATTTTTGGAAGAGTAAATTGTATAAAATTATTCATCTTATTTTGGAGAATATTATGACATACCGTAATTATTAAATTCCAACTTAATCTTATTATCATTATGCTAGTGTCAAGACCTTTTCTTCTCCTGGATTTGCAGCTTTGATATTTGATTCCATTCTTCTTTTGTTTTGCTATCACATCATCACAATAATTGTTTTAACAATGTGAACGGTGGACACTATTTCTCTCACTTCATTGGGCATGATTTATTACATACTTTATAAAAAGATACAATAGGCTTGAAAAGTTGGAAAACTCACTGACTGATTAAAAAGTGCTTACGGTAATTAAATTCATTTTTGTAACTTACTCACAGAAACAATTATGTGAGATTTTTTGGATGCTAGTGCCTTGTGGTAGAACAGTGTATATTGCAATCACATGACAACATTTTATTGAGAGCAATCCTATGCATTTAACTATTTTCTGTATCACAAATTCACGTTGGGATCATTTTTCGAATGGAATGAGCTACAAATTGTGGGAAATATATATACCAGTGGCATGCATTTTGTATATCTTATCATAAAGACAAATTGTATACAAATGCTATACTTTGGTATGCGATCTCAATGATTTTAGTCTGAAGTTAGGAACTGAATTCTGGGAGAAGGTCTTCATGCGATCAACATGCCACTTTGGTATGCAATTGAGATCACGTGGAGCAAGTGAGATGGCATACCAAAGTGGCATCTACAAATGTATATATTTGTAAGAAGACTATTTAATATTCCATACCTTCCATTTGAAGTTTTAAATCGTTTGCTTTTCATTTAGTTTTAACTGATTTTTTATTTGTAGTACCTATTGCTTTTGTAGACTAATATAAACACTCTAATCACTGTAAATAAGATGTTGTTTGTGGTATAAACACAAAGCATTGTTTGAGAAATTAACTGCCACTACAAATTACAATGGCTGAACTATGGATGGAGGGAGACAGATACCAAATAAAAGGTGTACCGGTGAGTGTTTATGTTTTGGTATTAATCAATGAATTAACTGTTTTTATTATCAGTTTGAAAATTCTGTCAGAAGGAATGGATGCCTATTTTAAGGAACAGGAATATTGGAGGGTTCGTGTTTTAAGTGCAGTTTAGATGCATCGTGATTTTAGGTTCAATTTTAATTTATAATATAGAGCAAAGTAGCACCTATGTTGTTAATCGTCTTTCTCAATATCTGCTGGACCAATTACGTAGTTTGAAATTTTCAGTGGTTAAAGATTGTATTTTTCACTAAAAGGCGATTTATTTTTGTGGGTTTTATGGGATTCGTTTTCTTGTGTGCAATGACATATGCAAGCCTCCTTTAATCGAATGCCAAGAATTCTTTCTGAGTTTCTGTCCAACATCTTGACTTCTATTATCACCGTTGAATGTATATTAAAATACCGAGTTTAGGCTCTTTAAAAATAGGTCTTTGTCTCCAGGAAAAATATTTCAAACTCCCACTCTACAGCACTGTTAATATCAGTACTGATAATTAGATGTATTTGTGAAAAAGTAAATACCTGTTTATATTATATAAATAAATATATGATCAAAAAGTGTGTGTACCAATATGGAAGTAACTAATTTTGTTTGCCTACTTTACATCAAGTTGCGTAAAGGTACGGAAACCTATGGGCAGTGGGTATATTCACTTGGCTAACATAGACAGTCCCCGAACTCGTAATAGAACTGAAATGAGTAAAATCGGAATAAAATTAAAGCCTAACCCTAACCTGGTACACACTATGGGAGTACCATTAAATATATGCTATATAAATTCCAGGATCGAGTGAAGTTGAATCAACTGAACAATTTGCTCCATGATGCATTGATATCCACAGAACATGTCGAAAAATGTGCAATTGTTGATCGCAGAGAGGCAGAACAGAAAGCGGCTTCTGTTGGATTTACGGTGAGAAACAATCGAGGGATGATCAAAATTGAATTTTACCATTCTGAAATGATATTTCTGAATGTGGAATATCGCCTACATTCTAAATTAAGTCATATTCAACAGAGAACATATAAAAATTAATGGATATTCAATGAGTTCAAATTTGGAAATGCAGGATGGTTAGGATAGGAATTAATTCCTAAAGCTAAGTAGATATGAAATGAGTTGAAGGTAGCAAAAATTCAGCAAATACTGTAAAGGTTTAATAAGCCAAATACTGTATTTCAACTTGTTAGGAAATCTCTGGCTGGTATATCAAGATAAAATTGACATTTTTTTCAATTTTTTCAGATTAATAAAAGTGATATACAGAGCATTCAAGAAGCATTTAAGAATACTTCCATATCTAGGAAGGAAGGAATAGTTTTTGAAGGAAAAAATTACAAATGTATAAGAGCGGACAAAAACTCGATTTATGCAAAATCGGTAACAGTTGTTTGAAGAGTGTTTTTAAAAAAAAAGATCCATTAATTTATCACTTATAATTTTGTAACAGTAACTTGATGTTAAGATCTGTTTGAGAAATACAGGGCATCACGAAAAACAGAACCCAGGTCATTTGGAACATATTCTAAAAAGCACATAACTTTTTGATCATAGATTACTGAAATTATTGGGTACAATCAATCACAAACAGAAGTTCAAAGTTAAATAAATTTCCCTCTGTCGGTTTTGCTATTTTATATTGGCCTCATATTTTAGAGTTAAAATGAGTTTTTTATGGACTACAAATATGTATTAAATCAATCCTATGGGGGAAAATAAAACAAGAGCAGTACTCAAATACATGGACACAAAGGGTCATATAAGGCAGGGGTGCACAACTCAAATGAGGATACGTGCCAAATTTTTCAAAATAATCTTGTCGCGTGCCACGCACAATTGTGGTATTGTAAATTAACTTCCGCAAAACAAACAAATTTCAATAATAATACACAATAACGGATATCTATTTATTGAAACAATTTAATGTCCTGAAATACTGCTGATTTTGATATAAACGTGTTATTTTAATGTATATCATAAATAATTTTTTTTTTACAAAACTGTTCGCGTGCCACGTTTGAGCGTATGGCGTGCCAAATTTGGCACGCGTGCCCCGTGTTGTGCACCCCTGATATAAGGTGTTTCCGACCATATATCATATAGAAGTGTTTCCATGTATTGAGATAAATCAGCAACAATATGGGTGAAATATAAGAACAATTTAGGACTTCCACCTTCAAGTATTAAAATTTTAATTTATTTGGTCCCAGAGGAAGTGATTTTTTACACAATCCCAACAACAATTTAGTAAAACCTCACATAGGTCCATTTCGAGTCTAATAACAAATATCAAGAATTTTTTAATCGACTCGCGTCACACCCCTTTGGTGAAAGGATGGCTTTATTAAAACTGATTCCCTCACAGGGTCATCGTGGACTTGTTGTAGCACGAAACAATACTATTTTAATTGTGGCAACATACAACAAACAAATGTATCCATCAGTTTGTGTTGAAGCAGTGGAAAAACTTGCGGATTATTTCAGAGAAAAAGGAAGATAAAAGTTCCATCTTCGCGATCTTCACAGACTTGAATCTAGCAAGCGTGTACATCTTAAAGTGATGGAAATTGGCTAAATCTAAGTCTTAATGCTACTACTACTTGTATATTGTAATGTTATTAAAATTTTCTATTGGAATGCATTTAATAAACTTGTATGTTATTACTAAAACTATGCGAATAATATATTTTCTGCCAACTTTTCATGTCTTTGAGTTTCAAAGCATTAAAATTTTTGGCGTTCCAGAAGTATTGAGGCAACAATTTCGTTCGCCCAATTTACATCAAGTTGTGTAAAAGGAGTGAAAGCTATGGACAGGAGGGTATTCACTCGGCTAACACAGCCAGTCCCCGAACTTGTATTAAAACTAAAATAAGGAAAATCGGAATGAAGGTACACATACTTCGGGAGTACCAAATTTTCACAAGATCTCAAGTCATTCTCTTTCTCGGATTATCCAGCTTTTCCAAAATTTTAAGTAGATAAATATTCAAACATATTACAGTATATCATATACTTCGATAAATTTGGCTCCACGTCATACTCAACTAAGCATTGGGACACTATTACATCAGGCCGTTAAATTGAAGTTTTTGGCTATGTCCTGGTAGGGGTTCGTAGCCACGCATAAATTTGTTTCAGGATTTTTGAGTCGCCCCTAGCAGTTTTTATGTTGTTCAGGTTGTAGCTCGCTTTAAGGGCTATGGAGTCAAATTTTATTTGAACCTGGGTTGTAGAAAAACTGAACTACCAGTAAACTTTGGTGTATTCTTTTACAGACTGTATAGAACTCTAGTAAAATTCAAGCTTTTCAAGTTTCAGTAGGCCGTTTTGACTTATTTTATCACCATTGACAGTCTGCAACTTAAGACTCCAGATTTGAATATAAGACTCCAGTAAACCATGCTGAACGCCCCTGCCAACTTTTTCTCCTTTGCCCGACAAGGAATATATGTATACAGGAGCTCATTCCTTACTGAAACCGGCAGCAGTAATTGGAACCCAGGAATGAAAATAATATTTACAGGTTTTAGCTTAAGGACGTGACATTAACCAAATAATATGAATTTCTTTCTTTTCAATATTATGATAATTCAGTAGTATGGCCAGCTTTGTTCCATGCGATAGATAACTTTGATGTGGTCAAAGCAATTAGCTTTTAAATTTGAAATGTGCTGCAAAGAAAACGACAAGGACCGTAATAAATTAGACATTATTTCCAACCTGACACTGAAGAACTCACAATATGGTCATATCTAAACACATTAACTTATATTTTAGCCTACAACTTAAAGGACTCAAGGGTAATACTATTACTTTTTGTACACATTTTGTTGCTCCCCCTAATTTGGTTTATAGTGAAACATCCACACCTTATAAATTTGATCACAAAAAGTTGGCCTGTGATGAGCATTCGTTCCGATTGATATATGCTATTAATCACAACGGAAAATACAGGATTCTTTCTATCTTGTTTGCACAACCTGCATAGGTAGCAATTATTCAACAGCAATATGCAAAAATTTAACCAAAAATATATTTCATTGCAGAAAATTGAAGCGTAGAACAGGTAGGCTCGGTAACTTACCGTATCATAAAATATACAAGGTTTTGCAGGACTTTCACCAACTACCTATATAAACACTTGAATAAAACATTCAGAGACATTCAGATTTTCTTTTTATTATTTTTCAAAATTGTCAGAATTTAAAAATGTCTCTGTAATTGTATACTGTCTATAATGAAGCAGCTGCATGGATAACATGATTGAGCAAAAATTTTGCTGCCAGTATTAGCCACTAATCATCTCCTTTTCCATGTATGCTTCTTCCTGGCTTTGTGTTGACCAAAAACCTTTCGTTCTTTCCATCTTTTATCTTGTGTTAACAAACCAGCTGAAATTAACAAACGAAGAGGATAAAACTTAACTTATTTTGAACAGTGTGTGAGCATTATAAAGAATTAGACCCAACTATAATGGAATCTTAGGTTAAAATTCCACGCCCCTTATCTGGCAGTGGCTTACTTATTAGGAGCGAAAGGTGTGTAGACAAGTCGTAGAAAAAATGTCAGAGAACACACATAACCAAATGTAGCAAACCTACCCCTTCTCAGCATTTCCACTTCAACGGGAGTCAAAAAAGATCCCAAACTTTTTGCGATAGCAAGTCGCATTGCAGCTGCCTGTGATGCTGATGGAAATGGTGATCTTCGTTCGCCATGTGAAGATCCGAATGTTGCTGGCTGGTTTAAGCCACCTCTGATTGTGGCATGAACATCATATTTCTCCAACAGTCCAAGAAAGCAAAAAGGTGACAAGACAGTTTGTCTAAAAGGAAATCAATAAGACAGAGCTATTTTACATTAAATTTATTAGACTGGGCTTACAAGGCATAGTTTGTTACACCATGTCAGTTTCACGTCAGTTTCACTTTCAATTGGATATTTCTTACCTATCAGAAATAAAAGTAAAGTAATTGAGAAATGGTTGTTCATTGATGGTGATTTTTCCAGTTCCAGGTGACAGTAGTTTAACTTTGGCAACAGCACTTTTCTTAATTCCTTCAGCTTCTGCACATTTTGTACCATCATCTAGGACTTCATACTGAAATTAACAAGCAATAGGCTCTACTTAATAGGCGGTATGTTACTATAAGCTGTACTGTAATTTCAAAGTCTGCATCATAATCCTTGGCAATAGGCTTCCATTGAATATCTTTCTTAGAATGGGATAAATTGTGATATCATGAAATGAAAAAAGAAAAAGGAGAACACAGATGAAAGGATAGCAGTGACTGACTAATAGGGTATCAGATTCTGCAGAGATTAAAAATAAAGGATTATTGTAAACTGCTGATTTTGGTCATACGAAACGTTACAGAAATACATTTGTGTTAGTATGCAGCAGGGCGCTTGAATTGCATAATATTAGTACAGTTGTAGTTATATATCACCGACATAACATTGACAAAATAAAATTAGCATCACAAATCTGTGATATCAGTTAAACTCCTGAGTTGAACAAAATTATAGCAGGAAGGGTAGGATACAGGGCTGTGGCGAGTTTGACATGTCTTCACCAGAGTCTAAGTAGGAGTCCAATTTCTTTGGGTTTTCGACTTTTGATGGTGATAAAAGAAGTCAGAATCTTTCAGAAAAAAATTAAAAAAGCATCAAGTTTACTGAGAATTATTAACAGTCTATTGAAGAGCATGTGCAAAATCTTTCTTCATCAAAATTATATTTTTGAGTTCGTAGCTAGAGTATGAATATTAACTTTTATCTGAGAAAAAATTTTCCCAAACCCTAAGTTGAAATTAGTGGTAAATCCTCCCCAACTCCTGAGCCTTGGTAGGATTCATTCAACTTGTTACCTATGTGCAACTGTTACTTAGAGAAAGACAGCTAAGTCTCCTACACTCTTGTGATTTAAATGTTGTGATGGCAAAAACTGGTATATCAACTTAACATTGAACAGATAATATATTAAGACATTTGTTCTTATAGCAGTAAACCAAAAATTTGATACGATCAAATATGCTACTGAAACAATTGGTGGTTCATAGGAAGCCAACAACACTTACTTCTTTAACATCACCAAGCATTGACACGATTGGCACAGTCTTTCTCAATTTCATGATTAAATCTTCAGCAATGAAAGCATTTTCCTCCTCGAGCAGTCGTCCAAGCTGAGCAATCAATTGTCTGTACTGAAATATATTATTGAAAAACCGTGGTTAGATAAAGAACTGAACACAAAGTTTGCAATAATAAATTACGGTCATTGGAAAGGCGATTTCTGTAGCAGATACATTTAAATATATTAGGATGTTTGACAAAGCATCACTCTATATATCTGTAATCAGTGATAGGATGTGTATCGAACCCGTTTCAACAACGTAATTTTTGAAAATAATGCAGATTTTATAGCTCTGAAAACAATATCAGGTGCACTAGTTATCACGACATTCTGTGAGCAAAACAGAGAACTCATTCCATGGATGTAACTGTGTAAATGTTTTTAGAGTTAAATTAAAATCATTTCACTTGGAAGTTAGTATGAGCCACAAATTTGACTGGGACTCCTTGACATGCTACACAATCATGGCTTTATTTGCGCAATCATATGCCACACAAAATCAAAATAACGGCAATATTAGAATACCATTAATATAACGCAATTCTTACGCCCATAGGAGTGACAGCCTCTCCATCAAGTATTTCTCTGGAAATTTCTACATCCGTCATCCATCTTGTTCCGTCCAAATTCCTAAAATAATAATAATAAGCAACTGATCACAATAAACTAGGCGCTCCAGGTACCAATATGGAGGTAACTAATTCTGTTTGCCTATATTACATCACGTTGTGTAAAGTGACTGAAACCAATGGGCAGGGGTATGTTCACTTGGCTAACACAAACAGTCCCCTAACTCGTAATAGAACTAAAAATCGAATAAAATTATGACCTAACCCTAACCTGGTACAGATAATACCCTTTTTTAACATCAAAAAGCACAAAATACAGTTCAATACAGTGGTTAGAGTGTCAGACTGAAATAGCAATGCCTATTTCGTGAGATCCCTGTCCTTCAAAAGAGTGGCTTCCTATGCTGCTTGTTCAAAGCCCTGCTCGATGTACGCATGAATCATAAAAACAGTTAAAATATCTGAGTAGTTTGAATTTGGCACTGTCAAACAGAATGGAAAAAATATCAGATTTTGGCATTCAAACATATTGTAACGAAATGAAAGTAATTTCATAATATTAAGTACTCACAATTTCTTGGAATCTTCATTAGACATGTCGACCTCAATGCAGTCCTGAAATCAATAAAGGTAAAAAATATTTTCCGAAATGATAAATTGTTGTTTTAAAACTTGAAAATATACCGATAGGAATACCGTCATGATTACCTAATTGTATTACCTGAAGAAAATATATATAGAACTCCAAACTACCTCCTCATGGTTGAACTGTGAACACACAGTCCTGTTGCATTTTCAATTTTTTATGGAGTCAGTTATCAATATATCTTTTTATTCAAGTAAGTTTTAGGAAAAATGTACAACATTTTGAAAATTTTCAAATGTTTTGTAGTGTAGTTCTAATCAAAAAAGGTCAGATGTACAATATTAATTCAATTTTAAAAGTAAACCAATACTATGGTACTCGCAGATGTATAACAATAATAATTAAATTTCATAAAGTAAAATGCTACACTATTACCTCCATTTGATTTTCACTCATTTGTGTTTTCAATGATGAAGATCTGAATAAAATAATATATATTGTATGGGAATGCATACAAAACATGTTGAGTTTGGATAAGATAATTTTTCTATGTCAAGCATATTGTCATGTAGTAGATTTCACTGAGTATAGTTTTAAAAATAGTATAAGTGTAAAATAACACTACAATAAATGAACCTAATACTTTACAACTGGTAGTATAAAAACAATTTAAATAAATAAATGGTGCACTCAGCTAAACCTTGAAACAGGTTCACAAAACTGACAAATGGGGGCTATAATGAAAAATCATGAATGACAGCATTGCTACTCTCATCTTTGTAGAATGATTCAAGGAACCACATATACCATGAGTCGTGTCACTTCCACCTAGATGGTTTACCAACTAGGACAGGGAAAAGAATGAAAACTGCATAGTGATATTGTTTTTTGTGATTTTTGTGCCAGACTCTCATAACTACATGTGATCGCAATTACCTTTTTCTCGTATTTCCCATTTTTCTAGCATCAATAATGTACTGATATATCTTGAAAATAAAACAAAATATATTAGTAGCATAGCAACATCAATATTTAGCAATGTCATATTGCATGAAGATTCAATCTTCCCTAATTTCCGATTGCAAACAGACAAGCTATTTACAAATCTCTTTGTATATACAAACCCAACAAGAAAAGTGTATAAAAATTTGTTGCTAACAGTTGGGCTAAAGTACGTGAAACTAACTATCTTTCCTTGCTCTATATGTCTTTACGCTGTTGGATCTGTATGCGTATAATGCAAGGATGCTGTAGCAAGAGTGAAAATGACTATTCTATTCAATTCAAAAGTCTTGCTGCACACTTACACAAATGTATTTATTTTTTTATGTTTCGTTTCAGACAAGCATTTTACAACTGTGGCAAGAAACGCAATGGCACTCTGAAAGAAACCAGACTACAACACCACAAGCTGAGCCTAGAACACTTCGTAGCAAAAAGCATGTCCCCGAAAGGTCTCTAATTCACCCCTATCTAATATTGTAAACTTGACCCTTACATGAACTTAGGCAACGCCGCAGTCGAAGTTACGGAAAAACAGCATGAAATTGTTTAAGTTTATAATTGTCACATATACACTGTTGGATATTTATTGATTGTGATTCGAATTTAGCTCCCCTATTGTTCTGGCACTCTCCCAATCTTATTTATTTCTCTCTATCGTAAACAAACCCAACATTTGATAACATTATTTATATGCATGCCATTGCGTTTCTTGCCACAGTAGTAAAATGCTTGTCTGAAGAAGTCAGACCTCAGTCAGACGAAATGTTATAGAAATACATTTGTGTTAGTGTGCAGCAAGACTCTTGTATTGAATAAAATATTGTTGGACTAGAAATTTTCCAGGACAGCACTGTCAGCCTTATATATTACACTCTCGGCGAGTATGATGGGCATTGAACACTATATTTTTAATCTGTGATGCCAATACAATTAAGTTTAACCCTCCTACCATGACGCTTTCGTGCTTACATACATTTGGCAAGTTTACAATTTCCACCCAACGGTTGAACAATCTTACCTCGTGTAAAAGATGATTTAGATTTTGTTTCTTTGAGTAATATAGATAATGAAGTGGTCTTCCATTCTCATCCCAATGGATGCCTACAAATAAAAAATATATATAATGATTTTAGTACGCATGAATATGCTTAATCCATATTTATATAGAATACGACACTATATTATATATACTGGCTCGGTGGTGTGGCGCATCATGCTAAGCGTTAGTTATGTGCGAGCGGATTGCTGAACTCATCGCCGCCGTAGAGTGGTTCACGTAACCACTGGCCGGTCACGGCTTTCTCCACCATCAAGTCCATGCATCTGAAAACAGATAACTGGCTAACTAACTAGTCCCATACCCGACATGGACTGGAGGCCATGGTTCGCCATATTATTCAGCCGTCTCATGCCCCTTTCCTCTACCCCGGGATAAATAGCGAGCGGTAGGCAAATTCTATCCTAACCTATTATAAATTTTGAAAAAATACATCTGTATTTGCTTGTCCATTGAGAGATTACAACTAGTTGGTAGATAGACCAAAACATATTGATACAAGGTATTGTTTAGTATAAACTGTAAAGTAATCACGAGTAGGGGTGGGCAAAATCGAATCTTTTTTACGAATACCGAATAGTCGAATAACGAATATTTTTTTTAATACAACGGGGGTCCGTCGGAGGTCGATACTCCCTTCGAAAATTAGAAGAAACTTTGAAAAGTCGGCAACAATACGTTTTTTATTTACTGGTTAAATTCATCAAAATCGCTAATTGTTTCTATCGCCGCGATCCTTCATATATTAGGTATACCCGTGCGTTGCCGTTGAAAATTTTTTAAAACTGTAAAAGTCGACAATAACGCGTGCAATAGCATTTTGCTATAATCGCCGATTGTTATTATCTGCGTGACATAACGCGTGCAATAGCATTTTGCTATAATCGCCGATTGTTATTATCAGCGTGACGTGGTATTTAGGCCGTAAACAACTTTATGTTGGTTTTATTTTCTCCAAATCAAAAATTTTCCACAACGTTGTGCGACGCTAACGATGAAAATTATTTTATTTTTGTACACAAAGGGAATTGCGAATCCGTTTAGTTTAATTAATATACGTTCATCGGCGGCGAGTTTCCGAGGACAACGCAAATTTTTTGATTGAAAAGCGACAATATAAAATACTGAAAATAAAACTTTAAACAATATGAGTTTTATTGAGGCCTGCGACAGTTTAAAAACGCCCCTTTATACATTGAAAATCGCAAAATTTCGTGTGCCTCTCGCACACATTATGTTTGGTCGGCGTTTAGAAAACATATCGTCACTAAAATCGAAGCACTGTTAATTGTGGGCGGGATTGGCCATATTATCCATTACTTTAAATTGCCGTCGAAAATTTTCTTTTCAACGTTATACAAGGTTTGAAACGGGACAATTTCCCCCGGGTTGTGATGATATATATAAGATAATTAGTCTAATGTATATTCAATCAATTTTTATTGTGCCAAACTAAATTTTAACCTGAGATATTACAGCAGATTTATGGATTATTTGATGTTACAAGTCCTGAAAATAAGGAAATCAAAGCTTTATATATTCGAGCGGTTTACCACACTTTAAGTCCGCAGATTGCCGTGATATTTTAAAATTGTGAAAATTTTATTTTGTCGACTCAACCGCTGGTTAAATCGAAGACAATAATAAAGCAAGACATTTTAAATATGCCCTTATCGGTCACAAATTGATTACTTTGCACAACAGAAAACTCATTATCCATTGTAAAAGTCGGCTCTTTTAACAAGTGGCCCAATCGCGGCGATGAATATGTATTTTTGATTAAACGGTATACTTTATATGTATTTTCATTGTAAGAAATAAAATTGTACTCTACGGGATTTTATATCAGTTATTGAGATTTTTCTAACGGCGATAACGAGTTCGCAAGATTCCAAAAATACCTATTAAAATCAAATACACCCGGCAGTTTATCTCATACTTTTATGTCCACAGATCGCCGTGGCATTTCAGAGAAGTAATGTTTTAATTTTGACTTAAGAAGAAGCAACCGCGAGTTACGTTTGACAATTTGACATATTTAAATTAATATATAAAGACATTTTGGAATCCCGTAGTTGTCATGAATTGATCATTTTACGCAACAGAAAAATCATTATACGCTGAAAAAACGTCTCTTTAACGAGCGCGTAATCGGGGTGACTGCTACAGACGGCAATGAGAATTTCCGATTTTTCAAATACATGGTCATACGTTTTTAATTTACAGAACGTTCATAAATTAAAGCAACGGTGGGGACCTATTTTGCAAAATAAGGAAATGAAACGATACGTTAGGCGTGAAAAGAAAACAAATAACATCATAACGCAAAAAAATTTGTCGCTTTTGTATGTTAGCGAGAGCCGTTTGTGAATTCTCGCGCAATTCACGATTGATTTGGCGACGCGCGAATTCCGTGTTGAAGCAAAGCGGCGCAGGTCACGTGGTACGGGTATTCGAATAGTAAAATGCCATTCGAATATTTTGATATTCGATTCGATATTCGTTATTCGAATATTTTGCCCAGCCCTAATCAAGAGTCATGACTGAGAACAAGACAAATCATTTTTACAAACACAAAGTTATGGAAATATATACTCACGTAGTTGTGAGGTGTAAAGCTTCGATGGATGCTGTAAAAGTAACAAATTTATTAATATGTGAATTATCATGCTTTCAATTCATACATTTTCTTTTTTTTTAATTATATATAGCAATTAGGACGTATTTATTAGTCAACGGAAATTTTATATAAAATGGATCAGTGTGTGAGTCCAGTTCCTGAAATCATTTGAAAAAAATTCGAGCCTGAATACACTCTCAACGCAAAGATAATGTATGTGCCTTTCTGTAGGGAAGTACAAGTTGACTTTATGTATTTTTATAAATTTAGACCCCAGGAATTTTTCAAAATTTAACACCAACTCAAAGACTTCACAGCACTTGATTCCCACCCAATCATCCATATGGAGTATAACAAGTTAGATATGCTATGACAAATTCAAAAAAAAATCCTTCATTTTAATTAGTAACTGTAACTGCCAGCGTTCAGGTAACTCCTTGTCTGAAGACTATGTAGAAACCATATTTAGAACAAGTGATGATAATAACTCAATGTAAAATTTTGGTTTTAGTAAGGACTAAAATTGTCGAATTATATTCAGAAATAGATTAGGTTGGCAATTCATTGCCTATACAATTTTAGTATTTGTCAGGACATTGGTATCTCTGATGTTGATAGATATTTGTCTGTCTGTATGTCTGTTAGTCTGTTAGATGCACGCGATATCTCACGAAAGCGAGATTGAATCTGCTCCAGATTTTGCATGTGCATTCATCTTATCTCGGACCAGAAGCCTATTGATTTTGGGCGAATTATGTCGTATAATTAGCGAGTTATCAATCAATTATTGATGAAGTGATCTAGATTTTTGTAAAGCGAGAGTATTTTGAGACCCGCCGAGTGTGTGTGTGCGCGATGCGCAGTGCGCAAGTTACAAGAGCGGATGAATAGAAACTGCAGTTTCTGTTTTGGGGGATCCCCTAACTATCGATCGATAAGTCTTCGGTTTCCAACTGATATTCTCGTTTTTCTGTTGATTTAAATGTATCATAGTGTTGTCTTTGTTTGAGATAACAAGTCTCTCTCTCTCTCATTAACATCAATAATACCGGTATATCAAAACTATGTAAGAATACTAACCTCCATACTTGGTAAAACTTCCTCATCCAGATCTGATGGAAATAGGTATCTAATTGAACGCTGTAATACAAATGATGCATAATCATACACAACATATCAAATTAATATACCGTATTTGCTCGTTTTGTAGCCCGGGCCCATATTTTTTTCAACCAACTCACTAACCGGGCCCTTATTCAAGCACGGGTGCTTGTTATTCTCGATCGTTACAATAATTAATATAATGTTATTTCCAGTTCTCAAGTATGATTTAAACGAGAATAACGGAAATTTTGACTTTTTCTACGCACCGCAGGTACAAATCCGCAAAAGAAGAAAAGTTTTGCGACGCCCTATCAATATTGAAACGACGTACTTGGGCGTCGCGACGCCCAGTTTGAGAACCATGGTGTTACGTAATAAATGATATCTGTTATGTACTTTGACGCCTAAGGCGTGAGGGTTATCTACCGGCGCTTAAAATTCAACAGCGTTGTGACAAAAGCGCTTCTTATTTCTTATTGTTCTCTACCACTGAAAAATCAGCTTTTACATCGGGCGGGTATTCAAGCACCGGCCCTTATTTATTTATGTTCTGTTCACACGGGCGGCTATTCAAACGGGCCCTTAATCAAGATCGAGCGGTAAAACGAGCATATACGGTAGTTGAATTCCAGTAAAACTTAAAAAAAACTTATTTGTTATAATATGTATTTGAAATAGATTTTGATGATTTCAAAAGAATCTTACGAAATGATTTTGTATTTTTATATGCCGGATTTATATACATTGTGCCCTGAACCAGGCTCTGCATAAGCAGCTAAAGCGCTACTATAATTTGGAGAACTGTAGTCGAATTGGGGTGATATGGTATTGGTGGGTATGGGACTTGAACAAAAGATTTTAAGCTGATGCCATAACAGCCGAGTCTAACGTTTTAACCCCTAGAGTTAGACAGACCACCATGTCCAAGGAAAATCGCAATCTCTATAGTATATTTTAAAAATAATTTGAAAGTAATAACTTGTTGTAATGAAGTGATTTGACAAGAAGTAATATGAAACATTGAAATGCTTGATCACTGTGGCCTAAGCATTGAGAAACTTTGAAGTAAGTCAGTATAATACAAACTATCCCATTTGCAGTTAGAGAAAATATCATGTTTTTGCTGCATAATAAAACTATATTAGATTACCTAAAAATTAAATTTTCTGCAATGCAGAATTCTATGTCACCAAACTGTTTGAGTTTGAATGCAATATCCATTAATAAAAAGTACCTTCATATCTTCATCATTATATGTATCAGGATCTTCACCCATCATATTTGCTAATCTTCTTTTATTCAACTTATATTTTTCTGCTTGTTTTCTTGATAAATGGATAAATAAGCTTATATCAAGCCATTAATTAGGTTTAGGGGAAAATAATGATTATTGTTATCGGAAATACAGATACCAGTTAACACAAGCTTTTTATCGTCTTACTGGCAGTCAATTTAGTACGAGTCATTTCATTGAGATGACTAGAGTCACTTTGAGTATTTAATAAATGGTGCAAGTTAATAGACTCGAGTTTTCCAAGCCATGTTAGGAGTAATAACATCTCCAATTCTCTAGTGACTTAAAAATATGTGCATTCCACATGAGAAACTGGATTTAAATATAATAGTGATCCACTAATAAATGTAAAGAACATCATTTAGTTAAGAAAACCAATGGGGTTTAGTGTAGTTTAGTACCCAAGATACTTGAGTACTATACTAGTGGGCTTTGCATAACGATCTTTGCATATGTTATTCCTGTTCCCCACCTGACTATGCCATTCAAAAATTACATCACAACTCACAATCATGTCATAGAGCTTGCCAAAGTGTAGCTACGATCGCCCAAAATAGCATATGGGCCGACGATTACAAACTTACTAACGCCAGCGATTTCTCTCATACTGGGATCGCTTCGACGAGAAAACAAGAAAAAATAGATTGCTGAATTTCAGGTGATTGTCTGCGCATTTTGGACGACCATCTGTATACTTTGGAGGGACTTAACATGTCACTGTGACGTGGGGTCAGGTTGGGGTTAGGAATGACATATGCAAAAACTGCTGTGCCAGTCCAACTAGAAGTACCTACACGCTGTACTAAACTACACCAGACCCAGCTAATGTAGTTTCACACTGAAGATATTTGAATAGCATATATGCAAAATACACTCAAAAATCTTTTTATCACTTACATAAGAAACTCATCTGAATATTTAATATGTTTGGTCTTCTGGAGATTTGTTTCTTGTGTCCGTAATTGCACATTACCCAGATTTCGTAAACATTTCGCTGATGTTGATAACGCCCTTTTCTGCAAAAAGTGCTGTGAGTTATATCTTACAACAAGCATTTCTAGCAAAGACAGATTAGAATTATTCTCTGCATTGTATCTAATTTATATCGAAGCAGTCCCATTAATCTGCCAATGGAATGGCTGAATAAAAAAACAGTTGAATATTGTTGATAACAGATGGACAGGTGAATATTACATAATTTTATTGAGAATCCAAGTGATTCCCCATATAACACAAGGTTCCAAACGCAAATGATCAATTTCTGTAATTTCGGACATACTGAGCATAGCAACTCCTTTAAAGCAGTCTGTTTAACAATGGATGGATTACAGTTCTAGGCTTGACTAGCCTCAATCAATCAATCATTTATTTCGGTATTCTGACATAGAAACAAAACAGCACAAAAAGTAGTAACACAAACAAAATGCAGAGATACCGGTACCTGAAAAGTGAGCATAACTTAAAATAAAGTTAAAAAACGTAAATGTATGCGCCGCCCACCAAAAAAATGATAATAATACAAGCATACAAAAAACACGATTCAGAATCGGGCAACGCTTCAAGAAAACACTGCTGTAATTGCTGAAGAGATCTGTGGACAACTTAGACAAAATAATAACAAAATTTGAGTAGATAAATCAATCAATCAATTTTCAATCAATTTTATTTCGGTCGCTCTGGTATTAAACAAAAAAACAACATTTGTTTTAGCGTCATAGCGAAATTAAATGTAATACAGTAATAGTGAAAATAATTAAATGTAGACTTCTAACAACTTCTTCCGTCTAAATATGGTAATTGAGAGATCCCCAGAATTTACCCCACATACCGGTATCATTTATATAAATAACGCTGATTTTTAATATTTGAATTGCAGCAAATTCCCGAATTCTGGGTCTGGGATTCTAAGTTGTGTCTGTGTGTATATCCAATATATAAATAGATGTAGGAAACAACTTGCTTTCAAAGACATAAAAAAGTCACCAACCTGGGCTAACATAGCTGCTGAAATTGATATTTTGCAAGTTGATCCCGATACCCACATCATCAGATTGTTCCTTGAGTTCAACTTACTGCTGTTCTGACTTAAGGTTTCAACCTGCAAACTGCCAAATCGGGGAATGCCTCGCGCTAACCTTGAGCATTCACAATATTATAGTATCGCCAATCGTCATTTTTAGCTCATTTGTCAAAACAGCCAAATACCAAAACACAGAGGAATAGCGCGCATGGATTGATTATATAGATGGACTATAGACCTCGTCTACCAATCGCTACAAAAAAGCTATGCTCAAATATATGGACACGTGGAGCCACATAGTGGAAAATTTTGATGGCGTCAAAGCACACAAAAACGATAAATAAAAGTAATAGGAAAAGATCGTTATGTCCACTCACATGTCCAATAAAAAATAGATGTTAGAAATGTCAGTTTGAATTTTGATTAAGCAACACATACTGACATAGCCTATTGCAATAATTTTGAGCAGTTTAAATGCGAAAGACACGTTTTGTCCGTCCTGAAATAAAAGTAGTGGACATCATAGTGTTTCTGCGTTTAGTTTTGGTTTTTCAACATACAGACTTAACCTCTCCAACATACATGGATGTATGAACAGGACATTCAGCTTTTTAGGATACGGTCAGTTCATCGTCTTTTCGTCAGAAACACTCTTTTCATCGCACCACTGATTACCCCGCGAGGGTTAGCCTGTTTGAATACCACGGGGAATAAGCGTGCAAGAGAGAATTACAGGACCTCTTGCGTCAGTCCTAATCAACGACTAACATACCGGTCTCAATATAATCTCTGCTTAGAATCAGCACATGGATATTTTGTATAAAGCCCACGATAACGCTCAAAATAGGAAGATTTCTAACAAGAGAGCAATGCTCAAATATATGGACATGAAGCACCACATAATTTTGATGACGTCATAGCAAAAAATAAAAGTGATAGCAATCTAGCAAAAAATATAATCTTTACTCACTGGAACTTTCAAAGCAATTGGTCCAGTAATCAAAGAGAAAAGCGATTTCTTCAAAATGTGTCAAAAAACAACAAGAGCAAGAACAACATAACAACAAAACGATTGTATGTCCACTACGTGTCCAATAATCCAGTTAGGGTTAGGAATGCAAATTGCGATGAAAATTCAAGCCATTTCTGATCCCAACTAGATAATTACTAATTTGCGATTTTGAAACGTCGCGCGGTATTTTCCTCAAATCTCACATCTTTGCATTTGTGGCAGCGGCTTTGAAACTTTTTTGGTCAGTCAGGGCATGGTCGTTATCTAGCGTGACCAGGGCCCGACACTTGACACTTTCAACGGCAGCCTAAAATATTGACTGATTTCTCATGACCCCAAGCGTGCTAGCTCACAATCAGGCCGTTCCCACGATTGATTTCGTGTAAAAGTCGCAGCACAGACAATAATAATAACCCTTTATCGCTGCAGATCTGCATACACTACAGCACCTTAGTGAAGTTAGTGAAGATCAACGACTAACATACCGGTGAAGACAGCATCGAGGTGCGAGCGAAAAATTAAATATATTTTGCGCGATTTCCCATATTTGTGTACTGCTCATACACGTAGTTACCAAAAGAGGCTTTTTGTACGTTAGGATCGCTTGAGATCAATGTTGGCATAGATTTTATTCTACTACAATAATTTTCGGAAAGATTGTCTGTTCGACCTTCCCTTCACCTCGTAAATGACACACAGTACTATCGTACGGGATATTTATAGTAGTCTACTCTTATGTTAGAGCAGTATAACCTTGAAGAATGTTTTGTTTTTCATTCACAAATTTTGACCACATGGGCATGGCGACTGGCGAGATATTTAATTATTTCGCACTCGCTCGCGGAAGATTTTATTGGTTTGTATGAAAGTGGGTGGTTATGCTTCCGTACGCTTGATTGTCATGGTTAACTGGCTATGACACGTTATTTCATAAGCAAAAATTGTTCAGTAGTTAGCGTACCGGTACCAGTAATTGTGCGAGGAGGTTCTGCGTTTTCGTGTGTACTGCGGTCATCGAAACTACTGTTTTTATATTATATCTGCGTTGTCAGATTGTGTCTTTTGCTGTCATAGTCTTGTTTAACAAAGTTTTTGCTTGCTCTCCAGAATTCTCCATTTTTTATTTGTTTGCATTGTCAGATTGTGGAGTTTTCGAAGTAAACTATCTATCTATAGTAGCCTACTGATGTGATTGTGTTTCATTTTATTGTCCTTACTACGCCACCCACACAAAGGAAAATAATTTCAAAATTTTGTGTTTGTGCAGTTTAGTTCTATAATTAGCCAAGCTATGAAATTAAGGTTTTAAACATCATCATTTTTTTGTGAATGCATGTTGGTGAGCAGGCACATGATACTCATCTTGTTTTAAACTTTTTTAAAGGTTTTGCTCGCTCTCCAGGATTCTCCATTTTTTATTTGTTTGTATTGTCAGATTGTGGAGTTTTTGAAATAAACTATCTATCTATAGTACGGTCAGACTGTAGTGATTGTGTTTCATTTTCTTGTCCTTATGCTACCCACACAAAGTAAAATAATTTTGTGATTCGTGCAGTATAGTTCTTTAATTAGCCAAGCTATGAAATCAAGGTTTTAAACATCATTCAAGGACTGATTATGACTTATTTTGCAGCTTTGCTATTGTCGAATTGATTGATTGTTGTAAATGCAATTATAATCTAACTTTACACACAGACAAACATACTTTGTCCTGATCTGATAAAAATGGTACTGGACTTGGACTTATTTCGTAAAGACAAAGGAGGAGATCCTGATAAAATTCGTGAAAACCAAGCGAAGAGATATAATGATGTTACATTGGTGGATAATGTTGTTGCAGCTGATGAAGACTGGAGAAAATGTGAGACCAAAATTTTCTTAAAATTCAATTCTTAAAATGTAACCTTTTCTGGTAAATTGAATTGACACGGATTTCGAAATTACAACTTACTTGTAATATTCTTAGCAACAGTAAAATGAGAAGTTTTTTGTTATAGACAAATTCATGATTGACTGGAATATTATGCCCAAAGCAATCATATCCTTAAAGCCCAAATCAGAAAATGCTGGATTTGCAACTATGACTCCTCATATATTTCAAGATTTCCTATGCACATGTTTTTGCTTCAGGTCGATACGAACTGGACAATTTGAACAAAATGAAAAATGTTTGCAGTAAAGCAATTGGAGAAAAAATGAAACGTAAAGAACCAGTTGGAGATTGTGATGGTTTGCCATCTGATATGCCTGCATTGACTGACATGTCTCAGGAATTTTTGAGTGTGCGTCTCTGTGATTGTGTGTAAAGTTTAGATGAATTGCTGGCCATATAAAGAGTAAATTCACGATTTCAGAATACTTATAAGTTATAAAGACATCTTGAAGCATCCTCTCCTTTGCACATGATTTTATCTTACTGGATGGAATTAAAATTAAGCAGATCAATTGCAAAAGTTAATTCATGTTTTGCGATACTAAATAAATCCAAGACAAATGACTTATACAATATGATACGGTATATTTAATCAATTATTTTTTTATCAATTTTTTGCTTTTGTATTGACAGAAATTGACAGTTGTGCAAATCAAAAAAATCCGTCAGCTCGTAGACGAACGAATTGAAAAATGTAATGTACAAAGAGTACATTTAGAAGAGGTTCGACTTGCTAACTTAAGGGAAATTGCAAACCTGACACATGAGTCTGTTCCAATAAGCAATGATGAGGTGAATTCATGTTAATTTTTTATATTACTTTGAAGAATCTTCTCAAGTTGTTATTTACGATTGTGCTAATTTGGAAATTAACTGGTTACCTAAATGTATTTTGAAAAGTAATATTTACTGAAATAATTTACCTACTGCATGGTATTCTATTATTCCAGGATGCAGACAATGCTGTCGAAAGAACGTTTGGTGATTGTGGAACAAGAAAAAAGTACTCTCATGTTGATCTTGTAGTTATGGTCGATGGATATGAAGGGGAGAGAGGGGCAGTTGTTGCAGGAAGTCGTGGATATTTTCTGAAAGGTCATTATTTATAATATTTAATGCCAGGGGTCACCAACCTTTTCGTAGCCGAGTGGCGAGTGCTATCATCTGGGTACCGATTAAGCAGAGGGCTACCAGTTCAATGAACATTTAAAAAAAGTCAATTTGCTCGATTAACCTTCAATTATTGATAAATGATAATTACCGTACTGGTATTTAGTCAAGTAAAAACACTGATAACTTTAGGATTCTTCAGGAAATCAAACAATTATCACAACGTAGCAAATAAATTACTAGCAATGGCACTTCCATTTTCAAAATGATTTTAAAGTGATCACTAAAATAATATCCCTGGAAACCACAGGTCCACAATGTACCTACTTTTCTACAAACACCTTGCATAACCCTAAGATGAAATGAACTTGCCGAATGTTACATTTACAAACACATTTAACAAATTATGAATATCTTGTTTTCAACAAGGAGAAAACCAAAATCGAACAAATCTGGTTTAATGCTCTCCACCACTGTGTTGTACTCCGGCGTGCAATTTGGCACTGTAACTCGGGTCTTGCAGATTTTCATCAGTAACAGTAAGGCATATTCCGTGCTTAGTTCCTTGTGAAGTTCATGTCAAAAAATGTTAATTCACAAAGATGACTTGATCCAAACACTGATTTCGTAACATAGGATTGCTGTTTGATTTCAACGGCAAGCTTTTTCTGCCTGTATTGCGCTGACCAATGAATAGTGACAAGATGTAAATTGTCTCTTCGCTTTGTCGTCGCTATAATCGTCCTGCAATTGAGACATACGCAAGTTGTTTTTACGATGGTAAAAGTAAATCCACCTCCAATTCATTGTGAAAATGGTAGGTTTTCTTTCGTTTTTCTGCCATTTTTCTTTGAAATCAATAATTGTATTATTGACATTGCCCCACAAATCAACGGACACGAAAAAACACGAGTTCGTGTAAAGTGATATCTGTGTGATGTCATAATTGGGAGAGTATTACCGTAAATGACCCGTCACATTACTGATGTCAAATAAAAGTTAGGATGATCGTTACCATAATAATTAGCGTAGTGTTATTCCCAGTTCCCAAATAGGACATAAGTGTGATTTTATACAAGAATAATATGACGAAAATTATTTGATGTAGCTTATTTTGAGCGACGTTATTAAGCTCATTTTGGAACAGACATGCGGGCGACTCATGTGGTCTTCGCGGGCGACTTGGTGCCCGCGGGCAACGGGTTGTTGACCCCTGCTTTACGCTATGTTGAAATTCAGTACTACGGTATAATGTAACTATTTTCATTTTTTAAGTTTTAATCATGTGAAAACATACATACTTTCTACATTTGCTAAATTGCAGGGCAAAGCCGAGTTGAAAAATAAGTCTAATTTGCTTGTTTCAATTACTGTGAAATGATTGTTTTTGGAAATACATCAATGAATAATTATTGTTTTTAAATTTGTTTGTACAGGTCCACTCGTTTTCCTCGAACAAGCTCTCATAAATCTAGCACTGAGAACATTGTCAGATAAAGGTTATACTCCTTTGTATACACCGTTTTTTATGAGAAAAGAAATGATGCAAGAAGTTGCACAACTCAGTCAATTTGATGAAGAGTTATACAAGGTATAAGCTTTTGTTGCCAAAGACTGCAAGTTTTAAATCTTCCATGTAATAAAATGAGGCATACATTGATCTCTACTTAAAAATAGCTGATAAACTGCCTAATGAAATTGCGAACTGCAGATCCAATCTAGTTATAGATATAGCTAACAAGTTCATCCTTTCTTATGCTTAGAAATGGTGGAATGGTGAAAGCTATTGCTATAAGGTTGGAAATAAGTGTGACCAATTATTAAAAGAATTCCCTTACTTCTGACTCATACTTGACCACTATTTACCTTTATTTCTTCTGACTCTCGAGTACAGGTAAAAAAAGGTTAATTTCCATTGTACAGCCCTGCAGGAAGTTGTAAGTGACCAGCAGGTATATGAACCGTACTCGGAGTCTGAGATAAGGTCCAAATATGTACATAATCATCACTTCCCATAAATTCAAAATTAATGCCAGATAATAAGCGTTGAAATGAACGTTTTTATCCCTAATACCCAACAGATTATCAGAATTTTAAAATATAATTGATTGAATCCATATATATATATATATAAAATCTTTTAACAGGTTGTTGGAAAATCCAGTGATAAGTCAGATGAAGGTGGTGTGGATGAAAAATATTTGATTGCAACAAGTGAACAACCTATTGCGGCATTCCATAGAGATGAATGGTTGAAACGTGAAGACTTGCCCATTAAATATGCTGGATATTCAACATGTTTTAGACAGGAAGCAGGATCACATGGCCGTGATACGAGAGGAATCTTTCGTGTTCACCAGTTTGAGAAGGTACTTTTGTGTATTGTATTTGTATACCATAGGTCAGGGCTACTCAACTATTTTTATCGAAGGTCCGCAAACAAAACTTCAAAATTATTTGGGTCCGGTCTCTCCAGAAATGATATTTCGGCATCCTTAAACGAGCATTTCCTCGACCGACTAATGATTAGTAGCAAATTAAAATTGTTTACTATGGTGTTATAGTTCTTTTCGTATATATTCAAAACTATGAAAGTATTTTATAATAGGAAATTCAAAAAGTGGGGCTAATGATCCAAAATAAATAGTTAGGTGCGGTCCAAATCCAATACTCGAAAGGTCCGGATTCGGACCACGGTCCGCCAGTTGAGTAGCCCTGCCATAGGTGATGAAGCTCCAAATATGTAGAGTTATTGGACTCTTGGGGTGGCAGGGTAAAAATGTTTGGGCCATTCTTCATACATTTTCAAACAACGATTTTTACATCTTCAATTTCAAACATGGACCTGCACAAGCATCTCCTGCTATTTAAGGGGCTACTATTACTGAAGTCCTAAAATCTTTCTAATTTGGCATTGCCATTCCAATTTATTACACCGTGAAAGAGGTGAGGGGATAGGTTTAAAACTTAGGATCTGTAACCTGCGATGCCAACGGAGGGCAAACCGTGGCTCATGGGCTGCATGCGGCTCACGAGAGATTTGAAAAATTTTTGCCCACCCTGCCATGGGTCATCTCACCAACAAATATGTATGCATACATAAAACCTGTAAGGATCTGAAACTTCTTTTAGAACAAAAAGTTTTCTTTGCAGTGAATGGTTTTGTTATCAAGTGTATCTGTTTTACAGTTTATGTAATATTTTAAAATATATGCCATCGATTTAACATTTATATTGGGATTAATGTTAAATTGATATTTTCAGATCGAACAATTTGTTTTTTCTGCTCCTGATGCATCCTGGGAAGCATTCGATGAGATGATTGGTACTGCAGAAGAATTTTATAAGGTAATCTCATTCCAGCAAGTTAACTGCGTATATTGTCTGCAAACACAACTTGATTTACCAACAAAATTTTTCTAGAAATTGAACATCCCATACCGAATTATAAATATTGTCTCCGGGGCACTGAACAATGCAGCAGCAAAAAAGTTTGACTTAGAAGCCTGGTTTCCCGCATCTGGGGCATTCAGAGAACTTGTCTCATGTTCAAACTGCCTTGATTATCAGGCAAGAAGATTGAGAATAAGATTCGGACAGACTAAAAAGATGATGGAAAAGGTAATTTTTTATTTTCATATTAAGCTTAATAGCAGTAAGTAATTTACTCTGTGTAGTAAAATTGTTTGGAACATCTAGCCAGCCCACTTGAAACAACTTCTTGGAAGAACATGTTTAATAATTGAACAGAAGGTGGAAATAGCTTTTGGTGTTTATTGGCTTCGTGTTCCTTGTGTTTTTTGAATAGGTAGTGACACTATCTATATATGACACTACACTATCATAGTGTGGATATTAAATGATTTCAAAAACTAAATCATTTTCTGTTCTTATTCAACTATTGATAAAGATTTCGATAGAATACATGAATATTTACATGAAGAATATTGGTCTAGTAAAAAGTCAAATCAAATATCTACTATTTTTTTTATCATACAAGTGCCTTTCAGCAGGGTTATTAATTATTTTTTCCAGACTGAATTTGTTCACATGTTGAATGCAACGATGTGCGCAACTACTCGTGTTATATGCGCTATTTTGGAGAATTTTCAAACAGATGAAGGGGTTGTGATTCCTGAAGCTTTGCGTCCTTTCATGCCTGATCGTGAGTACAGACAGTGATTATATTTTTGTCAGGATCTCCTCGTTAGCCATGGCATTGCAAGTTAGATTTGGAATCTTGATTTGTATAACTTTCATCCCAACCCCACCATCTTACTAATGAAATTGGTTAGGCAAACGAGAATGAGTTCTTTCCACAGACTTGTTAGGTTTTACTTGAAACTGGCTCATTGCTGCTAAGAGTCTAGAATAGGGGTCGGCAACCTACGGCCCGCGGAGCAATTTAATCCGGCCTGCGACTCTTCACTGAATTATAGTAACAAATTATAGCTGTTTTGTCCATTATATTCTTTACGCAAAAGAATTTACGTGTAGACTAAATTATATTATAATGTAACAAGTATATAATTCACAATTACTCGTTTAATGAGCCTATAATTTAATTATAATTTAGACAAATGGCAACAAAACGCAGAAAAGTTGATGCTAAGTGCAAATGATTTAATGGCGCAAAAAATATTCAAATGGTCATTCTTCGCGCGCTGCTTGAAATTTAACTTCTGATCTGTGTGATAAAATGCGATTCATCTGTCATCTGTTCGATTTTTAATTTTCTAAAAATATGTGCGACCCGCCATTGACTTGCAACCTTTAATTTTGGCCCGCGAGCGACAACAGGTTGCTGACCTCTGGTCTAGAATAACTATGGACTTGGGGGTCATTAAACACCAAGCAAGAATATACATCTCATGCAAAAAATAATATTTCCGTCAAACTCCCATGTTTTTTTTTCGTTAGGCTACAAAGAAATAATCAAGTTCACAAAACCAGCGCCAATTGATGAAGAAGAAGCGAAAAAACAAAAAAAGAAAGCTAAAAAGGAAAATAAGGCCAAAGGAGATGTTGCTGATGAAGTTAAAAACCTCAGTGTGAAATAGAATTATGCCTCAATGAATCAGCATCATATTCCTCACTGGTGGAGTTATCCTGTTCAAGTTCCAACTTGTCATTCCTATTATCAGATCATTTATGAGGGTGTTATTTAGTATGAAATTTATTTGCACTAAGAAAAGATGTTTTGCCCTCTGGTTTATCAGGAATGTGGAAATTGTTATGATGTAACTGCCGTATCCTACTGTTCTACTGAATCTTTTTGTTTTGCCATATTTTTCAAACTAGCTCTATTTAAATTACCAGTCATTGCTGTACGAGTAGTAGTCAAAAGTTGTAACTTGTAGGTATGTGGATTAATGATGATAGTTCAAAATATAAAACTGTTCAGTCTTCTGCACTCTCGTTTCAATTGACAAACATGTTTCAGAAGGTGGTAGGGTTTCATTGTTAAACAAACTGATCATGACGTCTTCAACAGGTTTGCCAACCAGTATTTTCTGAGTTTGGGTTGATATTCATTTTTTCATTTTACCTTTCGGAAATATGTTCACATGCACGCAGGTAGACTGTCTGATATGTAATAAAAAAAATTGGCACCGGGTGAAATTTTTGTAATCTTTTGGGCAGCTTATTGTTTTGAGGTTCAATTTCTTTAGTACCCGATGGACTTTTATTCAATCACACCAATATTTATCACCATCACATATTTATCAGTAACTGTGATATTATCCTGCAGTTCTTCTGTTGCTAGCAACTACTGTACAGCTTATCATCTGCTTCCGTCACCCAACTTCGCCTTAATTTAATTGTGGATTGATATATTGTCTTTTAGTTCATTCCTCACACTTGCTTCTCTTTAAGATATCAAGTCAGTTTAAGTTTGAGAAGTGCATGAGAGAGGGGAGATATTTATCATTTTATCCACCAAAAATAGTCATTTAACAGAAATAGAATAGTTATGGTAAGGACAAAGCGGTATGTTAGTCGTTGGGACAGAGGGAGCGTTGTGGTCCTCGACTTCAACACCCACCATAATTATGTGGCGTGATTAGGATTCACATTAGAGATGACTAAGTTCTGGGAAATGTTAATCAAGTAATATTTTTTAAACAACAAAATATGTATTCTCAGATAACTTCATATTGGGGGATTACACAATTAATTTCTATCGACTTTAGACAATGGTAAATAATGATATAAAACACATTTAATATATGCAAAAATTACGCCGGTCCTAAAACAAATTGCAATGTGCAAGTCGAAGAAACTGTATGACATGAGCTGGCGATAATTGTTAATATACAGTGTGTGATGATGGGAAACTGAAGTTAGCAGAAGTTGTTGGGAAAACCATCATTATCGAATGCCCGTTACCCCGAGTGGGAGACTTGACGTTGCGTCTTACAAATATTCGCTACAACTTCCATTTTTGCTGATAAATAATGCTGTTGGATTCTGAGTGCAGCCAGACGAACTGCCATTGCTCGTCATAATGTTGGTATAAAGGAAAAGATTAAATTTAAAACCTTCACTGTGTCGTTGATCGTGAAGCATTGAAATCGTATTGAGCATTTAGTTTTTGTCCACTGAATACCAGAGGAAGCCAATGGTTCTCAAACTTTTCCCAAAGGCGCGTTGGAAAGAAAAGTAAACTTTATCAAAATTACTACAACAATAGAGAAGATATTCATCATTGCGGTACAAGAGCTTATTTGATCATTTTATGTCATGTTTTCAATTATGTACGTTTTAAAAACCTTACCGACGGTTTTGATTTCTCTCCTGATTCTGTATGCAGTTGAATTAACCTTGTACTAGTATTTTTTTCAAGAAAAAAAGTTAATTCTTATCGACGAATATAGTTTGGAAACCACTGCCTTGAGGCGTAAAAGGGCTCGTCGGTGTTCTTCTTCGATTCTGGTAATGCTGTTCGCTCAAAAATCATCGGAGCATAGCGTACGATTTCGCCTTCCGTATATAAGCTGATCATGATTCGCCCTGAAGGTTAGTTCGCTCTCAGTGTAGGGCAGCCTTGAATGTGTCACAGAATCGCAAGCTCGTTTGATTTTTAAAGTTGACCTTTTCCATCATCCGCTTCCTACTATCTGAGGTAAGGGTAAATTTATGTTCTGTTCATTTAATAGTTGAGTTATGTTATGAAACAACTTATCTTTTTTGCAGCCAATGTTAACTGTTAAACAGTTAGCCTAAGTTATAGTTATGTTTTGTACATTTCTTTTTTTCAGAATGCCGAAATTGGATTGATAACCCGAGTGGAAGACATGTTTTAGATATTATTTTATAAAGTTCTTATATATTCATCATGGTCTCAATACGTTTCCCATCAAATATTCCCTGATAAATATGAAAATCCTGTCTGCTCCAAACATAGTCTACAAAGACCAGAAGACAGAAAGACCAGGAGACCTAATTTTCAATTTTTATTTTTCTCCAGTTCTCAGATTTAACTGTAAAGGTATAACAGCAAAACAAGTCATAAACATGGAGACTTTAGTGAAATGTCCATTTCTGAAAAAAGTACCAACCACCTTTCTACAACGTGCTGGGAACTCTCTAGCCATTTATGCGGATAAATGTCCAGTCATGACTGAGTATATGGCTCGTTACTCTTCAGTGATGAGTGCAAGGTAAAGTCTGAGAGTTGAATTTGTATGCAGATACTCAGGTGTGGTAATATGTTTATATACTGATATATGCTTATTTTTTTTTTCAGAATGCATTCTACCTCATCAAATGATGGAAAAGATGCTGGAAAGCCCTACCTTGTCGAAGGTATATTTTTTCATATTACTATTATAATAATAAATTAGATACATAGACCTATTTAATCTGAATACTAATTGAGCTTTAGAACGTTTATTGAGACTTGAAACTTGTATAAAATAAATAAAGTTTTACGATTCTTCACTGATTACATTTTTTTCTGGATGACACATGAAATTTAGGTGTAGTAGGTATTGAGCTACATTGTATGAATCAAATCAAAAGCTGTCATCCATTATATCTACTGTCTCAATTTCTAAAATACCATTTTTTAACATTGGCGACTTTAAATTTTGTTTAAATTCATTTTGAGCAATTTCACCCTCAAAAGAGGTGTTTTATTTGATCATATGTATTGATTTATTGTGTTATTATTGAAGCTCATGGCAGTGATAAATTGGTAACTCAATGCCCATTTTTGGGATCAACTGGAAATCAAGGATTGGCAAAACAAGCAAGTGTACGAATGCAGGTATGTTAAAGTATTATAATAGCACAATTTGTTTTGTGAAATTAAATATTGGACGCTTGATGTACAGCATCTGTAACAATTTTTTAGACTTCTGGTCTGGTGTGATTTGTTTATAACGAATATTAAGACTATTGTTACTTTTGTACTTGGAATAATAGTCAGTAGTGGGAAGGCAGCATTCATCTCGACTTATATTGTCTTTTGTCTGTAGGAAGATATTCCTGCTTCGTCTGTTTGTCGTGGACAACTGAAGGTTGATCTATTGGATGCAGTTGAAAAAGAGAAGATAGAGTATAATGATGTAATGGAAGGTGGGTGTCAGATTTATTGGAAAATAGATTGGGTATCATGATATAATTTTTTATAAAATAAGGCTTCAAAATCTTATACTCTTATAATACAATATGTTTCTTGATCTACGCTTTCACTGATTTTTAAATATTTTTATTGTTCGCATGATTTTCTGTGCTGTATTTGAACTAATTTCTACCTTGTCTTAAATTTAAGTTTCATTTTTCTTAAGTTCAAATTTTTTTCCATTTTTGTTATTGATATAATGAGGATTACTTGTTTGGATTTTGTAATAATATTTGTTTTTGTTTCAGTAAGAGAGGATGGGCCTCAGGATCTGCCCAATCAAGTTCTTGGTGCCATCCAAGATGCTGCTGTTGCTGTGCCACCAGCTGATGCCATGCCACGGGAAACTGTCAATCCTGTGTCCGATGGCCCGAGTTTCAATTATGATCTGTTTATGGAGAAAAAAATTCAAGAGAAAAAGGAGGATCATTCATACCGGGTGTTTAAAAAGGTATTATTTTCCCGATTATAATTCCTATTTTTGCTTCCCAAACAAGTTCCAAAAAATCCGAATTTAATTTACATAAAATACAGAATTCTGCAATCTAATTTTTTCAATTTTACAGGTGAACAGGCGTGCTGATACATTTCCGTATGCTGAGGATTATAGCGGTAGTTCACAGGCAATGTTCGGTGAAACTGGTGATGGAGAAGAACCTCGGCGCATCTCTGTTTGGTGTAGCAATGACTACTTGGGAATGAGTCGTCATCCTCAAGTTAAAGCAGCTATTGGGTAAGCAGTATTAACTGGATTTCCAGTAACATTTTTGTGCAATTATTTATAAATGGAAATTTTTCATGATAAAATAATGATTTCCATGTATATCTGACTGTGTGTAAATATACCTGTTATGATATCGGATTTTGATTGCTACTTGTGAAATTCTCTGGGATGGCACAAATATGCTGCTGAAATATTTACCGTAACTCGTTTTTGGATTGGAGTGGTCCTGGTCAATTGAACATTAAATTCACACATTAATAGTTTTGTGCGAGTTGTAAATTCCTAAACTGAACATAGGATTTAAATATAATTAACCTCTGTTGATCAGGAATTATATTTCACTTCCACTTCCGCACAAACAGCAAATCTAGTGAGTAATCAATTCATCAGTAGTTCTGATAACAAGCACTTTTGTTACTATTTACTTTAACTTAGTGTTACCAGATTTAATTTGGTAATACAGTTTCTGATTCCTAAATAAAAAGTTAATTCTGAACATATTGCTCTTGTTCATTTGTATAAAATTATTAACAGTTCAGGTATTGAGAAACCTTATAATTTATTGATTTTCTTACTTGCTACCAAGATTACATTCTTAGTTTGCCATAATCCTTTTGATAATTTAGTTTTACGTATCAGTATGACCTGGCTTTATTGTGGTAGTACGCCCGCCGGCTATTTTTATCAAACAATCACATAGCTTTTGGTTTATATCTCCACAATATGCGGCATTACTTTCCGACATTCCAAACTTGCAATTCCTGTCGTGAGAAAGTAATCGATAATTTTACAAATCATCTCGGCAATTTTTCCATTCAAACAATAATGTAAAATGACGTAGATGCGTTTATATAATTTCGTTAATTTGCTAAAGGAGTGAGGCAAGCTTCTTGTTAATATAATTGTTTTTATCAGTAAGTGTTTCCTAACTTGACTTTAAGAGTCTATATAGCGATAAAGAAAACATCTTTTACTTTTTTTTTATGCGGTTCCGCGCACATCGATTGAGTTTAGAATCGTTTTGCTTATTTATGTTGTGTGATTCCTATTTTGAGTGAATTTTTATAAAGGTCTATTCCGACACACTGAATTGTACTCCGTGAACAACAATGGCGTTTGCAAATTACATGCATTACGTCAGGAAGATCAATAGATTTTGACGTTGTGTTCCACTGTGTTATCGCCCTAAAAAAAGACAACTCTTTAACAATTTAACAAGTTTATTTTTAAATATTATTGTTGTTGTTATTGTTACACTTATAATATAGATATTGCGAAGTTGTGATCCGTTGACTGCCAACGATTTATTCACTGTTATTTGTCTTTTGGTATAACCCAATTCGTTTATTTTCAGAGAAACGCTTCGCAAGTATGGTGCAGGAGCAGGTGGAACCCGCAACATTGCTGGTACTTCATCTCTGCACGGAACGTTGGAACGAGAGCTAGCGGATTTACACAACAAACAATCCGCACTCTTATTTTCGTCATGCTTTGTCGCAAATGATTCGACTCTTTTCACCTTGGCCAAAATGATACCTGGTAAGTGCGAGTTCACACAGGGATGGCCATTTCCGAATACTAAACTATTCCGAATACATTCTAAAATAATGTTTTCGAATCTGGAATTTCGAATACATTCTAAAATCGAAAATAACACATTTTTGTTTTAGTTTATTAAAACACAGTAAAATAGGAAATATTTCGATAGAAATATCAGAATAATGCCACAAACCAACAGTATATGCACACGAAGTAATTGATAGTTTATAGCTATCAATAAAAATAATAGCAACTTGTGACACAGTCAGTTTATTAAAATTGTACACTTAGTACAAATGACCATATGAAAAGATAGCCAAGGAGTTGTCTGATTCATTGGCAATACAGGCGACTGAAGCAAGCAACAACGATTGAATATCCATCCATTATGCCTAGAGTATTCTACTACCTACCAGTATATTTGTATATTAATTTATGTGAACCATATTGTTATTATGTGTAGCATATTGTTATATCTGAAATTAGCGATAAGTTAGAGGATAGATGACCACCACTGCCAGGCGCGCAGTCAGGATTTTCAAAATTGGAAATTCTCATTGCCGTCTATAACTTTTTTTTTTTTTATTATTATTAGTTTCCGAATTGCCGTCTATAACAGCCGACGCGATTCCGCGCTCGTTCCGTCTTTTCAGCGTATAATGATCATCTTGTCACGCAAAATATTCAATCCATGACAACTACGAGATTCTAGAATATCTTTATATATTAATTTTACGAGTCCAACGTAACTCGCGGTTGCTTCTTCAATCTTCATACGTCAAAATAAAAACCATTACTATTCGGTCCACGGCGATCTGTGGTCTAAAAGTACGAGATGAACTGCCTGATGTATTTAATTTTAATACGTATTTTTGCAATCTTGCCAACTCGTTATCGCCGTTAGAAAAATCTCAATAACTGATATAAAATTCAGTAGAGTACAACTTCATTTCATACAATGAATATACACAGATAAAGTCAAGCAGTAAATTAAAAATACTTATTCATCGCCGCGATTACTGCAACTGTTAAAATAGCCGACTTTTACAACGAATAATATAACAACGAATATATATTTTTCTGTTGTGCAAAGTGATGGATTCGTGACCGATATGAGCATATTTAAAATGTCGCGTTTTATTAATTTAATTGTTTTCAATTTAACCTGCGGTTGCGTCGACAAAATAAAATTCTCACCACTCTAATATACCATGTAGCATTCGCGGACATAAAAATAAAATTGTCGCACCCTGCCGGATTAAAATTGTTTTGATCCGTATTTTGCGGATTCGGCAAATTTGAGATGTGTAACACTGACTCCGCTCAATCGGAATGCCGCCACTCCGATTATTTTTAAGATAAAGCCGTTCGAAAAAACCATAAATCTGCCGTACAATCCAGAGTAAAATTTATTTCAGCACAATAAAAAAGGATTGAATATACTTTAGATTAATTATATTATATACATTCTTACAACCCGGGAAAAAGTCGCGTTTCAAACCTTGTATAATGTCACCACGAAAATTTTCGACTGCAATTTAATTAACGTAATGGATAATCAGGCAAATCCCGCCCTCAATTAGTGACGATATGTTTCTAAAAGCGGACCAAACATAATAAGTGCCAGAGTGTCGAAATTTTGCGATTTTCACTGCCGTATTTTAAACTGTCGCGAGCTTCAATGAAAACTATTTTGTTTACGGTTTTATTTTCAGTATTTTAAATTGCCGCTTTTCAATCAAAAAATTTTCTTCTTCAGAAACTCGCCGCAGGTGAATGTATTCACCGGTTCACAATTCCGTGCGAGTACAAATAAAAAATAATTGTCATCGTTATCGTGGAACAAATTTGTGGAAAATTTGCGTTTTAGAGAAAAAAAACACGTAAAGGCGTTCACGGCCTAAATAAAACGTCCCGCAGATGAAAGCAATCGCGCGCAAGTTTTTATCGAGAATGTTTTCATTCAACGGAAAAGTCTTGAAAGCGACGTCGGAAATGTGTGACGTCACACAAATATCCGATATTCTTATGAACGCTAATTCCGATATTCGAATGACGAGATATTCGAATACTTTATTCGAATTGGCCATCCCTGAGTTCACATATTGTTAAATTCGTATCATGGGCTTGGCGTATGAAATTTTAACTTTCTTCACTTATCGGCTATATTTTGAAAATTGTTTTTATTCGGATGTTGTTTTACTCGGATGTGAACTGTTCGGCCTCGATTCTCGACGGATTGAATTGATCGATCATCGTTCATCGAGTGCGTCATTTTCAATATGACGGTCATTTATTATCCAACAACATTCAGTGTTTAAATATACGTCCACTGTATAAAAACTCGACATTTTTTACATGCTAGCTTTAAACCAGTTTTTATTCGCTGAAAGTTGAGGTTTTTTGACGCGACTGAATGAGCCACCCATATATATGTCAACTACCAATTCTGATGCCTGAATTCGCGTGAGAAGCTTCGGAATGCATGTCGGCATCAAGTTGCATTATTGTTGTCACGCTCGTACGATTGTTTAGGTTTGGAAAATTACCTATTTTAAAATTCGATCTAGGGTAAAGGTAAAGTCATTTATAGCAGTATCTGAAAGAATGATATTGATTTGCTTATATAAGCGACTGCCCACCGCTTAGATCTTGCGAAGATATTTAGAAAATTTATTGATTTACTTATGCTTTGTATGTAAACCGCATCCAAAATAGCTTCATAAATATCGTCCATTACTAATATAATCACTGATAGGTGATAAATTATACGATAATTGTTGGTTACTGTCAGATAGTACCTAATTGTTAGTTTTTGCCTGGGGCATGTCCAAATTCAAAAATATTATTTTCTAGAATTGTGCTTCGTCATTGATTATGGTTTCGAATAACGGGGCTTGTTTTACAACGAAATCATATTACACGTCGAAATTTGCCTAGAAAAATATATTTTTGAATTATATGAACTTTTAACACGTTCATTAATAGCATTTGTTTAGAGTTTCGTCGTAACTTGATCATACTTTGATCATCATTTGATCATACTTACCGGTACCCACATTTTGCTATTTTATATCTCTTGTTGTTCCACATAACACCTTTCTGCTAATCTATTCATATATTTGATAATCATAATGTGCATTCTACAGGATTAGATTAGTAATACCAACGGTGACGCAAACGTTTTAGATAATAGATTATATTAAACTGTATTTCTGATAACTGCATTCGTCATGCTATCGTGCAAATCTCGTCACGCTTATTTGAAATGTGTATCATCGCGTGGATGTTAAGTTGAGTATGAATATTGTTCATGCACGCCTCATATTACTTAACAGTCCGTTCATTTATCATAACGCACTAAACAACCGAGTAGTATGCTTCGTTAATTGATAGACATTTTGTCCCTCCTCAGTCGATATTAGTGTGTTACTAAATGTAGATTTTCACCTTTGTTCTCAAAATATTGACTTTTACACGTTAAATTATGACTTCAGTGCTTATTATATTATCACGAGGCTGTATGTTTATTAAGACAAGTGGTTTATTATTCTATTTCCGTATTATTACCGCTTTATTTAAAAAAATTCCACGTAAGTCACTTATGACCGTGTTTTAGTACGTTATCCTCCATTGAATACCAAAAGAATTTAAATATTTGCCAAAACTACCCTTTTAAATTTAGAGTAAATCTTACTTTATCCGTAAGCCAACGTAAATATGCACCGTCACGCTGATATTTCTCGTAATGCAAACATGAACACGCTCTACCGATTTGAATAGACTACAGTTTCGACAGAAGGCAATGGGCACAGGCAATGATTTTTAGGTCAAGAGTGCCTAGTTGTATGCGACCAGTTGCCGGCCGTAGATATGATTGCACTGTTGTATGTTCTACCCCAAATTTAGGTATTTTTTAAATGACCCACAGGGTCTTTATAATAGATTGAAATTATTAACTGGTTACTATTTATATCCTTTTTAGTGAAGTTATGGTTTTAAAGTTACTTAAACATTTCGTGAAGTAGAATTAAAATCGTAAGCTCGGTTTCGAGATCGAATGTCTTGAAGCGTGATATTTTACTCCGCTACGTTTTGCGAGCAACTTTTCGCACCCTTTTTCAAGTAGTAATGATTTCCCCGGTTAACAAGCCCGATATTTGACACCTGATGCGATGAGAATTATATTGACATCACCACCTGGCGCCTGTTTGCTTATTTATATTTTACGCAGGGATGACTTTGCCGATACAAATAACAAATAAATGGCACTTTGGGTAACCGAAAGAAGTACACAATTATGTTTACTGGTAACAGGACCCTTTCAATGCCCCCGTGTTTTTGTAAATTGGTTGAAAATGACACCTGTGTTCTTAGTAAGCGATCGTCCGAATAAATTCTTGCCATCTTTTGTCTAAATTTAAGAAAATCAGCAACCTCGTTAAAATGCTCAATACGCTTGGAATACCCCCAATGTAATATACTCCAATGTAATAGTTTACTATACTAGGTATCTATTGCTGACAATAATAATATATGGTGTTTTGTTTTTATCTTTTGAAATGTGTAGTCAAATCTAGTTTTTTTTCAGTTTTGCGTTATTTTCAAGTTTTAGAAGTCCAACGAATTTCGTCAATTCGGTTACTTGTGACTCAGATGACAAATAAATTGGGTAAATACGACATAATGGGTGGTGTTTACCGGGTACTGCGTTGTGGATTCATCGCGAGGACAAAGCCTGAAGATACGGTTTCATGACTTGCAGAAAGATTTGAAGTGTTTACCATTTGATCGATCATTTTTGTCATTCATTTTATACTAAGTGTCGATTGATTACGTCATCTCTGGTGGCACCCTTTCCTCACACATGGTATCCGTCGGTTTTGTCTGATTCTCTGCCTTTTTCGACAATTCTTTTTAGAATTTTCGCTCGGGTTTTTTGTCTTTTGTTTACTTGTACGGAACCTCGTGATAGTTGTAAAAGCCGTTTTTTTCCGATTGCGCTACGGTTTCGTACAATATTTAATATACCTGGTTTTGTTAAACGCTTACATAAATTACAACGCAATATTGAACATGAATCACAATACGTTCGTTTATTTTGCCTCGGGGCTCGTTCTTATAAAAGTTATGCAATTCGAAAAAATGAAAACTTGCCCTGTGAGTAAAATTACCGTAAGTACCGGTTGATATATAAAACGGAGCCGAAGCGGAGAATTCTTTTTTTCAAAAAACGAGTTATTTAGGATGAAAATGCGTTGTTAGTTGCATTTAATTTGTTTCTATAACAAGTTATATGTCGAATATTTTTGCTCAATTTCAAATCTCAAAATGTTTTATATAGTTTGTTTTGCGTTCGTGCATCCTAACCGCAAATAAGGAATCCTTCCTGTGTACAATGATCGGCACTGTTTATTGTGAACTTTCGCAATGCGAGTACATAGTCATTGGGGTCAAATAAAATATTGTATTTTGAACGACCCTTTCTCTATACGCAGAGAACATACAACTTATTTGTTAACATATGAATCAGGGTCATGGTCCGATTCGCCGGAACCAGTGGCGTGAAGTGTTTATACTGCTTACGATTAGTCTTCTGATTTTGGTTAACTTTACTGGACGACAGTGTACACAGCACATAATAGCGGTATTTATCCAGTTCTGAAATTATAGAAATAATTTTTTTTCGAGCTAATCCCTTTTTTTCCCCAAAGGTTGCGAGTTTTATTCTGACGCTGGGAACCATGCATCGATGATTCAAGGGATACGTAACAGTGGAGCACCGAAATACATCTTTAGGCATAATGATCCTGAACACTTGGAGGAGCTATTGAGCAAGGCGGATCCGGCCACACCAAAAATTGTTGCTTTTGAGACCGTACATTCCATGGATGGTAAGTTTCATCATATATTAGGCAAATGACATTTCGTTGCGAGTTGTAATTGGGATAATCGTAGGGACAACCAGTTAGCTTTTTCAATAATACTAATGAAACTGTCCCTTGTCTTTCAGGCGCTGTTTGTCCTTTGAAGAAATTGTGCGACGTGGCGCATAAGTATGGGGCTATTACTTTTGTGGATGAAGTTCATGCAGTAGGATTGTACGGAGAGAGAGGTGGTGGCATCGGCGATCGAGACGGCCTCATGGATCAGATTGACATTGTTACGGGAACACTTGGTAAGTTAGGTCCATCTATGTTTTGTGGTCATGAATCCGTTCAGGGTTATTGATAATGTGCATTTAGGAATATTTTGATGTATTTTCTCTGCAGTTGAGCTTTCGTATTGTATACCTTGATATGATACTATGTGACTCGTATCCTTTTGCAAAGTGTCCTAGATTTCTGAAACTTTTGGGTACAATCATGCACAAGCAGAAATTAGAGTTGAATAAATTTTCTTCATTTTCGTTGGAGTAATTGATAATTATATGGGAAGGTTGTCCGCGCAGAGTGACTTCACGCCTCCGTCTTTCTGGTAGTACAAACGCTTCTCCGTCTGGTGGGAATGTGCAGCCTGCAGAGCAATTGCACGCCTCTGTTTCTATCCCACGAGGCAGCTCAAAGGTATTCTATTCTCAGTAATATTTTATTGTGTTATTTTTTTTTTCAGGGAAGGCTTTTGGAAATGTTGGCGGTTATATTGCCAGCACAAGTGCTCTGGTTGATATGGTACGAAGTTATGCTGCTGGGTTCATCTTCACTACCGCCCTACCTCCTATGAATCTTGCCGGTGCAATCACCGCCGTGAGATTACTAAAATCTGATGTTGGCGTTCGTCTACGCTCAAGGCACCAACGAAATGTCGCTCTCATGCGTAGGATGCTGATTGCTGAGGGACTACCGATTGTTCATTGCCCGTCCCATATCATTCCTGTCAGAGTAAGTTAACTTAACTTATAATAGTAAATGAATAAACAATACTAGACTATATTAGCTGTAAATACAGTACATTGTAACATTATTTCCATCATTTTTAAGGTTAGTGATCCCGAGAAGAACACTCAACTGTGTGACATCTTGTTACAAAAGTATGACATCTACGTCCAAGCCATCAATTATCCGACGGTGCCACGCGGAGAAGAGATGTTGAGAGTTGCGGCTACCCCTGGTCACACGGTTTCTTTGATGCAGTGAGTAAAAACTCTGGTATTCCTCGTAGTATATCTTGAATACTTCCTAAATGCTAACTAACTGTGTCTCTGTAGGTATTTCGTGTCCAGTCTGGCCAAAGCTTGGCGTGAGGTCGGTCTGGGGGATCAACCAGCCCACCAGACGGAGACGTGTTTGTACTGCCAGAAGCCTGTCCAATTCGAGCTGCTTTCAGCGCGCACTCGCCCAAAGTTGATCACCGTACCACACGGATGTGGAACCCCCGTTCCCTCAATGGGACCCACCAAAGAGCCGCCAACTATTACGGCATGAGATTTCTGTTGGTGATTTCAGCTTTTTTTTCTAATTACTCGATCATTCTGATTATTTACTAATATAATGAAATAACAAATTTTACTTATAGCCATCGTAAAAACTTCGAAATCACACTCGCTTTTACTTAATGCATTCGCCTGGATCATTCTTCTCATACAGTATTGCAATGTCAGTTCGTTTTAAATCTCTATAAAAGTTTTAAGTCTGTTTTCGCTGAGAGTGTCGTTACTGCTACAAAAATATTTAAGGTTTGGATGTTGATATTATAATGTTATATTGATGGTACAAATGCAATAAAATGAACATTCGCTGATGTATTGATTGTTGTGATAACAAGGACAACGGGAAATAGCAATTACAGATGAGATTTGACTTTATTAAATACAGGTCTGTGAATTCTGGAAAACTTTACTCGACTCCCGACTGCGTATTGAAAAACGACCAGTGATTGAATATGTGTAGATTTGCATGAACGCTATATTCAAGTTTTCATTGAGGATTGCCTTTGCAGTGCGGATAATGCCGGTCGGGAGTACCTGCTCGCGTTTATGGTAATCAGTTCAGTTATTTGGATTACGACATGGCAATTTACTTTGTTGTTATCGGATTGTATTGATCACTCTTCTCATCATCTTCACAGTCTTTGAGGTGATCATGAAAAACGTGGGAAGTATGGGTAGTGACTCAACCTTTTACGTTGTGTAAAGATTATACGCCGTTGGTCAATAATGTTCTCTCCGTAATCTTCTTATCGGCATGGCTCCGAGTGGAATTCGGCATTACAGGAAGCTTCAAATATCCTTTCTTCATGCGTTTCAAGAGATAAATTAACATTATTGCGTTGCAGATGACTCCAATACATATTCCTTAAATTAAAAGTAAATATCGATAATAATTCTTACTTCCTTCAATTGCCTCAAGACAAATTCAAAATTTGTTATTTAGAGATATATCGCGTCGTTACAAGGCTAATACTTTTATACTGTTCATCTTTTTTTTTCTGATACCTATGTGGTCCGATATTTCACCCTAAATTTGATTTCGCAACCACTACCTAACTGACGTCTTAACCGCCGATTATTTCGGCAAACTCGGTGGCCGCTGCCCAGCTGAGATACAATTGATACCACGATCTTCGTGTCTATATATTTTGGCATCGGCTCTTCTTATGTCCTGAACTAAATTTTACTTTCGGATTCAGAATTTTTAATTCATACCTTCCCATATAGAAATATTCACTCGGAACATTTTGCTGTTATAATCTTCACAATTCATTGGACGTTCTTCTCTCAGTAGCTGTCTAACTGCATCAAATGATCCATTATTGGGTGCGGGTATAATCTGGTAATAAACGTATGTACAGTTATCACGTCTTCTAAACAGCTATTAAATGGAAATGTTGGCTTTACAATTTATTTATACAATGAAATGGTTGAATCCATTTTAAATAGATGATGTTTGTGACAGTAATATTTGGGTTTAGATTATTTAAATGTTTTTGAGGGACAGACGGATGACTGATCAAACAGCAGTGTGTGACTTAAATCAGTATTTGCTTGGAGTTTAACGAATTAATACAAGAAACGAGAATATCGGTCAGGACCGAAGACTTATCATCGAAAGTTAGGGGATCCCCCAAAACAGCGCTCTTACTCCATAGTGACACCTTGTGTCCCATCACTAATTAATTATTAACTCGCTAATTATACGAAATAATTCATCCAAAATCAATAGATTCTGGTCCGACATATGAAGAATGTACATGCAAAATCTGGAGCAGATTCAATCTCGCTTTCGTGAGATATCGCGTGCATCTAACAGACAGACAGACAAATACCTATCAACATACTTACCGAATAAAATCGATAAGTAATAACTCACTTCCAAAATGTAACACATTAAGGGATATATATCGATGAGTTGAAAAGGTTCAGACAAAAATCTCCTTTTAAAGGACGGGCCCGTCGCAAGGAAGAAAGCATGCATATTCATCAACGAATTATTGTATCCATGTACTCCCACTGCCAATAAAACATTTTGGTAATTGCAAATTGGATAAAAAATATATATATTCATATTCATACATTTCAAATAGGATTATTGATTATCCTACGAAATAGAGCAATGAAAACATAATAGTGTCGACCATGCATGTCACCTAGGCCTACAAAGTAACTGATGGTGAAGGCCACGTCGAACATTAAACAACCGCACTTTCAAAAAACTAAACGAGAATATCGGTCGGAGGCCGAAGACTTATCGATCGAAACTGCGGTTTCGATTCATGACTCTATAGTGACACCGCGTGTTCCATCATAATTAATTAATGACTTGCTAATTATACGACATAATTCATCCAAAATCAATAGGCTTCTGGTCCGAGATATGATGAATGCACATGCAACATTTGGAGCAGGTTCAACCTCGCTTTCGTGAGATATCGCGTGCATCTAACAGACAGACAGACAAATACCTCTCAACATACTTACCGATCAAGATCGATAAGTAATAATCCAACCCTAAGATAAGTTCTCACAACAAAATGATATCGTATTTTTCCTATTACTTACCTCGATTACGTTCGTATCGCGGATCATTCCAGTTCTCTCTGATTCCCCAGCCTTCATTGGCTTGCATGAAAATTGGAGAAATCCGTCTGTTATTAGAATAATGATACTCGGGTGGGATGTCCTTTTTGAGCCATACTTTATAATGAACTGGATCGATAGTTGAAAGATTCTTGAACACTTCGTCAGTAATATCTAAAGTAATAATTTTTAAGTACAACCAGGGTTGCAACGAGGAAATAAACGTTCTAGTCCAGTCGGTGTTTAATCTCCCTTGAAATTAATCTACTTAGCTCAAATCAATCTAAATTTGGGGATATCTGTTTCAGAATAGTTTGATATTTGCGAATTATGAGATTGAGTTGGACGGTTCTCAAGTCGTCGGATATTGATCAAGCGAATGTTGTAAAACTATTAGTCATCGACTCATCGTTGTTTTCTTTGAGCATAACGTGCTTTGTGCAAAGCGTGCTTTTTTATGTTCTTGTGATGTCGTACTGCTTTGGATTCGACTGTATAACTGTAATAAAAGATTAAAGATATATCTGTATTTGGATTCAATTCGATTATGCAACTTTACAATATATATACGAAAATTTGGCATTACAAGACATTGTGTGCTTATTGACTTCTGACTAGTTCAGAGTGCTGTTACACTCTATTAAACGTGTGTCAACCTAATAACACGTGAATGCAAACGTTCCGATAGGGCTTTAGATCCCCTATATATACTAGTGTAATTTTTCGAAAGAAAATTGAAATAAGACACTGTCTTCTTTTCGGGGAAACACGGTACTGACTTTCCTAAAGGTAAATCAATGTGAAGTCACGAGGACAACGCAAGCATGAGCGGGTGGACAGTTGGAACAGAGCCGGTACAAAATTGGTATATATAAGAATATATATATAAGAAGAATGGCATACCCTACCGTTATAGCACTAACTTTTTTCAGAATTAGGCCATATACTCGCCGATGCAATGTTGTTCATTATGTGCTTTATTTGCCCCATATCAACATGATCATCTAATGTTATAAATTTTTTTGTATTCATCTCAGACATCCCATGATCACTTGTTATGATGATATTGATTCCGTCAATGCCATATTTACCAAGCTGGCCTAGAATATAACCTAGAAAACATAGGACAATCTTATTATCATTTTATATCAAGGCAGCTTAATTAATCAGTAATATATTACTCGAATTACCTGTTATCGCATCACATAGCTGTACTTTCTGAGCAATTTCAGGCGCGTTAGGCCCATAATGATGCCCACTTACATCAGGCTCCGCAAAGTATAACATTGCTAGATTTACATCATTCTCCAGATCAGATAACCACTCAATAACGGTATCAGTTCTATGTTTCCACACATCCATTGAAGTGTTCGTAGTATCGACAAAATTTACGCAATGTGTAGGTTTTATCCCTGTGATATTAGCGCCACAACCTGGCCAGTAGTACACTCCAGAGTTACCTCCTTGTATTTCGTTCGTGACCCAAACTGGTTCGCCTCTCCAAAATCTGGAATCGTTCAAAGATCTTGGTGAAGACATGTTGAAGATTTCGTCAAACACAGGGTCATAAAACACGTTACCGACAATACCATGACTTTCAACGTGTAGTCCTGTTGCAATTGTGTAATGATTCGGAAAAGTTACAGTGAGAAAAGAGTCTTTCACCCACTTTGCTCGTACACCATTGTTTGCTATCCAATCGAAATTTGGAGTGTCGGTTTTATCAAGATAGTCCCAACGAAAGCCATCAAAAGAGATTACAAGGAGTTTCGGCGTAGACTTAGCTTGCGACCGACGCAATGTCATTGAAATCAAAATTGCAACCATAACCTTGCACTTCTCCGTGGTATTTATTACGAATTCTGCAAGAACGTAAACCATAAAAATATTACACTGCTTATGACTGATAAGTCACGCGTCGGTTTATACCGTTCGGTACTGTCACGCAATCAACTGTTATATATTCGTACCGTGGAGTGAATGAAATAAATTATCCATAAGTTCGACGCAGTACCGTCTCATGTATTGCACTAAGTTTCATCTCTCACAAACGCTACCACCACAAAATTAAGCTTAATAAACTTGACTGATCGAAAAAAATTATTGATTAGATTGTCGAATGATCAGCCTCTCGAGTTGCAAATTTAGCGTTACATACAGATTAATTGAAAAAGCGACAGACAGTCTACCTGCTGCAGTATATATGTTATACAAAGCTGAAATCACAAACATCTCATGCTGTATAGAAGAGTGTACTGTAGACTCTTACCATATTTAATTTATGTTTTCTAAATTGGATTCATTTATTAGCTAGTCATGATGATATATTCTAATTATAATTTTTTTTTTTATGTTTGTTACTTATCGATTTTAATTGGTAAGTATGTTGATAGGTATTTGTCTGTCTGTCTGTTAGATGCACGCGATATCTCACGAAAGCGAGATTGAATCTGCTCCAGATTTTGCATGTGCATTTATCATATGTCGTACCAGAAGCCTATTTGGATGAATTATGTCGTATAATTAGCGAGTTATTAATTAATTAGTGATGGGACACAAGTTGTCACTATGGAGTAAGAGCGCTGTTTTGGGGGATCCCCTAACTTTCGATCGATAAGTCTCCGGTCTCTGACCGATATTCTCGTTTTTATATTTATTTAATTGCGTCGTTACAATATTTCATGCACGACGAAATAAATATTTAAATCTGAATGAAACAGGAGATAATGCTCCAATCGTGGAGATACAAAGGGTAACCTATGGTCGCGAAATTTCAGCCAAAAGAATTGTATCCTACCTGATGTTACGTGAAATTGTGTACCAGATGTCCTATAAAAAGCGTGCCGTGATACAAAAATAAATTTGAAATTTCTAGTACAATGAAAACTTCATTTCAAAAATTACAAATCACACAATATAGGAACTATAAGCACAAACAACGCACAAAATGGAGCCTTCTGGAATAGGGCAAAAACCTCGACTGAGGTTGGGCAGGAAAAATTTAAGCCGTGCACCAATAGCAAAGAAAAAAAGTATATAAAAGACAATTTTTATTCAAAAGTGGGGATACATAAATAAACTATTCTTTTCGTATTAGGGCCTGGGATTGCAGCAAACGCTATATTGCGATGATGGATTAAACAAATACCGTCTTGATTTGGAAGCGCAGTCTGTCACACCCTCCAACACATTAGTGTGCAACCAAAAACAAACAATGCGAAAAATATTGGCGAGTGGTCCTGTATTTTTTCTTCAGAAAGAAGTCCATGTGTTTGTGTAAAAAATTTATTAATATACTGGCGATTTTCACAACAATAACAATAATTTAGTAAAATGATTTATATGTACACTTGGTGCAGATTCTGTTGATTGTAGAACAAAGGTGTTGTAAGACTAAGGAAGTGACGGCCGGACCATCGAGCTTGTAGGCTTTGATCGATGTGGATTAGGATTTATTATGTTGTGGTAATATTTCGTTTGCTCTGTTTATACATGAGCTAAAATATCTGTCGGTTCGAGCCGGATCTAGACGGCTCTTTATTTCGCCCACTTGTTCTCTATTTGAAAAAGTTATCAGCTAATAGAAATTTTCCACCATTGAATGATGCTGAAAAGTTGACCACCTTCAATGTAATGGTAGCAGAATTGAGGTTTTCTGTCTGTTTTTCACAAGTGGCCTTTTAGTTTTTTGTCGCTTCCCTATCAGATATTCTTTTGTGAACAGAGTTCAAGAACGAAGCAAGCATCCGTCAACGACGATTGTTATTAATCACGCAACCTTCCACGTTGTGTAATAGATTACACGCGGTTGGCCCATAATGTTCTCTCCGTAATCTTCTTATCGACATGGATACGATTGGAATTCGGCATTACAGGAAGCTTTAAATACCCTTTCTTCATGCGTTTCAAAAGATAAATTAACATTGTTGCGTTGCAGATGACTCCAATACATATTCCTTAAATTAAAAGTAAACATTGATAATATTGCTTACCCCCTTCAATTGCTTCAAAAAACAAGACAAACCCATCGCGTCGTCATAATTCAGGGGTCACCAAACTTTTTTCACCGTGGGCCAGGTATGACTCAAACTGTGTTGAAACGGGCCGGACAAATATTTTTGTCAATGCAATTCAATAAATTCACAATTCACATAAATTGGGAATTCCATTCAATTTTTTTCAGAAATATAGCGTAAATTCTACATTTCTAAAGACTTGAATATTGAACTCTATCTATATCGCAGAATATAGATCGAGAACATCATAGCAAAACAAATATACAAGATTTCTAGATCTATACAGCGATCCTGAGTAAAACATTGCTGTCAAGAATATCCGCATTTAGCATCACTAAACTTGTGAAATTGGAGCAGTACGCGAGGGATTACAGTACTTTTAGCGCAAAATGCACGTGTACGCAAAACATGCGTAGTTTGATGAACCCTGTCATAATTCATTTTTTTGTGATCTGTGTGGTCCGATATCTCACTCTAAATTTAATACTTAAATTAAACTTAACACTTAAACTACCTGTCGGAGGGCTTGTCCGCTGATTCTTTCGGCAAACCTGGTGGCCGCTGCCCAGCAAAGGTACAATTTATACCTCGATCTTTGTGTCTATATATTTTGGCATATTTGACTAAAATTCTTATATCCTGATTCAAATTTTACTTTCGGATTCAGAATTTTTAATCCATACCTTCCCATATAGAAATATTCACTCGGAACATCTTGCTGTTATAATCTTCATAATTCATTGGACGTTCATCTCTCAGTAGTTGTCTAACTGCATCAAATGATCCATTATTGGGTGCTGGTTTAATCTGGTAATAAACGTATACACAATTATCACGTCTTCTAAATAGCTATCAACTGAAAATGTTGGCTTGGCAATTTATTTATCCAATGAAATACTTGAATACAATCCATTTCAAATAGACGATGTTTGTGACAGTAGTATTCGAGTTTACAATATTTAAATGTCTGCGAGGACAGACGGATGACCGATCAAACATCTGTGTGTGACTGAAATCAGTTATTGTTGAGAGTTAACGAATTAATACAAAAAATAACCCACTTCTAAAATGTAACACATTAAAGAATATATATCGATGAGTTCAAAAGGTTCAGACAAAAATCCCTCTTTGAAGGACGGGCCCGTCGCAAGGAAGAAAACATGCATATTCATCAACGAATTATTGTATCCATGTCGTCCCACTGTCAATAAAACATTTTGATAATTCCGAATTATATAAAAAAAATTATAGATATAGCCTCATATGCCTATTCAAATTTTAAAATTGCCAATAGGATATTGTTAATTATCTCACGAAATTGAGAAATAAACACATAATAGTGTCGACCATGCTCGTCACTTGGCCTCAGGGTGTAATTGATTGGAAAGGCCACATCGAGCCGTAAACAAATGTACTTTTAAAAAACTAAAATAATTAAACCCTAAGATGAGTTCTCACATCCTAAGACTATCGCAATTCTCCTATTACCTACTTTTGTATCGTGGATCATTCCAGTTTTCTCTGATACCCCAACCTTCATTGGCTTGCATGAAAATTGAAGAGATCCGTCTGTTATTTGAATAATGATACTCGGGTGGAATGTCCTTTTTTAGCCATACTTTATAATGGACTGGATCGATAGCTGAAAGATTCTTGAACAATTCTTCAGTGATATCTAAAAATGTTTTAAATACAATCGGGGTTGCAACAGGGAAATGAACTTTCCACTCCAGCCGATGTATAATCTCGCTTGAAAATAATCTACTTGGCCCAAACCTACCAAACTTTGGGGATATCTGTTTCGAAAGAGTCATTTGATATTTGCGAATTGAAAGATCGAGTTAAACGGTTTTCGAGTCATCGGGTCTGAAATCATATTAATCGACCAAGCGACTGTAGCAAAACCATCAGCCATCACCTATTACAAGGCTGCCCAACCCCCGGCCCGCCGAACGTTTTTTTTGCGGCCCGCCCTATAAAGTTTGTAAGCGAACGTTTTACAATTTTTACTATGTATTTTTACATACATTTTACTATACATTGGTATCTTTCGTGATTTTCGTGTAATTATTCCTGCCATCTATCTACGTTCAAATGCCGGTTCTTGATATTACGTATGTGTCAAGTCTTGCACCCTGGTGGATATCAAGTCAGCTTTTTTTATTTCTCACAAAACTGTGCGTTCTGTTCGATGAACTCGAAAGATATTGTGCGATCATTGGGGACGAACGCTGAGCGCAATTATAGGAATGAACTTGGAGCCTAAGTTAGCAAATTAATTTCCTTCTGATTGCTTTCTCTCGTGTCGGCTTTGATTGTCTTTATCGCCAACCTAAAATAAAAAGTCAACAATATCTTGGGTACTGGTCCCCGGACTCTTTGTCTTTTTATATTTGTACTTTTGTTCATGTTATGTTCGCGTTAAATGAGATTTTGGAAATGTCGTCACCACGTCACTACAGTATCGATAATTCTGATGAAATTGACGAATGGCATTGCTACTTATTAGTCACAAATCAGTATATATCGGACTATTCATTCAGAAATCTTCGTTATGTTACTTCATTAAATACTTGTATTGATGTTTCAAATTTTACGAAACGGCCCACTAAAACTTGATATTGCTGCAACATTGGCGCACATTATGCTCATTGAAACATTAAAGCAGTATCGTGGCTACTGAAAATTAATAAATAAAAACACTTTAACGCAAATATATCACTCAATTTTGACGTGATTTGTGTGTTTTTTGCGTGGTTGTCAAAAAGTGTGTTGTGTAATGATTGATTCTTTGATTCAGTCGCCATCGAGTGTTATGTCCACGACCCGTTTACCAGATATTCGAATAGTAAACTGCTATTCTAATATTCGACTCGATATTCGAATAATTTGCCAGCTCTACCCAGTAACTACAAAGCAATTTTATTAATTTGATTGATTTTATTTTAATAAACTTGCCTTTTATGTATTATATAATTACCTACATCGAAATCAGAACTTATCTGGTATTAATGTTTAGTACAAACGTTTGCGGCCCGTGACCGATTTCGTGACGTGAAAGTGGCCCGCGAGACGAAAAAGGTTGGGCAGGCCTGACCTATTACTTGAGTCGAGTTGTTTCAAACAACCAATTCAAACAACCTGGCGTGTATTAATAATATATTATCTATTGGACTTGAGCTCTTGCTGCAGTTTTACTAGCATACTGTTTTTTAATAATTTTATTTTTCTCCTCTTTTGCGTGAATATTTAACCTTTTATTGAGAAAACGTTTCAAGATTTTAAAAGCGACATTGCGACAAGATGGGAAATCATATTTCAAGCAGCCCACTTCATCTGTCAGAAAAGTAACTAGTATTATTATTGGCGCGAAATATAGTTTCTACTTCGCACAAAAACACGATTGCTTTTTTGGTTGGTTGGCATAAATATTGGGTAAAACTATCAATTTTCAAATTTTTATCATGTGTGTAAGACCGAAAAAGAGTTAGTAACGATTGTGGGCATTCAGTGGGATTGACACTTTCTATAGAAACAAACCATCAATTTAAACCTCGTGTCTTTATAGGATTCCGTCGGAAACATCAAGGCTAATTTTTCACTGTTGGATATCATTAAAATCACAATTTTATAACGATGACGTGGAAGACATGATGGGGTCGCTTGATCACCTTGTAAATATTTTACATTTTCCTACGCAAAAGAATCAAAATATCCTGCCAAAATAAGAGCTGTAACACCAGTCGGTTTTTAAATCTGGTCTGGTCTTTAAATTTTGTACGTTATAATGTACAAACTGTACGCTTCGATGAAATTGATTAGGCCGCACAATGCGCTAGCCATGAGATCGTTTACATTCTATAATTTTTAAAACAACTGTTGCAACAGCTCGTTAAATCAAGAAAAATTTTCCCGAGAAAATTCGGGCGTTTCATCAGCTTCTGAAATGATTAATGTAAAACGCAGGCTTTAAACGTTCGGCATGGTGTGAACAGGTAGCACAATACCAGTTCAACTAATACCTGCTTCAATGAGGTTAATGACGTTTCACAATAAAACAGCTTATACAATTTTATTGGTGCACGATTAATTCAATCTAATGGTACCATTCGAAAGCTAGTTTTAACCTCTGCAAATTTGTCGATATCATATTCGGTTAAAACAAGAACAAATCGAAGTTTTTTTTATTTAATTCAAAAGCTTTTCGATAAAATATCACGCTTTTCAATTTTTGTACGATAGTCGCGACATTTTATCTACACCTCATAATTTCAATTAGTCTCCTAGCTAGATTGTCTCTCAAACAATATAAAACTTGTCTGAATATAATATAAGGTTCGTGAGATATGAGTTTTGCATAACTCACACGAGATAATAAAATAACTATCAAAACCGCACGATACCGGCGTCCGATATGCATCATTGCACTCTTTGTCTCCACTTGGGTTATAGTCACTTTGGTTTGAATAGAGTCGGTATAAAATTGGTAAATTTATAAGAAGAATGGCATATACCAGGGATGGGCAATTTTTTTAGTATAAGAGCCGCATTAGGCAAGTCGGAAATATGTGACAGCCGCACAATTAGCTCATTAAATCATTTTGCATTGTAACTGTTACATTGATAATATTTGGGCAACGCGAAACCGGCGCTTGGGCTATTGACTGCGACGACATCCGCGATAATTTTTTTCATAAAATACAGTCAGAGTATTGCCTGGTGTTTGCAACGATCAATATTCCATAATATAATAAAACTAGCTTCAGTTGATGCACCGGATTTCTTGCCAAATGATAGCACAAATTTCTGCTGTCTTTTTCACACAGCTGATTTACGAGGGTAGTCTCGTACGAGTTTTTGTGATTCGTTTCATGATGCCATTCAACATTGCCGGCTTTATTTTGAGCAGCTTATGAAAGATTAAGCAAAAAGGTTTATTTTCTTGACTAGTGAATGTGTATTCTTCTTCCCATTCTGACTTAACAACTCTGTTTTCATAGACGTGTTTGCTTCTTACTTGACATATCGCGAGTGAGACTGAGACTAACCGCAATAAATTTGTAATGCCGCCAACACAGCAGCATACATATGACCATTGTGACGTAAGATTTGTCGCTTGACTGATTTAAAATTCCACGCCACAGCGATTTTCATATTAAAACATAATTCGTGTTAATCATTGATGGAAATTTTTTCCACCGCTGAATCAATTCAAAAACGTACTGTTACACTACAGTTTCTCTAATTTCTCAATTCGGATAATATTAATGCTAGAGAGCTCCGAGAAGAGCCGCATAAAAACGCCTTTGCCACCGTTGGCATATACCCTACAATTATATTACTAACTTTTTTTAGAATCAGGCCATATACTCGCCGATGCAATGTCGTTCATTATGTGCTTTATTTTCTTCATATCAACATGATCATCTAATGTTATAAATTTTTTCCTATTCATCTCAGACATTCCATGATCACTTGTTATGATGATATTGATTTCATCAATGCCATACTTATCAAGCTGGCTTAGAATATAACCTAGAAAACGTATAAGGCAAGCTTATTATCAATTTATATTAAGACAGCTTATTTAGTAATATATTACTCGAGTTACCTGTTATCGCATCACATAGCTGTATTTTCTGAACAATTTCAGGCGCGTTAGGTCCATAACGATGCCCGCTTACATCAGGCTCCCCAAAATATAACATTGCTAGATTTACATCATTCTCCAGATCATCTAACCACCCAATAACAGTATCAGTTCTATGTTTCCACATATTCAATGAACTGTTTGTAATATCTACAATATTTACGCAATGTGTAGGTCTTATCCCTTTGATATTAGCGCCACAACCTGGCCAGTAGTACACTCCAGAGGTACCTCCTTGTAATTCGTTCGTGATCCAAACTGGTTCGCCTCCCCAAAATCTTGAATCGTTTAAAGATCTTGGTGAAGACATGTTGAAGATTTCGTCAAATACAGGGTCATAGAACACGTTACCGACAATACCGTGACTTTCCACGTGTAGTCCTGTTGCAATTGTGTAATGGTTCGGAAAAGTAACAGTGAGAAAAGAGTCTTTCACCCACTTTGCTCGTACACCATTGTTTGCTATTCGATCAAAATTTGGAGTGTCGGTTTTATCAAGATAGTCCCAACGAAAGCCGTCAAAAGAGATTACAAGAAGTTTTGGCGCAGACTTAGCATGCGACCAACACAATATCATTGAATGACTATAAATCAAAACTGCAACCATAACCTTGCACTTCTCCATGGTATTCATTACGAATTCTGTAAAAACGTATACCAACTATAAAAAGATCACATTGTATATAACTGATACGTCACTCGTCGGTTCATACCGTTCGGTACTGTCACGCAATCAACTGTTATATATTCGTTCCGTGGAGTAAATGAAATAAATTATCCATAAGTTCGATAAGTCTCATGTATCGCGCTAAGATTCATCTCACACAAACACTATCGCCACGAAATTTGGTTTAATAAACGTGAGCGACCGAAAATGATTATTCATCAGATTGCCGAATGATCAGCTCCTCGTGTTGCAAATTTAGCGATAGATACAGATCAATTTAATTAAAAAGCGACAAGCCGTCTACCTGCTACACATTTTATAGTATCATGTTATGCAACGCTGAAATCCCAAACGTATGCAAAAGCGCGTCTACTGCTGTAGAATAAAACAGGAGGTAATGCCCTAATTGGCAGCAGAAATTCAGCCAAAATAACTGTATCCTACCAGATGTTACGTAAAATTGTGTACTAGATGTCTTATAAAAAGCGTGCCTGTCATACAAAAATGAATTTGAAATTTCTTTTATAATGAAAAATTTTATTTCAAAAATTCCAAATCACACAATACATGAACTATGAGCACAAACCACACAAAAAGAAGCTTTCTGGGGTAGGGCAAAAACCTCAACTGAGGTCGGACACGAAAAATTTCAGCCAGCCAAGTATAGAAAAATTTTTTTTTCATTCAAAAGTGGGGAGTGGATACATAAAGTATTTTTCGTATTTGAGCCTTGGATTGCAACAAACGCTATATTGCGATGGTGGATTTATCACATGCCGCATTGACTTGGAAGCACAGTGTGTCAAACCTCCTAGCAGAGTAGTGTACAGCCAAAACAAGCAATGTGAACAATATTGGCTGGTGATGCTGTGTTTTTTCCGTCGAATAACACTGGCCAACACTATTTTGGTGTCAACGGTTTCTAAGCTGATATAGGTTAATTTAGGGGTGCTGAGTACGAAAACATACTAGTTTTTTCTCACCAGGTCAAATTGTTGAAATATTTGCTATTTCATACCTTTTTTGGGGCTTGGGGGAGTGTGTGCGCCAAGATGGCGCACAACCTGATAACCCTAACCTGGTACACATACAATTTTCAGGTTGTGCGCCATCTTGGTGCACATTCTACCTAACCCCCCCCCCTTTTCTACCTTAAAATTAGGGATGCCTTTTAGCGTTATAATTGCAAATATAGGTTTTTATTGTGATGTATGCCAAACGATTATGACATTACACACCTTAAAAGTAAAATTTAAATTTTCTATATAACTAAAGAAATATGTAGTTGATAAAAAGTGGACACTGTGTAGCAAATAAGCCTGCCCATTGTTGCATATTTTGTTAAGTCAGACATGAAATAAACAAGATGCATTATTTAGCTTCAGTTGCAGATTTTTGGAACAAAAATTAAGGCGACATTGTTTAAAACAATTTAAATTTATTTTGCTATATTTGCGGAGAATATACAATTGCAATCCAACATAAAAGGGATCAGTAAATTTGTGAAGTTTGCTTATCTTGCCTACTTCAATTTAATGCTGGGTGATCAAGATGAGGTATGGGCACCCCATATTGAATGCAAGCAATGTGTTGAGCATCTTCCACAGTTGACAAAAAAGGATAGAAAGTCACTCCGCTTTGGTATTCCAATGGCCTCAAAAAATTATTTTGATGACTGCTACTTCTGTACAGTAAACACGAAGGGGATCAATAGGAAGAACGGGTGATCGTTAGTTTATCCAAACCTCGAGTGTGCAATTAGGCCAACTCCACAATGCAATGAAATTTCTTTTCCAGTGTTTGAAGGTAGGGTTTTGTTTTTTATCAATTCTAAAAAAAACATCGTGTTTCAAAACAAGGGTTTGTTTTAAATCAAACTTTTTCTGTATTTTTCTATTGAAATATCCCTTGCATCGCCGCGAAACTACGCCGAAACGTCGCATTCTGGCAGCTGCACACGCAGCTGGAATTATAATTTCAAACATGTAAGTAAAATTTTTTAATTTGACTTTTACTTCTATTGCGTACATTTATCGCCACGTTTGTATCTCCACCAAAGTCATAAGATTATACCCGGAATGTTTAGCCGAGATGTCTGAGAGACGTTTTGAGCAAGAAAAATCATGAAAATTAGATCACGAGCCCACTACAGAAGCAATTAGATCAAGTGCAGCCCTTTGGCAAAACGAGTGGATTGCGATGACGAGGAATATGCTTATATCGGCGTTAATCTACTAATATAAACGACGAGACACCCTAGCCTAGCTTATGCTAATTGTAGGAGTCCTCTGATGCAAAGAAGCCACAACTAATCTGTTATGACGCCATAATATGAATTTTGAGTTCATGTATCGACATTTTCCTCATAAAATGAAGGCATTATTACGGTTAATACTGTTCGGTTAATTTATGCTTAGCATGTTTTGTTTGTAGGGTTGAAGTGATAGAGTTTATCAAGGTTATAAAAACTCATTTATTCGATTGCATTTCAATTTTCGCAAGGTGGTTTCATCGCAGCAGGGTCGTTCACTTAATGGCTTATCGGTTGCGTCTTACTGCGCCAACCACTGAACTACAGCTTGAGAAGGTGTACATGAGCCTTTATCGATATTTGTGGCGTTTTGAAAGATTTATTGCAAATAAGAAGCGCAATTAAAACAATTGTTTTAAAACAATTCATTTTGAACAAATCCCTATTTGAAGGCTTGACCGAATTGATATTGCCTGGTTCTGAAAAAGACCAAACCTCCGTTTTGTCTACTGATAGTAGTAAATGCGCTGTTTCAGATGCCGGTTTTTCATCTTCTTCACTGCCATAGCCTTTTTCTCGTGGATAACTTATTGATCTGACTAGAGATTTCAACTTTTCCAAAAAATCTCCTGAATTTCTAGCTCCAATACTCTCATAACCTTCTATAGAAAACGCCTTATTGAATTCTTGTCATATTTCACTCAGGAAAAAGACATTGTATATTGCAACGACGTTGCCGGCTTGCTGCGGCAACTTGGTGTCCAACATTGAAGCCTTTTTATACACAGTTCCAAAAAAAGTTTGAAATGTGTTCTTCTTCACAATTCTGGCTTGGTCTTGGGTTGAGCGTTCCAAAATTGTGTTTCCTCCTCTTCACATAAAGCTTGGCAGTTTTTGGATGCTCTTGAGAGAGATGGCGACTGTTTCAAATATATTTTTAGGAAATTTCCAGGTCTAACCGCAGAAAAATTGAAAGCTGGAATTTTTGATGGACCCAGATTTGAAAGTTAATGAATGATACAACTTTCTGTAATTTTATGAATCCATGGACGGCGTTCACAAATGTAGTGAATTTTTTGGGAAAATCAGAGGCGCACAACTACAATGAGCTTGTTGAAAAACTACTCACAAGTCTCTGTCAACTTGTTGCAAATAAAAAGATCATGTTACATATTTTGACAGCCATCTTGCCCGTTTTCCATAAAATCTGGGTGATGCGAATGATAGGGCAAGGGGAGCCCTTCCATCAAGATATAAGCGGCTCGGAAGTTCGCTATCAAGGTCGTTGTGATGCCACCATGCCTGCAGACAATTGTTGGTCTATCAAGCGCGATGATGCCGAGGCCTCCCATTCTAGAAAATTAGTAAGCGTCAGTTTATAGCTGATGACATCTATTAGTTAGCATTCATTACAACTTCCAGTTTTAATTGTGATTTTTTGGTGAGATTCCATGAATATGTTCAATAAAATTACAGAAAATTGTTGTTTCTTCAATTTGCCTATCTTTATTGTAGTTATCGGTATCCTGCAGAGAGGGATATACCATAGAAGAAAAAATAGACCCGATAGAGAAAAAGTAACAGCATTTCTGGCAGTGATGAGCTGTAGCCGGAACGCATCGGAACGGCGTTCCGGTTGTTGGACATTTATTGCATTTGCGTTCCTGTTGTTGAAATAAAATTAGGTCATGGAAAGTTTAGTTTGTCCGGTAAACTCAGTTATTTACTTGAAAATTTGTCCTGTTACATTCTGATAATAACATTTGTATTGAATTGGTATGAATATTCTTGTAATTATAAACAGACATATTTTAGGTAATGAATTCATATTTCATTGTAGTCCTTCTATCCTCTATCTTGGGACAGACAAAAATTTCTGGCTGCGTCCGCGTCGTGTTGTAAATATATATTGCATACACGAATTAGGTACGTTCCCGGTTGTTACGATTTTTCCAGCTCATCACTGATTTCTGGAATCAGCGCCCTCAAATTTGCTAAAAACGGTTAAAACATCTTAAGCACCATGAAAATTTTATGTCGGCCAGTGTACGTACGATACCTATATACATTTATTATTCATGTACAGTGAAATAATGTTAAACAAGGTTTTTCTAATTTTTTCGCCGTTAGGCATGATATTGTCAAGCTCCACATTCAAAAATAATGAAATTATTGTTCTACCCAGTGTGCAGCTTTGTTTCCCGAGAGCTTAGTCGGATAAATTCATTCGCCTCCCAACGAGATTGACATAGAAGTCGAAAGACATTGGGAAAAAATAGAAGAAGTTCATAACCTTTCAGCGACTTTTTCCTATTTTTAGTACAGAAAATCTGAAATCTATCGATTACGGAGTAAAGCGATTTTGCACAACAGTAACTTAGCAAAATGATTAATGTGTACACTTGGTGCAGATTCTGTAGAACAACTACGGACTAAGGAAGTGGAGGTCGGACTGTGCTAACAAACATTGTACTCAATCTAACCTTTACTAACGTAGACAGTCAACCACCAAGCATTGAAACGAATATATTTTATTGGCCAGTGTGCACAATATTATTGGTTTCAGATGATTTGACGCATTAAATAAATAATGAAAAGAATAATTTCTGCATTCAGTGACCAGCGAGTTTCATTTTGAACCAACAGAATCAGGCTTATGTTACGATATTCAGTTAGGAGTTTCGCTTATCCTTCATTTTATTTGCTGGCGAGTTTACTAGTAATTTTTTATTTAAATTTTCAAAACAATACAGATAACAATCATTCAGCAGACCTTTAATATCTTAGGTCTAGGACGGTGGTTTTCGACCAGGGTTCTCCCAGCACAGTCCATGGGTTCCGAAAGTTTACATTCAAATCCGAGAGTCTATATTATAATATTGAATATGTATATTCAATATTGAATGCACCGGGCTATTATTCGTAATCATAACATCAGTTATTTTCACAAATTTTACATGACATATTCCATGATAACAAATGTAATTAAATATACATATAATCAATTTCACTAGAGTATCCAGAAGTGAATTGGGGGGTTTTGAAATTAATATGAAGAATTTGAGCATACAATCATCTACTGAGGATATAAACCTTAACCAACTATGAACTTTATCTGTTTTTTATTTTTAAATTGGTCAGGAAGTGACTCACAATTTCAACAACTAACAAAGGATGACTAACAAGTGCACAATAATTTCCGAATATTTTATATCTGCTGCCCTCATTGCGCATAATAAAAGTAAAATTAGCACATAATAAATTTTTATAAAGAGAATATCTACAAAGTATACAAGATAATGATTCCTGAAAGTAAAGCAACATTAAGCTTGTGGGGCAAGAATATACAACCACCATTCAAACAGACACTACATCACAGGCTGAGATTTGAGAAGATAAAAATGTCACTCCACCTCATAATAATTAAAACAGTGAAAAGAACTGTCAGGGAAAAATAATAAATTTGAATAAGAAAGACAATTATAATCTATAAGGGCGTAGTAAAGCAATTTTCGGAGAGCAATTTATCAGTCAGATTTATTTCATAACAAACCAATACTGCCATCGGGATCAATGTCGATTTGCAACATCAATATGATTAATCATTGTTTGTTTTTATATTGAAAATAATCCCCAATATAGAACATAGCACGAAACACAGACTACAAACAACATGAAACACCCCTAAAATACCCACTCATAAACCATGTTTCAAATGTCACATATATAGATGCAACTGCAAAGTTTAAAATGAAACATTGTGTGGAAAAATTCATTGATTCTCTGTCAGTTCCCACATAAATACAAAAGCCAGTATCCCATGTGAAAATGTTTTCTAGTTGGCCCAACTTAAAATTGAATATATTTTTAATTACTGCCGTCTTTACGAAAGCATTAACTATATACATTCTTTTCAACAGTTGAAATGATGCATTGCAATCATATTCAGATATTATACATTTTTTATTTTGATACATGGAAGAAAAATGTGGTGACAGAAAATAGTTTGTTATTCGGGTGTAATAGGTGCAAGTAATTAGAGGAGTGCTCATCAATGATTTTGTTAATTAATTTGTTAATTAATAATGATGTTAATTGAAAATCAAAAGAACAGGTGAAGATAAATTGAATAAACAATTACCATAACTAATAGGCTAATGTTACAGTGTATTTGATCATGATACATTGGAACATATAAAAACCAGAAGATTCCTATACTAGGACTGTGCAAAAGTTTAAAAATATAACTAACACATCCTTAATCATTACTGACATTTGAAACATATCTGCATCCACAATACTTTACATGATGAAAAAACAAAGAAACTTATACTTTTAATTGCATCATGCCATTAGAGTAGAGAATTCAGAATCAAGGAAAATCAGTGCTGAGTAACGGCTCACGATTTTCATCTCGTTCACTATATTTCAAATTAGAATTGGAAAATCCTGAAACCTCTTTTCTCATTTGTGAATTCATCTTGAGTTCTTTGATCACATAAATCAGCAATACGATAACAATAATAGCTCCAAAACATATGCCTATAAAAAATTTATAAAGTTACCATGGTTTTAAGTATAATTCTGGGATTATTTATTGAAAATAAACTTGAATAAGATTTGTAAATGATCGAAATCTTCCTGGTTTGGCAGAACCTACCCAATTAATTCAGTGCACCCCCTGGGTAAGGAGAGGGTCATGGGATTTGAACCAGAGATGTGTAATCCGAGATGCCAACACAGTTATTGAGTACAACGCATTAACCACTAGACCATTGCACCATCCTCCCAATTTTATTTTATAATGCTTATTCATATTGTTTTTATATTGAGTAATGCAGCTGTTCTTATCCAACACAACTAAAATAATACAAACAAGAACTATTCATTCACCTACTTATAAAGCTGGTGCTGAAATGACTTCCTAAATAGCCAACTATGATATAAAAGATAATCGGACATGTGGATGCAAAAAATCAAATTGGTATATAAGAATAGAGATATCCTCCGAAGTTTATAAAATGTAACACAGATTTTTATCATTTCATATATCTTGAAGAATTTATATAAGTTCAAGTTATAGCAAAAAGAGTATGTATGAAGTAAAAAAATATATCATTCCGATAATTAAAATTTAACCTTTAACAAACATTTATATCTGTTACTTGCCTGCCCATTTCGCGATAGTGAATTGTAGTTGTGTATATTTGTATTCCTCATCTGGGATATATTCATCAGCAAGTAGTTGTTTCACAGCATCTAATGAACCATTGTTTGGTGCAGGATTTATCTAAATATCAATCCATTGTATCACACATTAGGAATTGAGACACCAAGTCTAGAAAATAGACTTGCTGATACTTGTAAAAATAATTTGATAGAGGCATAAAATATGGTTGGCAGTTGGCACTTTGTAATGATGCATCCATAATCACACCCTACAAAGGATATTTGACAGCAATAGAAATGGAAAGAATGTCCATCGATAACTTATTTATCATGAATAATATCAAAATTACTGGAGAACTGTTAATGTAGTCGCATCATAGCATATTAATGCATTGCTGCACAATGATTACTTTATAATATAGAAAATTGGAATTAAACTCAAAGTATAGTTTTAAACTATGTGGTAGACTATTTTACTGTGGTTGGCGAGTGACAACATTGACTCTGTATAGCATTTTTTATTTAAATGATTATATGAATATTTCTCATGAACTTGTTTAATAATAGATATTGATTCAATTGAAGTCACATACACATTTAAAAACAACTTAATGCTCATAACTTCTGAAAAAGCAAGAGCCCTGAACTAAAAATGATGAGAAATTCACAACTAGAACTGATGAGCACAGAGATATATATAAGTACCTTAGCCAGTGATATTGATTATTTATAACTTACCCCTAATATATGACACATCAATGAATATATATTAACATTTTCAAATGGTTCAGAAATGAATCCTTTCTTAAACACTGGACCAGTTGCAACAAAGAATGGATGCATGTCCATTTTTGAATTGTTAAACCCATGTCTTCCTACTGTAATATTAATAATAGTAGAATTTAACATACAAAGACAATAAATTGGGCAATAAATAAATGCCAAGAATCACAATGTAACATGAGTACAGTAATCCATATATTACTTAAATTTAGACAAACACATATTAACTACCAATAGGATGCAATGAAACAATAAAAACTCAAATTACATAGATAATGGGTGTCGTTCCAATTTTCTTTAATACCCCATCCTTCATTAGCCGACATCAAAATAGGTGCAATACGACGATTGTTTGCATAATGATATTCTGGTGGGATATCTTTTTTCATCCATACTTGAACATGTTCTGGATCAATAGATGAAAGATTTTTGTAAAGTTCTTCTGTTATATCTGTGAAATAAATTTTGTTTTTTAGGAGAATGAAATAGCTCTTCATTAGCGCAGTTTTAGAAGAATTATACAGGATGATAAAGACGAAATTTTGAGGAGATATTGAAATTTTGGAAACTGGTGAAAGCAATGAGCTTCTCATATTTACATATTTCAGTACATTGGCATAAAAAAAATCCCATCTCGCTGTTTACCACGGGAAAGTATGTATAACGTTAATATACTTCCTTATCATCCAAACTGAACTGCCACATATTCGATAACGATAATAGACCATTCATATAATACATGAAATATTCTGTTTTCCAACAAAGTGAGGACCAAATCTTGCATGCTCATAGATTAGTAGCAGTATGGTACTTGAAGTTCAGGCTTACCAAAGATGTGTAAAATTGCACTTCCTTGATCAAACATGGTCTTATTTAGTATATATTCAAAATACGTATTAGTTAATTTGTTCGAAATTAAGCATACTTTCTCCACTTTTAGGCCACACACTTGTCCCAACAATGTAATTTATAAGATGCTTCGTTTGATGAGTGTCAATGTGATCATCCAATGTTATAAATCTACTTCTGTTCATCCCAGTCATCCCATGATCACTTGTTATGATAATGTTTAACAGGTTGCTGAGACCATGCTCTTCAATTTGATCGAGGATATAACCTTAAATATAAATTTCACCTTGAAATCTACCAATTTGGACAATAGTGTAAGCAAAATATTTGATTTATATTTAGGACAAAGATAAAGAGATTTAGTTTAGTTTGCTATTGGTGGCTAAATAGTATTGAAATTGGAATATACTCAATCTAAGTGCAAAATATGTATTGCCTTTATACATGAAATAGACAAAGCGATGAACAAATATACATATGATATTAAAAGTTGAAAGGAGATTATTTTTCTTCAGGGCAAACAGATAAACTGGATTCAAATTTCTTTCGATTATTAAAGGACACATGAAATATAAAAACATAAATCTGTAATGGCAAAATTATACAAAGTGCAACCTCAGATTGTGAAGCTCATAAATTAATTTTAATAACCTGTAATATTGTCACATTGTTGAATCATTTGAACAACCTCGGGGGATTCAGGTCCATAAATATGCCCAGTGTGATCTGGTTCCTTGAAATATAACAGAGCTAAATCAACAACATTTTCAGGATCTGTTAACCATTCAATGACTGTATCAGTCCGATTTCTCCAAAGAGCCATAGAAACCTCCTGTTGAATATATTTCTCATATATGTTAGGTCTTACACCTTTAATCTCTGCCTCACTACCTGGCCAATAATACACCCCAGTCCGGCCACCCTGGAGTTGGTTTGTCACCCAAATGGGTTCACCACCCCAAAATTTCCCATCAAGCACGGTTGTCTCGTTTCCAATTTGAAAAGTTTCATTAAATACTGGATCATAAAATATATTGGCAACTATGCCATGACTTTCTTCATAAAGTCCAGTAGCAATTGTATAGTGATTAGGAAAAGTGAGTGATGTGAATGAGTCTTTTATCCATTTTGCCCTCACTCCATTGTTTGTAATTCTATCAAAATTTGGCGTGTCAGTTTTTGAAAGATAATCCCAACGGAAGCCATCGAAAGAAATAAGCAAAAGTTTGGGAGTATGTTCACATACTGCTAATTGGAATATGATCAATATTGCATAGAGAAAAGTTTTTACAAAAATTTGAGGATTCCTCCCCATTATAACAACATAAGTGCCTGTAAAATACAAATAATAATTTAGTATATATAACACTTAAAGAATAATGATGAAGCCCGATAACCAGATAAGCTACGTACTTAACTGACGCAAAATACAATTTCCCTGTAAAGTCTAACTATTTCACTCAACAATGCAGCAATATGTGACAATTCCATTACTGATAATATTTTCAGATGTAAATTATAAAGTTCAACTGATGATTCTAATTTCATTTTCCAATAATTAATTGTTTATCATATAGGACAAAAATAATAACATGTAGATATACATAAAAATTTCATTTTAAATTTCTGATTCTACAATAATTTCATCTAACATTTCTAATAAAATCTGCCTTTAACTATTCAATATATTATTATTTCTCCCTCGCTATAAATAAAAACTCCTACTCGTTATTTGCCCTTACCAATAGGTACAACTTGCAGACTTGTGTCCTGGCTTTCAACGATGTGTTCATATAGCAGTAGAGTGCATGACACTAAATACCTAAACAAAATATGCAAACAAAATAACTCATCCGAATACCATATGGAGTAATATTTCCTTTCCCCCAAAACAACAAAATTCTGTTGTGGAATGTTGCTTTAAACAGTATTACAATATTTTACAAGTTCCAAAGTTCGGAAGCTATAGAGCTCTTTTCAAAATAAAATTGCCAGAATAAATAGTACCGTACCGGTACCGTACCTCAGGGGTCCGCAACTACTGAACTATTTCACGCCCCCAAAAAAAATTTCAAATTTACCTAGTAAGCATGTAAGGTTATTATTGTAAGGTTTTAAGAATATTATTGACTGACACCAACAATTTTCTTGCACAATATTATATTAAACTTAGCCCATCGCAAATAATAGCATTTATTCTGCCTACTCATGCAGTAATGGGAATTATAGGCTTTGTGTTTAGAAAACAGCATATCAATTCGCGGTTTAATTTGAGAGCGGCAACTCGAAGATCTTCTCCTACTTCTAGCCTTGTCCTCTATTTGTTTTTTATGTATGGAAACGCAGAAAACGTCCTTTACACAAGTAGGTAGTTCCGAATGGTATCAGAACATTCATTGCAGCAACTCAACTACCGGTAGCGGTGCCTTTCATTTAACCAAAGTTACCCTAGCAGACATCTCTCTCATTTTCGGAACGGTAAAATAGCGTTGCCAGAAAACGATTTAACGTGGCACTTAAATGCCGCGACGGAAAAAAGGAAAGCTAGTCGCAAAGTACTTGCCAGATTTACCGCGAAATTTTGCTACACTCGGAATTACACAAAACTTATATGCAATTTTCGAAGGCAGGGCAGATTTTTGAAGTTGATATAAAAAAGAACTTATATTTAAGTCATCCTAATTCAAGTTTTATGAAATTTATATGTTGGGAACATATATTATTACATTGTCAAACATGGCCAAAAAGAAATTTCACATTAAAATTAATAAATGTCGGCATTTTAACCCCAAATTATGTACTTTTCGATTAGGTGCCCCACTTTTAGATAAGACATCTCAAAAAAACATATTGTGAAGTCATTCGGAACCAAGTTTCAGAAAAATTGTATGTCGGGAACATACAATAATATCTTGTTAAACATGGCCCAAACAGGAATTTTACATCAAAATTAGTAAATATCGGCATTTTAACCAAAAATTCTGTACTATTTGATTACGTGCCCCACTTTCAGATAAGATATTTCAAAAAATCATACTGTTGCGTATACACACAGAGAGAACAAATCCAAAATATGCGTAGGTAAAGCCAAAGCGTATATCGACACCTCAAAGCCAAACAGTGCTAAGTCCACCTTTCCAAAAAATGACATTTTTCAATTGCTGATTTTCCTGGACTTAGCTCTACATTTTGGTCTATTTGCCTTATCTCTGGGTGCTCTATATCTCAAGACAGCTATGGACATACCAGGTAACCCTGCTTTTTTTTTTTTTTTTTTATGATTCCACAATGTGGTTTATGCAATATATAAAAATCATAAAATATTAAATGAACAACAATAACCAAGTATACAAAAATAACAAAGCATTTCATTACAGTCCATTGATTGTATTGTCCATAGTATCCCATTGCCATTGATATGTCCATCATGTAATTTCCATAATCCATAATGTTTGATTTTTATTTATATTTTTTAGTAATAATTATTAAAAAAAATTTTAATATCTATTAGTTTTGATACTATATATCACATCGTTAAAAATTCACAAGTTATTATAAATGATATCTAGTTCTCTTGTAAAATTAGGATATTGTCTCAACTTTTCTATATTTCTTCTTGCTATAAGTGACTTCTTAATTCTCATGATTACATTGCTAACATTTGGATTAACTTTTTGAAAAATTACTGTATTCCTTTCAAGCCAAATTTTGTGTCTGGCAGTGCAAAATAATAATATTATAGCATTCCGTTCTATTTTGGACAAATGTGAATAACATAGGTGAGTTAAATCTAGTAAAATACAAGTCATGTAATTATTATTCAGTACACAATGATTGATTTTCAATGCAACAGAAAAAATATAATCAAAAACATTTTGCGTAAAAGGACATTTCCAAAATAAATGAGAAACAAACTCAGATTCTTGTGTGCAAAACACACATAAATCATTCCCAGAAATATGTTTAATTCTGGGCTTTACTTTAACAGAAAGAATATCCCACATTAATTTAAAATTGAAAGTTTTTATGTTATTGGACAATATCTTACAATGTATTTCAGAGCAGGCTCCTTCAATTGTACCATTACAAAGAAATACAATTCTGTTTCCGCCCTTCAATTTATTCACAATTTTATTATATAGTACCCTATGTTTTCCTTGTTTTGAATCATCCCCGGTTATGTTATATTGTCTAAGAAAATTAAGCAACTCTCCATAATATTTATAAGGAAAAAAAGCATGTGTCACATTATTATTAATCGGTATATTAAGTAATAAACAAAGTTGTTGTCCAATATTATATTCAATAATATTGAATGCTGATTGTCTACAGTACTCAATTTTGTTACTAATCCTATCACAATAATAGTCGAATGCAGTCATTACATATAAACACATAGTAAATAAAGGAATATTTATCATGTCATAGCCTCCAACAGCCTTGTTTTTGCACAGTGTCTCAATTTTCAATATGTTTCTGCCATTAAATATAAACTTTTCTACAATTTCATTCACTTGTTTTGCAATTTTTAATGGGATGGGATATAATCTTGCACAGTATAAAAACAAAGGTAGAATTTTCAATTTTATTATCAGACATTTACCATCTAATGATAATGGAATATTTGAAAGTTCATCTATGACAGTTTTTGCATTATCTAAACAGTATTGCCAGTTTTCATCGCAGGTATCATGATTTGAAACCACCACTCCAAGTATGTTTAAAGTCAAGACAACAGGTACTTGTGAAAAAAAATTAGGATTGCTCCATATTCCTAATTTTAAAAGTTTAGTCTTCTCTATGTTCAACTTCATTCCAGTTGCTAATTTGAATCTTGTCATCAAATCCATTGCAGAATATACAGAGCTTTTGTTACATAGAGTCAATGTGACATCGTCTGCATAAATAATGTGTTTAATTTCTCTGTTGTGTGGTATTTTTAAGCCAATAATTTCTTTATGGGAATTAATTTTAATTAGGAGAAGTTCAATTGCTATGATAAATAAAAATAAACTTAACGGATCTCCTTGACGAATTCCTCTATCAAGCTTTATAGTTTCGCTTAAGTATCCATTCATAATCACTCTGGTTTCCGATTCCTTGTATAATGTCTGAATTAATTTTATAAATTTATCTTTAAAACCGAATTTTTGAAGCACTTGGAAAAGGTAATCAAGGTCAACACTATCAAAAGCTTTGTTAAAATCCAACGAGATTAATGACGATTCTCCATGTTTATTATGTTCTTGAGTACATAAATCCCTCAACAAAATGAGATTTTCAGATATTCTTCTTCCCGGAATTGCATACTGATGTCTATCTATGATGTCAGGTAATACACTTTTTAACCTATTTGCCAATATTTTTGTAAAGATCTTATAGTCTGTATTCAATAATGTTATTGGTCTGTAATTTTCTATTTGGTCTGGTTCTCCCTTTTTATAAATTAAAGTAGTATATCCCAATTTCATGTCTTTTGTTATTTGATAATTATCAAATATTTCTTCCAATACTTCAAAGAATTCTTTTTTTATGATTTCCCAGCATTTTTTATAGAATTCAGCACTTATTCCATCAGGTCCTGGAGTCTTGTCTTCCTTGAGGGCTTTGATAGTTATCCAAACTTCATCCAAATTAATAGGGGTCTCTAAAGTTTCTGCATCATATTCTTGTAATTTTATTGTTTCAGGAATATTTTCTATAAAAATCTTTTGGGTCTCCATATTGTTTTGTTGTTTTTTGTATAGATTTTGATAAAATTTTTTGACTATAGACATTTTTTTATATATTTTTTCTTGTGTGGTACCTTCTTCATTTTTCAATTTGGTGATATAACATTCTTTGTTCTTTTTTCGCAGCTTTTTGAAAAAATACTTGTTGCATTTTTCATGTGTGTCATAATGTTGTGCTAAGTTTAATATTCTAATTTTTTCACTTTTTTGTCTTTGTTTTGAAATCAATTCTTTTTTTAATTTATTGAATGTAGTCAACACTTTATCTCCTCTATCTAATCTTTCTTTCAATTCTTCCAATTGTTTCATCCCTCTATTATATTCAGCTTTTGCTTCCCTTGCTATTTTAATTGAATGTTTGATCACCAAATCTTTAATCTTTTTCTTTATTTCTTGCCACCATTGAGTTTTTGTATCAAATAAAACTTTTAATGTGCACCAACTCTTCCATTTGTTCTGGAAGTCTTCAATAAAACTTTGGTTATTATAGACTGAAACATTATTTTTCCAAAATCCGTGTCCCTTTTCTTCCAATTTACTAATAATCTGAATATCGACCGAGTACATGTCATGATCCGAGTTATATGTTGGTGAACAATATACGTTGGTTATATGACATAGCCTATGAGAACAATATAAACGATCTAATCTGGCTTGTATTGTGTTATTTCTCCAGGTATAGAAGGTATTACTATGAGAAAGGAAATCCACAGAATCGATCAAGTTAAAAGTTTCTACAAGGTCATTCAATGCTTCAGACACATATTCTTTCTTGGCTCTTTTATTACTTGTTCTATCTTTATCTATATCATGAACACAGTTCATATCACCACCAAAAACTGTTGCATGTTGTGAATATAGGAATCTGTAAATACCGTTGTAAAAATTTTCCTGTATTCTAATGTTAGTTCGACAAGGGGCATAAATATTAACCAAATGAATTTTTTCACCATGTATATCCACTTCAGCAGTAAGAACTCTTCCATCGTTGTCGAATGTGACATTATAAAACGAAAAACTTGACATCTTTGATTTTAGTAATATAGCTACCCCTCTCGAGTTTGAATTACCATTATTCCATATGCTGGTGCCATGTCTCCATTCTCTACGCCATGTTAGTTCAACATCGGTAGTGCAGTGTGTCTCTTGGAGAAAAATTATATCTGCCTT